GAGAAACAATGACGGTATCATCATCGCTGAATACAAAGTCTTTTCCAGCTTTTCCGGTAGAAATTTTTAGAGCTCGTTCCTTGTAAAACTTTTCCGTATCAACTTTGCAATCAACGCCCGAAACACCATATTTCGGAGACATGGCAGCCTTCGGCCACACAACGTGGATTGACTTCCCGCGGCCGATGGCAAAAAATTCGGGGTGACGTGAACTTGGCCTGGCGCGCGTTTTCAGCTGGCCGCCAGACGTGTTTTCGTCAGACGCAGGGAAGGGCGGAAGTATCAAACTTTGCGTGTCAAGTGCATCCCTCTCAAACAGATTATCCTCTCCATTGGAAAGAGACGCCCAATAGACAGAACCGCTAACTCCAATACCCAAGACTGCTTCTTCCTTACCTTCCGGCGGGGTTGACCCCGCGCGGCACAAGGCAACATTGAAGATGCGATCATTGCTTGAGCGGAACACCTGTCTGTCACGGCCATCATCCTGACGGATAATGCGCATTCCACCATTCTTCGAAAGAGCGTAAACAATGTACTCCGCATTAGCTGAGGTGAGAGAACGATCAAGTTGATCAAATGGCTTTTTAAGTCTCGCAATGTCCATGAACCCATCGTCCCGTACAGAGAGAGGATCAGTAGTGACGCCCTTCCAAGTAATGGATACGAAAGGCTTCAAAGGAAAGCTGTAGACAGGAACCACACGCTCGGTTTCATTTTCCCACGAGTCCACGAGATCTTCTTCTTCCTTAGCTCCATCAACAGGTTTGACGGGAATGTTTCCAGTGGGCTCTTTCTCAAGCTCCTCTGGAACACCGCCACCTGCCTTTTCGGCCTCTTTCGCAATCTTGGTCGCTGACTGTTGGAGCTCCTCAGTCTTATCTTCGACTTTTTTGGTTACTTGTTCTTCGTTAACGGTTTGAGCCAAAGCAGCCAGGGCAGCTTTGACTTCAGTATCAACTTTTTCGGCAACACCTCCAAGAGCTTCAGGCACACTCTCCTTTGTCTTGAGTTTCTTTTCAGGAGGAGATCCCTGGCCTCCAGCTTGGTCGGCTTTGGACTGGGAGTCAAACTCTTCGCGAGGCCGCGTCAGACCGTTGGAAGGTTTCATCTCGCGTTCCTTACCCTTGTGCACATCAGTAACCGGAACGGCTTGGGCAGAGCCAGTTCTATTTGCCTGAGAAGATCGGGGACGTGGCGACGCCGCAGCGAGCTGCTCGAACGGGTTAACATAGCTGAAAATCGATCCCTGCACAGGCGGCTGTGGCTTTGGAGGTTCGAACGGAGTAGTCTCACGGCTCTCACGAGTTCCGAACGTGCGAACTGGCGACGACTTGCGAACCCCAACGTCTTCCTTCTCGGGAACGTGGGGTTCAATGGGCTCTGGAGGAGAAGCCACTGGCTGGCCTTCTGGAGACTGGTTTTGCTGGGGCTTAGGCCGATTGAGTAACCGTAGTAGCATCTCCTGGGCGTCTTCGACGGGTTGATTCTGGCTCATGGACGGTGAACCTGAGACAGCTACGCGTTCCGGGGTGGGCTTGGCCATGAAGGAAGCAACCAAGTCGGAAGCCGAAATGCCTCGAGTATGCCCATTTTGGTTCTGTTCAGAGCTTGCTGCTCCTTGTTTGGTAAAACCTGAAGACTCTCCTGCCAGATCTTGGGTTTTAGGCGCGATGCCGCCGGGCGCAGCGTTGCTGACTTTAAGCAAATTGAGCAATTGGGCGGTCCGGTTCGAGTTCGAAACAGTCTGAACACTCGGCTCGTTCCGTGGAGTAGAAACATTGGGACTAATTATGTCAGATCCATGGTGGGGAGGGGTCCCAGCCACCGGTGGACTGAACAGCGGCGATGAAACCGAGGGCGGAGCATATTGAGGGAGCCGTTGAGAGTGTCCGGGAGAGTTGGACGGGCCATGTGCGAGGTTCTCTTGCTGTCTGTTACCAGGCGATAATCCTGCTGCCTGTGGCTTCCCTGTAAGGTTGGCGAACAGAGCCTGAAGCTCTGACTGTGTGAAAGACATGGGTGCCTTTGGTCACCGGATCGGCGACTTCGGGAGGGGAAAACGGGCGACAATCAAATATCAGCGAACAAACAAATCAGATTCACTTCTAATTAGGGGTAGCTGATTAGAAACTTCAGTGCAGGAATGTGAGGTTGGGGAGGGAGGGAAGAAAGAGATGAGTGAAGGCAGGTTGAAGGATGGATTGTTGATAAAGAGCAGCGAGGCTGTTATTGTGCAGCTCACTAGCGCGTGTGTTTGCTTTGTTTGCCCGCAACTTTTGCCTCTCCGCCCAACAGTCCATTGCAAGCCTCGCAGTCACACCCGCAAAGACGACGCCGCTCTCCGCCACCTTGTCCCTCCTCCTCCGATGCTTAAGGTGCCGGCAGCTGCGTAAGGGGATCTTTGTCGTTTCACTCTCGGGCGCAGGTACTCAGCATCACGACACAGTTTGTCGAGCTCATTCAGAGTCCCCGTTTCCTCGCCGTCCCCTGCCCAAACCAACCAAGATCGTTTGATGTGACGATGTTCTGTCTCAGAAGGTATTACGCTCGCAAAGCTTGCAACTAACCACCAAACACCCCCCCGGGTCAAAATGCATTTCAGCCCAAATAAACTACTGACTCTGGAAATTTAGTTGGCTCCCGCTCCTTTTCATCCCCACAAACGCCAGCCCTCTCTTCATAATATCCTTCGTGACCCTGACCTATCTCCTCCACCGGCCGTGTATCTACTGCTCTGCTCTCCTCTTGATCCTTTTCATATCGTCCTGTCACTGGTCGGATAGATGCTTCATCGACTTTAAAAGCGATTGGTTCGCTCCTCGGTTCGCTACACCAGCGTCGGCCGCGGTTGGCAATGCCACTCAGGATCCCGCGTCAGGTTTGACGCAGTACGTCTTGGAAACGATGAATTCAACGGCAACTGCGTTAGCCACTGCAGCATTTGAAGAAGCAAAGAGACGAGTTGCTCCCAGTGCGGGCATAGACTTGGCAGGTGACCAGATCCCACAATGGACGGGAATAGGCTTGGAATGGCTGCGGAGTCTTTTGGGCCGGAGAGAGTGGACGCTGCCATGCGTGGATGTGAAAGTGCGACTATGAAGCCTTTTCTTTTATTGCGGGAGGGCATTTTGAAAGCAAGATATTTTGGGATTAGAGAGCTTGTCTCTGGTCCAGCTCCAGGAATCCCATTGACCCGTTTTGGGAAGAATTGCGGTTTGGACCATTCCGGATCTAGAAGCTACATAAAATAGCGGGCAAGATCGCAATTTTGTACAGGATCTTGAGCTTCTACTTTAAGGCTGGGAAACGATACCCGAGCTCTGAGACGGTCGTTCGATTCCCTGTATAAAGAACGAAAATGATGCATGTGAAAAACGTTTATGTCTCACGCCGTCTATTTTGCAAATTGACATGGTATTTTGCACTGCTTACACTTCTGTGTACATACATATGTTGACATGATATCAGTTGAAGCACCTCATCATGACGTCTATACGTTTGGGGAGTTCGTTCGCTTTCTAGGGATGGAGAATGGAGCTATCCTCTTGTTGCTGGTTTGGCGAGACTGCTTTTTTGTTTGGTCTCCGTACAGTAACCACCGAGTTTATAAGGCCGATATCACATCTTACCTTGGAATTTACCCAAAATCTTTGCTAGCTGTTATTCCCAATGGAGAGTTGAGTAAGCTTGATTTCCGAAGGCCGTGAAATTAGAACGTATGTTCTACTCCCATCGGCTCGTAATCGATACCAAGGTGTCCCTATCTTCTAGCTAGAAAAGGTATATATATTAGGCTGTTTGAGGGCCCGAGAGCACCAGATGGATCATCTAGAGTTGTCCATTATATATCCATGTGGAAAGCCCTAGTCCCTTTCTGCTCAGACAAACAAAAAGGAGCCCCCTGAAGGAAGATATCGACTAGCCTCATGATGGTCTGATTCATCATGAAGAAAAGGAGCGTTCCCTGTGTAACCAAGCACCTGGCCAACTGTTTCTCCACAGTCTAGGTGGAGGAGAGCAATCCACTGAGTGTGTGCTTGGTTCTCAGCCTTATATCTAGGGGGACCGAGGGAGCCAATCGGCACAGCCGCCTACCGGACTACGCTAGGCTCAGAGACAATACCAAGCAGAAGGTAAGAATATCTGATGGAAGTGTGATGAAATGATGGTGAAGTGAGTCGGAAGTAGACCTTCGCGTGGCCGTAATAGCATGAATAGATGGATCTACCTATTAACTAAAGGCCGCGGAAGACTATAGCTCCGAAAACATGGGTTGGAAGCCCTCCAGTGAGCCTTGTCACAGAACCACCCAGGCAAAAAAAGGACCAACCACCAAAGGTGACTTTCAATTATTCCCTAACAGATCCAGCAGCTCAGGGTTCCCGCTCCCCACGAGTGTGTTCAAACCAACGACGGCTCCATAAGCAATCTTCCCAAAAAGGATCCCTTTCTGTTCTTAATATTCAAAACAGTTCTCAGTAGCCAAACGATCTCAAAATAGCCACTCCCGTGTTGGAGATGAGTTTACTCATTTCGTTTGCTTTGGTAAGGCGGAAAATATTCCAGGTACTCACCCAGACAAACTGTTCAGGCGGTCGGCCTGGACCGCGCGATGCTCCATCCCAGAGAACGGGGTCACACAGTGCCCTGATCAGCGGCATTCCGGGGCCCCGCCTGCTCCCTAGTGCCAAGACGCACGCCTGAAACCTTCGCGATCGCCGGGGCGAGCTCACAGGGGCAACAGGCCATTATTGGCCAAGCAGCTGCTGCCTATTTCCAAGTGCGTGACGCTTTTCGTATTTTCACCCCGCCTGGAATCAGGGAAAAAAAAAAAAAAAAAAAAAAGACAAAAAAGGAGAACTGGGACGGAAGGACTTTTCTGTCCAGCCTTTCTTGAGATGAAGATGCCTTGACTTTCTCTTCCAATACCCTTAATTGCTCCCTGCAAACCATATCTTAGACAACGACCTTCCCAACGGTTTTCGGAGCCTCCAGCCATGGGATTCTCTCACATGGGCTTCTGTGTTCCACAACACAAGTTCGATGAGACCGTCTCCTTTTACCTCGCAGCTCTCCAGCCACTCGGGTACAAGGAGATGATGCGGCCCGTGGACAATGTGGTCGGCCTGGGTGTATACTATCCGGATTTCTGGATCACCGGAGTGAAATCCGACGACAATCAAGATGCAGATGAAGATTCGAAGCAGCAGAAACCCCTACATGTTGCCTTCAGCACGAACAGTGGGTCTTCCCAGCAATCCATTTTCTTCTTCTGTTTCCTTCTTTTTTTTTTTTTTTCTTTTTTTTTCCTCTCTCTCTCTCTCTCTCTCTCTATCCCCCATCCTTTCCCACTGCGAACGGAACTACCTCGCAAAAAAGGAATTGAACTAAAGACACATGTACTTTAAACATCAAAGGCCGAGAGCTCGTTCACGCCTTCTACGATGCGGCTTTGAAAGCCGGTGCGAAGTGTAATGGGAAGCCCGGCCCGAGACCGCAGTATACACGGCTTTACTATGCGTCGTTTGTGCTGGACCCGGTGGGCAACAATATCGAGGCTGTATGTATGTGGCCGGCTTGGACGCATTGGCGGTATTGGTTTGGAACGGGGGTGTTTGGGAAGAGTGGGACGAGAACGGTTGAGGGTACTACCGGTGACCAGCCCCCCGAGTCCTCATAGGAGTACAGCAGCTCAAGCGGTCTGTGCCTTTGTGTGGTAGTACTCTTTTTTCTTTCCACCTTCTACCCAAACAGGGTGGGTGTTGGTTTGCTCTCCAACCTTCACATCAAAGAAAACTTGCCGTTTGATGGAAAAGATGCATCAAATATTTTCCAGTTCAGAACATGTATACATACTGTCTTTCTGTGAACCTTTCATCATTCCGATTTACTTCCTTATATATCACAATACGCTCCAAAGATATAGGAACTTATGTCAGACACTAAGAACAGCAGAAAGCTTCAGCAGAACACCTTTGGGAGGCTTTTTGAAGTAGAACCCAAAGGCAGAGGAACAAACCTTCCCAAGCTTCTCAAAACATAAAACTAAAGCAACAGGAACAGGAACAAGCTTCAGGTATTACATCATTAAATTCCTCCCAGCAAAGGGGGCTCCTAACACGCTCCCATGACATCAAAGACATGCATCGCGTAAACCAGCTAATTCACATTATAAAAGAAAGCCCAAGGGTGGTGGTTGGTTGGGTGGGTGTTGGAAAAGTAAAAAGAATAATCATAACAGCCCAAATGAGATATTAAAAAAAGCAAAAAAAGACATATCTTATCGAGTGAGCAAAGGGGGTATTTCCGCCAGATTTCTGGTATATTTGCGTGATGAACAAAATATAATAAAATAAGCTTTGATACATTTTTCGAATGTTTCCTTTTTCCCTTATCTTTTTTTTTTGCTTTATATTGCTTAATTGTATCCTCCGGTGGATACAGGCATGGGCCAGTCATCTTCTGTTATACTACTCCAGAAGATCCAAACCATACCGACGGAGAGAAGAGTGAAGAGCGTCTCGAATAAAGCACCGTTGATCTTGCCATCCGATGCCTGGCAGAGATGGGGGCTAATAGCGAAGTCAAATATCTGGCCAAATGCAAAGAGCAAAGCGGCGCCCGAAAGGTACACTAAAGGATTTTTTTATCACGTCCATGTTAGCGATACGCCAGCACCAATGAATAGAGAATATGGAGCATCTCAATACGTACGCATTGGTCGCATCTCACCGAGAATCCTCAGTACAAGGATAGACTCGAGCACGAAGAAACCAACCAGGCAAATCAGCGGAAAGAGCAGATAAAGGACATAGAGTCCAATGTTCCTGTTTTCTCCGGACAGGCTTGGGTCAAAATACCCAGTCCAACTGAAGGCGGTGTCCAGAGCGATGTAACCAGTCCCAATGAAAAGAACGGCAGCAGAGGTCAACAGCAATCCAATTGAAATCGGTGTACCATCGTCGAGGAATTGATACCCGACCAGCGCGTTTACGAAGAGCATCCATGTTGTAGCGGAGATGGCAGCCAAGTGAACAGCCGTAAATCCCTAAAGGCGGTTAGCCGTAAGTGCGGGACAAAGTCACAGTACCTTGCAAGCAACACGGTGATCCGCAAAAGGCGCACGTACTTTCCGAACGTTATCGTCAAGGGGAAACCCTCCGACAGTGAATATTTCGCATATTTGAATGATGACAAACCCGACGAGAAATATTTGGATTTCCCTGCATGAGTCTATCAGTACCAGGTTTCAAATATTCGGTAATATACCTCCGCAACAAGTGGCCCCACCTTCTTCCCACAGCGGCCTTTTTCTTCTCAGACTTCCATATCAAAAGCACGGTCATCAGGATCGCAATGAAGCATAATAAGATCGAACCTGCGTCTTGTCAGGACTAACAATTTCTCAATAACGCATCCAAACACATCGGCGTACCGAGATTGGAAAGATGTCTGCCATCGCTTAAGCCAATTCCTGTCAGAGGACATCCACCAAACTTCGCATTAGGAGGTTGATTATTATTGACGAGTATCTATCGAGGTCAGTTGGCCTCTAGCCCGAACAACAACCAGAAGCGGTCGAGCAACACAAGAGCCGTATCTGGCAGCGACGTACGTTGCATATTGGTAGTGTCGTGTCCCGACAAAAGTCCTATAGGTAGCGCAAAGGCGTCAGCTCTCTCTCTCTCTCTCTATATATATATATATATATATATATATATCATAGAAGAGACAGAAGACCCCTTGATCAGTTTCCAGGAAAGAGACTTTACATGAAAGTTGCCAAACTGAGTCGATCCCATGGCGACGAGCGGGAACCACAAAAAAAAGAGCCGACCGCAGCCTACACAACTCGGTTTGCAGGTTGCGAATTGGACTACCACTTGTATGACCCGTACCAGCGAGCTTCTAGCCCTTCCCCGTCCCCAGACGAGAATCTGCAATGCAAGTCTTTGATTGAGATGGACCGGCCTCGGCGTTCAGGGTCAACAAACCGGGGGAAGACGACGAGGGGGCTGGATGGAGCGACACAGGAAAAGCAAACGACCAGCGAATGGACTCGGGCTAGCGATGTCGAGAGAGGGAGAGCGAGCGTGTGCGTGTGTGTGTGTGTCAGAAACAACAGCCGGGGCTGCCCGATAACCGCAACGGCTAGAATAGCGACGCCAGGGACCTGCCGGGAGATGAATTGTCGGGGGATGGATGGGCGAAAAAGCGACCGGTCGACGGGCTGGCAAGTCGGTCAGAGTGAAAGCGAGAGGCTCACGCAGGCTTGTCAGGTCAGGTCAGGTCAGGTCAGGCTAGGCTCGTAACGGTGTAACTGACTAGCGCAGCCAGGTGAACATTGTTGTAATCTGCTGTATTAAAGTTACGGACTTGTCTGGGGCTCAGGGGTCTAGTCGGCCAATTGACTAATCAGCGCTTCTTTCCAGAGACTGTCTTGGCACCACTGGCCGTAAGGATACACACGCGAGACACAACTATACACTCTCCATACCTGTCTGTATAGTTATACACATTGTACTGTACTCCGTACACGTTCCGTCTGGGCGCAGGCGGGCCACTCCGTGGGGTTGGCTGGCCGCTTTGGCAGCTAAACGCGCACAGCTCCCAGCCCGCCATGCCATGGGATCGCGATCCGTCTGTCGGAGCTTTTTGCAAGACGCACCCGCTTGAGACCAGATGGGGTTTCGCCCAATGTGCCGATTTGTCGATCGACGAAACAATTTATGCGCACTACGGAGTACCCTCCAATGGCTGGCCAACGTTGGCCTTTTTGTTTCCAGTCCTGAAACTCAAAACATCCGCCGTCGCTGGGGATGGCGGCCTTGGAATCAACAGCGCATCAGCGGTGTCGAGGCTCCAGAGTTACAAAAATGGACACAATTCTTACCACCCTCAGCCAAGGATTTGGATTCTACGTACGGAGTAATTACATATGTACTCTGTACTCGAAATTGTCATTGCCAATGCCGGTTGACAATGGCGGCGAGTTTCGGCATGCACACATGAGACGGGCTGTTCTTTTGGCCCGTTCTTTGTGCTCCTTCTGGTGAATGGCATTCTATGGAGAATGCTTGCATCTTGAAGTTTCTCAGCAGGGAAACAATGAAAATTGCAGAATCATTGATGCAAAATTTCGAGGCTTCAAAAAAAGCAAAAATTCTGCTGCGGTGTGTCGCTGATGGGTATGGACCTTTTAGTCCGTACAAGAACTCGATAGTCAGAGGCAACTGAACTAAATTTGGAAATTCCCACTGAAAAAGCTCTCTCCGTTGTCTTTTGGGCCGCCAGGTACACACGGCTTCCCATGTTGCTTGGTAAAATTCCATGTGCTTATGGAAACTTTCGCCTTCGTCCATGGTTTGGCTTCGCATACGTATTATAAAGACCCGGGGTTAAACCAACAAAACCTTACTCCGGCGGGAAAGAGAATATATATAGCTCCCAGAAGGAGGTCCATGCTCCTCTCTCTAGCAGACATCCTCCACCTCAAGGCTTTTCCCGTCACTGTCTCCAAGCTCAACCTTGAGAGTACGCCCAAACACTTCAAACATCATCTCGACGCAAACTTTTGTTAACGCAGGGTCGTACCGGCCCTTGCTTAGCTCGTCTCTGATGAACGCGTCTATTGCAGAGTGGTGAGCGGAGAATAGATTTTGCCTGTCGCAGCACTTGTTCGCCGGAAACACTGAGAAAGAATTACTTACGCTGAGCCCATGCAGCTTCGTAAAAGCTGAAGCAGACTCCTTTCTCATGAAGCGTCTGCCGAATCAAGTCCCTGCCGGCTGGCGGGACGTGTGTGTCATTTTTACCAAAGATCTAAAAAAGAAGTAGCGGTATTAGCATGTGCGTACATACCTATTTTTTTCGGGCCCTATCTGGTTTACTGAGGCAACTAGATAAATCCCTACTCAAGCCTATGAGCTTACCATGACCAATTCGCCTTTCATATCGCCCGCTCTCTGCAGGCTATCGTCATTCTTTCCCTTGCCGAGGGTTTTGCTGTGTATGTCAGTCGCAAAGAAGCACACCGCAGCTTTAACCCGTTCGTCCAGCGCGCAGCGGTACGCCAGATGCCCGCCGAGGCACATTCCAGTCGCCCCAACGCGGCCATTGCACGTGGGGAGTGACAGCAGATAGTCGACACTGAGCTTTGCGTCTTCATCATAAGCTGTAAGTTTCTAGAACAACATCAGGTTCAGGCGTCATGGCCGAATACTCGTTAGCAGGTACGGGTTTCAGGGCCCATGGGGGAGCACACTTTGGTGATCTTCCATGCATTGCCCTTATCGGTATCCGTCGCATCGTATTTTAGTGGCTCTGGACCGGTAAATTCATGGTAGCTCGATGGCGCTGCGCAGATATACCCGTGGCCAGCTATCATGCGTGCGAAGCGGGTGACAGGTCCGGTCACTGCATCGGATGTTTCGGCACGCTCTTGAGCTAATTATCCAAGAGTTGTCGCGGTTTCTTCCGCAGGTGCTCTTGGGAAGCCCAGACGCGTAGCTAACTATATAATTAAGCAATACACGGGTTATTACGCGCACCTTGGTAAATTTCGCTGAACACAACCACGCCAGGAAATTTTGCCTTTGGGTATCCGGGAATCGTGGGATGAAACACATATATTCCTGTTCAATGGGCCAGGCACGAGTCAGCGCAGTCAAATTTATTAGGCCGTGTCCCCTAAATTGAACGTTTAAAAGCTCCCCTCCGTACTCCGTAGTGGTATTTCAATTTCTTTCTGCGAGGTCCGATTCTCAAACAATGGCTCTTTCAGCACTCCTTCTGTTCTTTAATTGAAATACAGTCAAGAAGTTTCGAGATAATAGCACCAGCAGCTTCTCAATTCAATTATGACTGCCATCACTCAATTTACAAAGTGTTGTGGGTGTGGAAATCTCAGGACACTCACTCATGCTCCCCTCCCCCGCAGCGGAAGTTTTGACATCATAGTGTGACTCTTGGATCAGCATTTTTGTTTCTCTGGAGCGCTTTTGCACAAATGCAGTTAACCAATGTTGTTGTGATTTTGACACCTGAAAAGACTGTCAATATAAATAAAGATTCAAAGAGCAAAACAAGCAACAATTGCGCAGGCCACACAGGATATTTAACAAGGATGTCCGCAATCAAGGTTCCCGCGCAAAATAGCTAGTTATCATGTGATCCAACCAAATTTCACCCGTCCAGTTCTTAGGGGAACTTCGGCGGCTTTGGCCTTTTTAGCAAAGGTATATCAAATTCGGGAAACTCGTTCGCTCTATTCCAAGAGGCTTCCATGCCCCGTTCTGTATTTGTGCGACGACATGGGCCTCTGTAAACCTGCCCTCCGTGGTAACCATCCTTACATGCTTGGAGAACCCTGCGAATCTCTGAATAGAAGCCTATTTATCGCTTGGCCGATGGGGACCTTGAGATATAAAGATATATAACACCATCTAATTTCGACTCGGAGACGAGAACACCCCGGGGACAGCTTTCCTCCAGACGTTCCAAGGGCATTTAGCCTCTCTCCCCCAAACCCCTAAACTATAACTAACTACTGCACACCTCCCTCACCCTCCAGGAACCAAAAACATATGCCACCACCCGTGCTTTTCTTTATCCCGAGCTTTCTTCTTCTTCCGCCAGGATTCGAAATAAATATTAAAATAAGGGAGAGGCCTTTTTTCATATCTTTTTTCTTCTTTAATTGTTGTTGGTTTTTTAAAAAGAAAAGAAAGAGAGAAAAAGGTGAGGGCGTGTGTGAGTTTTGCGTCCCTCCCCCCCCAAAAGAAGAAACCGACCATGCAGGAAACAAATCCGGTCTCCAGCTTTCCCATTCATCCTGGTAACAAACAAAAAGAAACAATGGACTGCCTGAGCACCGCCACCACCATCACCATCACCGCCGTCATACACATAAACATCAGAAACCCAGGGTAAGCCCAGGGGGTTAAAAATGGAGCAAGATACCTGGAGAATAGAGCTTAAAAGCCGCGGAGGGGAAGAACATAATGTGAGAACAGGTATGTATGTATGTGTGTAGAGGGTAGGTTAAGATGGTATCAAAATCGAGGGAAAATACGTTGGGTTAAGAGAGCCTAGGGGCATCTCGCTATAAACGGGTACTTAGATCCGCTGATAGAAAAGCAGATAGGCGACCTTGTTCTCCCGAGCTGCCAATCGGCTGCTGGAAGTCCTCTTGCCCGAGGAGTCTCCTGACGCGGTGTTGGGTGGGCTGGTTCCGTTGGCCAGCGCGCTGACTGATTTTTTGCTTGCGTGGCTCGACCCCGAGCCGTTGACCTGGTTCCATCCACGCTCGCTGTCTTGCTCGTCGTCCTGGTCGAAATGGCGGAAGATATTCGACTGTGAACTGCTATCGAGAGATTTATGCTGCTCGAGGGCAGCAGCCTGGCTCGTTGGATCTTCCTCACTTCCTGCAAATGCAACATCCTCGCTTCGAACGCGGCGAATCACGGTATCATCGATACGGATCCATTCGCGGCCATCTTGACGGCGGATTTCCACCGTATAGTGCCCGCCGCTTGCATTTTTGCCATGGTGATAAATAACACCGGTAAGCCTATACTTGGGAAGGCCACCACCCTGGGCAGCTAACATATTTCGACGGTGTGGAGCGAACACCTCCTTGGGGATTTCGAGTTCCAAAGGATATCCAATCTTCTTCCAAATTTTCTGAGTGCCCTTTGTTACACTATCATAGTGGAAGCGCTTCAGATGGAGAATCAGGACCGGTGGTAGGCTTTCAATGAACACCTGCTTGGTGGCATTCACTTTGGTACCACGCGAGGAGCTAAAATCCCCGTGCATAGTTTCCGGTCTGGTAAGGCCCTTTAGTGCATCGATGATATTATTAACTTGAGGAGAGCCAATATCAAGTTGAAGCGACTGGTAAGGCTCCAAGGTAACGGAGTTTTTATTTCCGGGGACTCTGAATTCAGAGCGAAGGTTGCCACCGAAGATTCTCGTGATTGGGGATTCTGAAGCAATGTGTCCCGAGGATCGGGTGACGGCGGCTTTCTGCTTATGGCCAACTTCTAACCAACCTTCACCAGCGGAATCATCCGTCATGGAGACAGCATCGACATCTGAAGCACTTGCAGCTTCAGGCAAAGCGGAAGAGCTCTTTATTGCATGTAAGCACTCTTCGTGAAGCTCTTCAAACAAGAAACCGAGGAATTCTTGGGCATCTTGTTGATGGCCTCGCTGTAATCTGTTAGAACTGAATCTGAGTCATAACATGGTAAGGGGTGGATATATACTCACGCGCATATCTCTAAAGCGAGGGAGATGTCTGATGACCTGGTAAACGTATTCTGGAATGAATGATGACCCATATTGCTCTAGTTCAGTCTGCTTCAAACGTTGCCGCAACTGCTCGACAGAACTTGCCGAGCCAATTACTCGAAATTCTCTCATAAACATAATCCTGCGAAGGCAATACGTCAGCCACCAACAAGCCACTTGCAATCCAGGGAAATATAAACTCACATTGCATCGAGAAGCGGGAGCTCGCTCTTGAAGCTGTGTGCAGCACGACGACTAACCCGATCAAGGAAATCATAAAACGGAACACAAAAGACGAGAACTTGGAGGATCTGCTAGAAGTAAGCTCCAATTCGGAGTCGAAATGCAGAAGTCTTTGGAGATATTATACAACTTACCGAGTTCATATAACACATATTACCCGTATTTACAAGACCTCGAGGCTCAACAAAGGCAATCTTATTGCTATAAAGATCCGCTTCTGAAGCCAAGCTATTAATAACGTCGACGAGAGATTCAGACTTGGACGGAGCCAAACCGCCAACACCCGATGTTGACACGGCATCATCGCTTCCCGAGGTTGGCTTTTTCGTCCGAACAAGGTCGGCCCATGATTTTGGCTGCGAACGAGGTGGAGGCGTTGCTTTCAAGTCCTGCTGGTTAGCAGTACTTTGGCTAGGCTGCACTGACTCAATGGGTTTAGTGTTGTCTGTGGCACTTCCGGTGGTCTGCTGTCCTTGCTTCGAAAGGTTGGGTGTAGCTGGCATGATGGGAACAACAGGAACGATCGGAACGATTGGGGCTGCCATTCGTGGCGTGCTTGCCTGAGACACTTGACGAACATGGGACGGAGATTGTGAGTTGCTGGAAGACGACGGAGTGGTTGGCTGTGTCGAGGTGGGTTCAGATGGGGCGTGGGAGGCTGTTGGAGTGGGAGTGGCAGTACGCTCGGGCAATGGGGGTTCTGCTTCAAGACCGGGTTTCTGGGGTTCATTTCCCTCGCTGTCGGCCTTGAAGGAGAGAGCCACAGATTGCTTGGTAACTTCAGCGATCCTGGGCTTTCGCCGTCTCCGAGGTAGCTTCTCAGGGAATGGGGCCTCAGGAACCGACAACCAGGGCAGCTAGATTGATGTGAGGTGAGTGAATTTCTTTTCTCCAAAGTGCAAACATTGACAAGGAAGATTAGAACTAACCGGTGGCTGAAACGGTTCTCTAGCGGTGGGTTCTATGCTTGTGCGCTCATTGACCGAAGCTTCCGGAACAACTGCACTAGGAACGAACGCAGTGCCCGAGCTTGTCGAACCTCCATCAATTGCTTTGGATTGGGCCTCCGCCGGGCGGTTTGTGGATATATCTTCCTGTAAATCCGAAGTGGCAGATGACGGGGCAACGATTGGGGGAGGCGTCGAGGAGAAGGACGAAAGCTGCGGCGTTGAGGCGGTAGTAGGGGTCTGCAAGGGGAATGAAGGTGGTGGGCCGGTTGCGGCGATATGCTGGGAACGAGGGTACGAGGAGACGATCAAAGGACTGTACGACTGGTACGGTTGCGGTGGTGGAGGGTGTGGCATCTGTTGATATGGATACCAGTGCTGCTGGTATTGGTGGGGTGCGTATGGGGGTAGAGGACCGGTCGCGTGAGGATGGGGGTGGTGATAGCCCATGTATGCTTGGGACGAGCGCACATTAGGCGGCGCCGACGCATAGGGAATATCGTGCTGCCGGCGAGGAGGAGGCAGGGGCGGCTGCCCGTGAGGCAGCGGGGGCAGATGATGGTTCATCATGCCCCGACTTTCGGACGGCGTAGCCTTTTTTGACTGCTGGGTGGGAGATGGCCTAGCGGCGAGCCATCAATGCGAAAGGAAGAGCAGTGAGAGCACAGAAACAGCCGCGGGCGTTCCGCAGACTTAGCATCCCATTGCGGAGAAAAAATTGGGTGCCTAACAGAGGGTTGGGTGCCGCTGGGCCGGATAGCAAGCCCTGGGGTAGGTCCTTTTGCGACCAGGTCTTCCACCACAGTTGACAGACGGGGAGTTCGCCTGGAGGAGCGGAATTACCGATTATTATAGCAAAAGCAAGTAAAAGAAGGCGAGGCAAACAAGACAGGCGGGAGTCCAGGTGGCGGAGAGGCGGGCAGCGGGCGGCGACAGACGTGCTTCTCTTTTCCTGCTGCGATTAATTTTTGTGTTGACGATGTTTGTCGTGAAACCAGCGCGGCTGACTAACCCCGGTCACGGGTCCGCAAAAACGGGCGTTGTGGCGCCATGTACCGTACAGACCGTGACCGCAAGTTACCCGACGATCCCCCCTCTTATCGCAGAGTGAAACAGGTGCCCATACGTACGGTACGCCGTACAGAACGGTATTCGCCGGCGCAGGCAAGCTCACCTTCGTCGCCGCCCCTCATCGTCATCTCAAAAGCTGCGTCTCAAGCAACGCCCTGCAATCCGACGGCCCCCTCGGGGTATCCAAGGGACCACGAGCCTTGATCGCTTCCTACCCACTCCCAATCTTCGTCCCACTTACATCGAGCTGCCTTGCGATGTGTTCCTGAAGGCGAGCCCGATCTGCCTGGCGCCTGTGGGCCCCCTACCCCTGCGATAGAGCTTCCTTTTCTGCACATTGGATTCCGTCGAGCAATGTCGTCCGCTTCGGGGCCATCCTCTAACCCGTCAAAACCGGCAAATACACAAGTCCAACTTGGACCTCCTCCCGCAGCCCCGACCTACACCGGAACCGTCGAAACAGGCTCTCACCGCCGAGGCTTTGCGAATCCTGCCTCAGTGAGAAATTCGTCTGCACCGAGAAACAACCAGGGCCGAAAGCAGCAGCACAAACGTCATCGTCGGCCCCGCTTGGTAGACGAGGATGCGCTTGCAGAGTCTGTATGTGCTTCTGCTCCGGTTTCGGTCTCAAGGCGTCTTCATGCTGACTTCAATACGGACCAGATTGCAGTGAATAGCACGATGAGTCGAAAAGGACAGACCTCGATCACCCATCTGATGAACTTCTCCCTTCCACCCCGCCCACACCATCGTCACCACCACCACCACCAGCATCACACACCGTATAGACCGCCTCGCCGTACTCATGGATGGGGAATCCGTTCGGGTGCGGTGGATAAAGCCAGGTTCGATCGATGTCGTAATTGACAAGGGACCAGCCCCATTGTACTAACTACCACCCAGATACGTCCATGCCAACTATCGGTTCATTGTAAATCCAACGAAGAACTACCACTCCCAGGCCACAAATGCAGATGTCCACCTTGACTGGGATACGGTTTTGCAGGTTTTGGTTTCCTCCGAAACCCAGAAGACTAGTTGTCCGATCTGCCTCTCCACCCCCGCTGCACCGCGGATGGCCAAATGTGGCCATATATTCTGCCTTCCTTGCCTCATTCGGTATATGCACTCTAGTGATGACTCCAATCCAGTTCCCGAAAAGAGGCCCAGATGGAAAAAATGTCCGATTTGCTGGGATGCCATCTACATATCAGATACTCGTTGCGTTGCATGGCATACAGGACAGCAAGCCGACATGCTTATGGAGGGCGGTGATGTTCTGCTTCGGTTGGTCTGGCGGATGCCGGGAAGCACACTGGCCCTTCCCCGCGACGGCGCAATTATTGGGCCCGAAGAAGACATTCCATGGTACCATATCGCAGATGTGCCCGATTACGCTCGGATCATGAAAGGTGGCGAGGACTACATGCTCTCTCATTATGATACTGAGATTGAGGAGCTCAAAAAGCTGGAGCATGAAGATAATCTACTTTTTGGGGAGGATTCAACATGGACAGGCAAAGCGATCGCGGCCGTCAAAGATGCAAAGGAGAAGGTAAAAGGAATCGGCAATCCCCCGGAACTATCGAGAGAATCAGTCGAGCGACGACCGCCTAGAACACTTCCGTCTGAACCCTTGGATGGTGCTCCTGATATGTATCATTTCCAACGAGCGTTAAAGTCCGGCAATAGTTCTTCGAGTGCATCTATTACCGGTCCAAGTCTAGGCTCGAGTAGTTCGAAGATCAACGATGCGACAACGGCCGAGGAGTACCTTTCTGCAGGTATTTCAAAACTGACCATCGACTCGAACGAAGCCAACCCTTCAGTTAAAACAGACACTGTCGCTAAACATGGCCGCTCGGTCACCGCGGATAAATCAAGATCTGGCCATATGCCTCACTCCAGCGATCAACCGTACTATTTTTACCAAGCTCTCCCTCACTTTTATCTTTCACCTTTGGACATACGCATCTTGAAGGCAGAATTTGGCGATTTTTCACAGTTTCCATCTGCGATCCTACCTCGAGTGGAGCACATATCAACAGGCTACGTGGTGGATGACGATTTACGCAAGCGTGCGAAGTATCTAGGCCACTTACCGTATGGGTGTGAGGTAAGTTTTTTGGAGTGTGATTGGACCGATCTTGTTAGCCCCGCAATCCTCGAGAAGTTTGCTCCTGAAATCAGCCGCCGTCGGAAGCGAAATAAGGAGAAGGCGGCTACAGAAGAAAAGGAACGTATCCGCGCGGAGAAAGAGGAAGACGACAAGAGGTGGGCCGCGGTCAGGAGGAAGAGGCCGAGTATAGGAGCTCCCTCCAACCAGCCGTTTTCGGAAACTGATTTCCAACCTCTTGCGGGTCCGTCTAGCGCAGAGGTCCCCCCGGTTCCTGAGGCGACCTTCCCCCAGGGCCCGCCTTCACCCGGACCATCTCGAGAGCAGAGCCATTCGTCGTTCGCTGCGCTCGCTTCACCGTCCAGCAGTCCACCGACACGCCGGACGGTCTGGGGCACGGCAGCTGTGGAGTCCAGCTCGGAGCCATTGCCATACCGGAGCCAAAACGAGGTCGAAGACGGATGGCTCCAGGGTTGGGAGAGGGAGCTACTGCTGGCAGAGCAGGAAGAGGTTCTTGCGGTGCGAGAGAACGCAGCTCACGCCGCAGGAAACGGTAAACGAAAGAAAAACAAGAAAATCACGCTGATGTCCACCAACGCCAGGCGAGCAGCTTGATCGATGTAATTGTCGTTTGATCGATGTGTATCTTTGCTGAGAGGCGTGCAAAATATATGTATTTTTGCTTCTGTAGCTACGGAGTACCCTGGGTGCAGATAGTAAATAGATTGGTGCTACACACAACCTGAGAACAAGACAAGTGTCTGGCTTCTGTTCAAGTGTGGAGACGATCTCTTGGGACAATCTCTACGGCGGGTGTCTCGATGACACCAGGGTTGAAACAGCATTGACCCATCTGTCCCCGTTGAATCATCTCATCTCTGCATCCCGTCCCAGCGTATGGTGCTGGCGAGGACTCCCCCCGTAACGTCGTGACGAGCGGGTTTTCGTCCCGTCCCTGTCCGGTCAGTCACGTACTGTATTATAATGTATGTAATACACTCAGGATGCCAGACAGCCGGGAACCGGGCCAATAGGAGAGCGTTTATACTTTAATTACACGCCAAGCTCCCCTCCGCGTCCTGTAACCCCCCGTAACAGTCGTAACGAACGGACGCCACAACCGCCCGAGCCGCCACAGAGCGGCGTGATTGGCTGGGAGGTGTGGCACAACAGTGATTTAGGGAGATCGCAGCTTGAAGAGGCCAATCTGAAAGTGTATGAGAGACAAGAGACCACAGCGGAGACCGATTTTCTGTCCCTTTTTTTTTTTTTTTTTTGGCTTTTTTTCTCTTTTTTCTTTTTCTTTTTTTTGCGCCCTTTTCTGTGTTGTCGCTCCGTGGATGGCCAGTCGCTGCTCCTTTATATCTGCTCCTCTCCCAGGATGACGCTGACCCGCTCACAGACCGGCAAGACGCCAAAGTAAGTTCCCTTTTTCGTCTCTTGTCTGCTTTTGTCTGTTTTGAGCACACCACTAGGAAAGCCCTGGAGGCATGACTTCGCTGTGGTGATACCTTGTGTTTTGAATTAGACCAATTTGCGCCTGAATTGGATATGAATTCCCGGTGCTCGCGCGAGAGCTTCGGGGCTGTTTCCTCAATTCCTCTCCGCTAGCAATTTCGATCGCTGATTTATGTTATCAGGAAGGTCCAACCTGACGGCTTCGTAGAGACCCCGAGCAGACGCATCACCAGGAGTCGCGCGTCGAAGAGCCCGGAATACAACGAAGCGGAATTGTCATCCAGCCAGATGATTGCTTCTGGGAAGCCCAGAAAGCGGCGCGAGGCTGAGAAGCCGGTGGAGGATGTCCAGGCGGAGACCAGATCGAACGGCGCTGCATGCCCCGCTGCGACGACGGAAGCAAAGGCCGAGCAGGTGGTGGAGCACGCGGACCACTTCGAGTTTGGTGGTTCGTGGGGTGTGCTGTCTATGATGATCGGCTTTCCGCTGCTGATGTATTACATGTGGATTGGTGCCGTGTATTACGACGGGCATCTCCCTCTGCCGGCTGAAGGTCAGTCCACCAGCGACTTTGCTCGGCATCTAGCGCATCTAGTGTACGAGGGTGCTTTCCCGTCCGTCAAGGCGTGGGCTATCTACTGGATCTTCTTCATCTTCGAGGCGCTGTGCTATATGTTCCTCCCTGGCATTGTCGTCAAGGGCAGACCGCTAGACCACTTGGGTGGAAAGCAGCTCCTCTACCGTTGCTCTGCCGTTTCTTCCTTTTACACGACCATCATCCTCGCTGTCGGCCTTCACGTCTCTGGCCTCTTCAAGCTTTACACGATCATCGATGAATTCGGTCCGTTGATGAGCGTTGCCATTCTCACCGGCTTCATCATCTCGTTCATCGCCTATTTCTCCGCTATGGCTCGTGGCGCCCAACACCGCATCACCGGATACCCGATCTATGATTTCTTCATGGGTGCGGAATTGAACCCGAGAATGTTCGGAATCTTGGATTTCAAGATGTTTTTCGAGGTTCGGCTGCCCTGGTACATCTTGCTCCTGGTCACCATGGGTGCTGCCGCGAGACAATATGAGAACTATGGATACGTGAGTGGAGAGGTTGGATTCTTGCTTATGGCTCACTTTCTATATGCCAATGCTTGCTCCAAAGGTGAAGAGTGCATTATTGCAACATGGTGAGTACCTTCCAAGGGGAAACCTACCAAGGAGGCTTCGTTTTCTGACAATTATGCTCTGTAGGGACATCTATTATGAGAAATGGGGTTTTATGCTTATCTTCTGGAACCTTGCTGGCGTCCCTCTCAGCTACTGTCATTGCACCGTCTACCTTGCCAGCCATGCTCCAGAAACCTACCGCTGGAACAAATATGCCCTGGCCGTTATGTACGTCAGCTATCTGTTCGTGTACTGGATCTGGGACACGACGAACAGTCAGAAGAACCGCTTCCGCCAACAGCAACGCGGCGATATGGTCCTGAGGAAAACATTCCCACAACTCCCATGGCAGACGGTCGAGAACCCTCGAACCATCACCAGCAAGAAAGGTGACACTATTCTTGTTGACGGTTGGTGTAAGTATACCCAATTCACAGTCCGAGTTGGTCTCGCTGGCAGCGCTGATCATATCTAGACGGCTACGCACGAAAAATCCACTACACCTGCGACCTCTATTTTGCACTCATGTGGGGTCTCGTCACCGGATTTGAAAGCCCGTTCCCTTGGTTTTACCCTGTTTTCTTCGCGGCCATGATCGCGCATCGTGCCATGAGAGATATCCAGCGATGCAGAGCCAAGTATGGGGAAGCATGGACGCAGTATGAGAAGGAGGTGCCTTATCTCTTCATCCCAGTGAGTTCGCCCAATATCTTTGACAAGCAGTGGAGATCTGGACTGTGTGATTGCTAATAAACTCCCTGTGTGCAGTATGTCATCTAGGTGGTGGCATTGTCATCAGTCTTTCGGAGATTCGGTGGATTTTATCGTTTCATTTAGCCCCGCCCCATAGTTTTATTTATTTATTTCTTTAACTTGGGGATTATTTTAGAATACTTCTTTTTAATGGAGGTTGTGACATATAGTGTACCATCGGCAGATCGTCCGTCTCCCCGATACTGCGGGATTGCTTGGGTTTATTCGTAAAAGGGTATGATGGACTCTGGTTGTTTCTAGCTCGATGCCATCGTAATGTTCGAGAGGCTTGGAGAACAAGCCATTCTCGCTGAAACTGGTGGTGTGTTTGTAAGTAGGCAACTGAAGAAGTTTGGATGGAAAATGGAAGAGTGCGGCTGATCTCAATATCTTTCGGGGAGATTCAGGGGCCGGACAAGAAGTTGTGACCATTGAAAAAAGAAAGGCAAAGATAAGGGTTCTTATTTATATGTTATCACAATCCTACTCCGTACAGTGAGGGGACATCGGTCCATTGCGGCTTGGAGCTTCAGTCTTCTCCCCCCTTTCGCAACGTCTGCGGGTTATGCGCGACTCGATGGCCATGTTGGTCGTAGTAAACAACCTAGAGGACGTCAATTCAACCCACCCTGATGTCTCAAAATCTCTTCAACCGTGACGAATTCACTTACCTTTGGCGGATTCTTAACGTTCTCTTCCCGCGCTTCTTCCTGACTTGTCACAATATTCTCAACCTGCTCGCCGAACGGGATTCAGCTCACCAGTGCCAAGATGAAATTCCATCAAGGAAAAGATAACGTACTGTTCCCTTGCGAGTACCTCCACGGATCCTAGTCTCGACATCGTCACCTTCGTGGATGGGTTCGCCAGTCTTGTCTTTGACCTGATCACTCATGTTTCGTGATTTCGAGTTGAGTTGTGGGTATGTGAACGAATTCTTATCTTTTCTTTTATTTCTCAACCTGAAAGCATGTGGGCTGGCAGGGTCATATATAGCTTCCCAAGTCGGAATCCCTTATTTATACATGGGACTGCGTTCATACGTGCATTGTCCAGTGTATACATACACGAAGCAATTATAAAGCTCCAGCTTGATATCTATCCTCGATTTTTTCAACCAAAAACATGGAAAAAGGTCCACTTCAACCTTTTTCCCTGCCCCCCTCTCAGAGCATGCGTCTAAAATAAGATTATGACGTCTGGGATGACATCAGACGGCTCGACCAGCACCGGGCGCGAAACTCAAATAGAGCAGCTCCTTATATATAGCAGTGATGGGGATTTATGAGAAATTCAATACGGGAGGCGGCTATTTTGCCTTTGCCATCAAGTCCAATTATGTCTCGTTTGGATTGAACATAACCGTCTGTTTGTCTATTCCTCACATCATGGCTCTTGCTCTCCAAGGCCTCACATTCCTCCAGCAGTACGCCGCATCATGGATGCACGGAAAGACAAAATCGTCCTCTAGGGCTCTGAACCTCGGTGTCCTATCCACCGCTTCGATTAACGCTGCGGGAAGTAAGCGTCCCAATATTGTTTTCCCATTACACTTAAACGCCAGAAGAACTACATAAAACTAACACCCTGCTTCTCTCCCAGTCATTCATCCCTCCGAGACCCATCCAGATGTAAACCTCTACGGCATTGCTTCACGCGATGCGTCGAAGGCTGAAGCCTATGCGAAGAAGTATGGCTTCAAGAAATCTTACGGTTCATACCAGGCCTTACTTGACGATCCGGACGTCAACATGGTATATATCTCGCTGCCCAATAGCTTGCATTTTGAATGGGCCAAGAAAGCCCTGCTGGCTGGAAAGCACGTCCTTTGCGAGAAGCCGTTTACCTCAAATGCAAAGGAGGCCAAGCAGCTGGTAAAGTTGGCGAAAGAGAAGAAGCTGGTACTGGAGGAAGCGGTACGCTTGCAGCCAAAATTCCCATGACTATCAGAACCATGTTGATCGTTTCCCATCCAAAATAAAAAGTTCCATTGGCAATTTCACCCAGCAGCACACCTTTTCCGCTCCATCCTCGAATCTGGGACATACGGTAAAATCATCAGTACAGATGCTTGGATGACCGTCAGCCCCGGCATCCCCGAGGGCGATATCCGTTGGAAATTCGACCTTTCAGGTACTACCACCACCACTACCACCATCCCCTTTCCCCCGACTCTTAAATCTCCTCCAACTGAACCCCTATATCCCAGGCGGCTCCCTCATGGACCAAACCTACGCGCTCTCCTTCACCCGCTACGCCATCCACACCACCTCCCCCCCACAAACCATTCTGTCCGCCGTCTGCCGCCCCTCCACCCGCGACCCGCGCATCGACGCCGCCATGCACGCGCACCTCCTCTTCACCTCCCCCACGACCCCGAACCACACCATCTACAGCCGCATCTACACCGACCAATCTCGCAGTCGCGCCTTCTTCGGCCTGCTGCCGCGCCTCTGGGAACTGCCTTCCATCGAGGTAGAAACCGACACCGCAACGATCTTCTTCTACAACGCCATCATGCCCCATCTCTACCACTACATCTCCGTCACCGATAAGCGTACGGGAAAGACGGAATATCTGACGCAGCAGTCTGGCGGGCCCGTGTGGGGTGATAGGTGGACCACCGGTGGAAAAGGAGGGAAAGCGTATTGGAGTACGTATCGCTGGCAGCTAGAGGCCTTTATGGATAGGGTTAGGGGTAAAGAGCCGCCATGTTGGGTGAGCAGCGAGGATAGTATTGCGCAGATGGAAAGCATTGATGCGATATACAAGGCTGCAGGGCTGCCTGTTAGAGGAATAAGCGGGAAGGCTGGGTGATTATCCATCACCTGTACCAGATGGGTCACTTGATGTCGCATGACAAAAAGGGAGGAGGAGGGTATAAGAATCAAAGCATTCTAGTGAGATAGTACACTATAATCAGCTACACCCCATTGGCACTGTTGTGTAGTCCAAAAGTAAATGTACCCAATTAATGTAATCTATCAAACCAATCTAATCTTAATTGGAATCTAATGCTAACATGGTCGTATCTTACCCAAGAATATTCATCTTGCATACTGGAACTCCTACACGTAGTTAGATCAAGCAAGAACTGAACACTCACATAACATAATCGAATGCTAGTCCTGCCACTTCGCTTCACAATTTATAGTATCCACACTGCTATGATTTAGAGAACCAAGGCGTGGGCGGCTGGGTAGATTGCTAATAGCACCGTAGCTATTTGCGTTGGTATCGCGCATACATTTTCCAGAATTGGCGCTCTGGCCAGCACCGGGATAACCACCTAAGTTATGGGTTGGTAGGGAAACGCCTAACAGTGGTGGTGAGGACGATGGCTCTGGTGGAGCCATTGGGGGAGTCGGAGAACCTATTGGAGATGTAACCGGGTTTGTATGTACCGTCAAGCTTTTAGTGCTACTGCGACCATTTGGAATGATAGCAGAACTAGTAAGAAAGAGATTTGATCTTGGCGGTACAGGGCGACCCCGACTCAAAGCTCTGGAAGAGTTTGAATTCCTGAGAGAGGGAACAACACGAGAAGCAGCGGCGAAAATAGTATCGCGGAAAGGGATAGAGACAGCATCTTGCTCGATGTCCGAACGTTTATTCATGGTACTTGAGAGGGTGTGGGGAAGATAGAAGCCAAGCTTCCCAAGTGGGATGGAAAGGCCATGGATAACCTTGGATAGGACAGATTAGTTAAAAAGCCGGGACGCTGATAGCAGAGAGTGGAATAGAAGAAGGAAACAAGGGTGCCTACAATACTGCAAATGACCATAAACCAAACCACAACGTACATTGTATCTGCCAGGTGCTTTGCGTCTTCACGGAGTTTACCATCGACCCTGAAATAATTATGGAAGTATTCCAAAGCAATATAAAGATAGAAAATAGCACTGACACCGATCGGACCAAAGAAACCAACAAAAGCTGCCTGTCGGAAGTCTTCAATCTGCGAAATGTATTTGTGCATGGCGAAAATCACAGGGATACGCCGGAAAAGGAGGACGAGAAGACCCAAAAGAACAAGTCTGTAAAAAGGAATGACGTCGTTATGGACGAACTCCGACCATGGACAAACCGCTCCAAACCACATGAAGACTGAAAGATTGAGTAACATGTCAATTGTTGGGTGTAGGGAATCATCCAGCGTCTCGAGCCGGAACCAGTCACTATTAAATTGTTTGGTTTGGTAACGCTGCTTATAAACCCCACAGGGGAAAAATGGAGGGGAAAGACAGGGAAAGGACAGACTTACTCGATGGTGAAAACGTTTCCGGCAATAAAGCATGCAAGAACATCATCACTGCCAATCATGCCACATGTGCCAACAATAAACAACTAGACAGTTCAGTGAGATGTTGACCGTAGAAATAATGGCAGGGGCTGTATGACTTACAGCTAAAGCAACTGCGAACACAAGAAAGCTCTCTCTATCGATATACTTATTGTCTTCGGCCCAATGCAAAAGCACCTTGGCCAGCCAGCCAACCGCGATGCCATAGAGAACACTGAGAAAAATGGTATAACCCCAGGTTTCACCAAGCCACAACGCCATGGCTGTTCGGGTACCACCGGATTCATCAGCGCCGCTGGATCTTGCATACTGAATGAGATACACTGCAACAAACAAGAACGGGTATCCAAGACCATCATTAGCACCAGACTCAGCGATGATAACGCGCTGCAGAGGTTTTGGGACGTTCTTGTCCGCGAATTTACCCTTGACGATTGAGTTGGACAAGACGGGGTCTGTCGGAGTAACACAAGCCGCCACAGCAAGAGCATGGAGATAAGGCGTATTTGGCACCAATCCCCAGATAACCACGCTAGTACAAAGCCACATCCCGGTCATGCCAGGTCCAAGAAGTAGTGAGAGGGTCTTCCATTCTTTCAGTAAAAAACGACTTGGAAGCTGGACACCGGCGATGACAAGCTGCACACCAAGTACCAGGCGGGAAAAGTAAAGAGTTATGGCGTTCAGGGCCTCCTGGGAACCGTTGGCATACTCAATAGGCTTGATGAAGTTGGCAGCATTGTGGGAGAGAGAGACTCCAGCTAAAAGAGAGATAACTGCCGCGAGCGGCCAGAAGAGGCCGTATAATTGTCAGAACGAAGGATATTAATAAGGGTACTTTGTATGTAGAGCTGATGTCCGAGTTGGCACAGGGGCGGAGGCGAGTGCCAAGACTTCTACTTACAGGCATCTGAGAGATATAGTTTCTCTTTAAAAAGGTGCGAAACCAGGCCGAAAATGGTGACAAAGCCGCCTAACGTCGCGCAGACGACATTGAAGTTGGTGACCGCGAGGGTCGGCATGCCGTACGATGAGTTAACTCCGAGGTCGCCTTGCTCTCGAATCGTTCTTGGCAACCCTTGGGGGGCGAACAAAGAGTGCGGAAGCTAAAATATGCTTAATGCAATCAAGAAATATGAATGGTGGGGAGTACGCTGTCTAATTTGCATCACAACCGTCTAGATATGAAGGACGGGAATGTGTACGCAGTATCGAGTTAAATCTCCGGATGCTATGCAGGGCCTGGGTCCTTAGGCTGTTGGGATATGGATGGCATATATATTTTCTTTTCTTTTCTTGGTTTGTGAAGATACCCGAAACGAAATAAACGCTCATTAAGGGAAGGATAGTTCGGCAAGGGTTATTGAGATAAAGTCGTCCTCAGAGCACGCGTGAAATCGACTTCTAGCTTGCTCACTGGGGGTGTTTATGAAACCTGCGCAGCGGCTATCCCACCCACGACCACGGAGATCTATCAGTGGAGGCTCCGGAAGGTGATTGATTTTAGTGGAATGGAAGGGTTGGACGGGGAGTTCCCGCGTATCCGGATGGCGTCGTTCGCCGTGGACTCCTACCGAGCAGGGATAATACCGACAAGACAAGACGGGAAAAAAGGCAAACCAGCAACAGGCTCGAGCCTCCTAGACCACGCCCTGCCCGGCGACGGAGGGTATGCAGAGATCGGTGGGAGGAGAGTAGATGCGAGGGAGAGGATGGGAGAGGACGGGAGAGGATGACGAGAGGTGCCATCAGAGGACGAGGGCGCGAAGGCAGTTAAATTCCCGCCTTCACCCGCAGCCCCCCAAGCACCGGGGAGGAGCGACCCTCTCCACAACGGCTCGGTCAGCAGACTCTTGGCGGGCGGGCGCTGTGGCTGCGGTGGCGGCGGTGGTGGCTCCACAGCACGCTTGCCCTACCGGATTGTTTACCCCGCGTCCGCAGGCCATCAGATGACGCGACCTCCACGGAGATGCGCTCTGCTGCCCTCTCAGCGCCGTGAAGGATGACCGGTCTGTCTCCGCCCACACGGCCCTTGGGGGCCAATAGGGGCCCTGTTTGGCGGTTTCACATGTCCCGACTCGAGCGCCCAGCGTCCCGACTCCCACTCCTCTTCTCTCGCCAACATTCTTGGCTCCTCGAGAGTTCAAAGAGCGTTTCCTCTGCAGTTCCATGTCATCTTTAAGGTGCCCTGTGAAGGACAGATTTCGTATGGGTTCATCGAGGCCTGGACTCGGGACCTGGGGTCCATAAGCCAGGATGTCGTGTAACTGGCAGGGAAACATCCAGTTAGCTTTGCTGCTTGTGGAGAGCGGTGTTCCTCAGCCGAGAGTTCTGCCTCACCAGAGCGACTGCAGATATCCACAGCGGGGGACCCCGATCCTCAGACGCAATGCATACTGGAGCATTTCTTCGCTCCCTTCCCCCGTGTTCTTGTGACTAGACTCATGCGCACGGCAGAAGATACACGGAGAATGCGAATGAGGTTGATGTGAGATGGATAGGTAGGTCTAAAGACGGTTTTTAAACTTTGGTGCCATGTCCACATGCGCCCCAGAAGATTTCTGTATGACAAACAACAAAATGTTAAACTCGGATATTTTCAAAGTGAGGACCCAAATCGGACAAGCCAAGCAAAATCAGGTAGATATACCGAAAGTGTTTCAAACAAGGGTATCAAATGCCCGGTCCCTTACCTGCCTTCATTGGGCTGACTTTCCGCCAAAACTGTCAGATGGCTGCAGCAACGTTCCAATAGATGTCAGACTGTAAATAGTAGACTGAAAACACTAGCCCTCCAAAAAAATAAAATTAACAAATATGAACAGCTGAATATTGTGTGTCACAGCATTACATGCCACTTCAGAACCGCGACCAAAGTAGCTGTGTTGAACCGAAAACCGTAGGCTCATGTCGCATCATCATTCCCATCGTCTTCTAGAATATTCGAGTCCTTCATGTCCTGTGCCCCTTCATTCTCACCAACCCCGTCATTGATTTCCTGCAGACCAGTCTTGGCTCCTCTTACCGCCAACCGATCCGCGGCCTCATTTCCTGGATCCTTGTTGTGCCCCTTCACCCATTCAAACAGTGTTTTCACATTCAATAGTGTGCGCTCCTCAATCTTGGCTCGGATGGATTGGACCAGGTCCTTATTTTCAACAGGCTTGTGATCCGTTGTCATCCATTTATTGCGCTGCCACCGGACGAACCACACAGTTACGCAGTCAATAGCGTACTTGCTGTCAGTGTAGATTGTAACATCACGGTGACGCGGTGCAATGTCCAGCGCACGGGATATGGCCGTCAGTTCCGCTCGCTGGTTGGTCTGACGATTACCTTTGAGGGGTTCTGAGACATTCCTGCATCAAACAAGCCCATTAGTCCCGTAAATTGTGCAGAATAAGCATCTCAAGGGAAAGTACCTCTCATCACCAGGACCAAAATATACCCCGACTCCCGCCTTAGATACCGCCTTACCATTCCCCAATGAACTGCCGTCCGTGTATATCTTCAACATATTCGGCGGCGGCACCGGTTTAGCCTGCAATTTTGTTGCAGCTTTTTGCTCCGGAGTCTTGTATACTAAACGCCCGGTCGACGGGTCCAGCAATATATTCGGATCAAACCCATCTTCCGCACCAGGGGGCAAAGGGCCCGTGCCCGGCGGATATTCATTCCCGAATTCATCCTTTAGCGGCTCTGCCGTCATCCCCGGGGCGCCACGTAGTTTTACTTTCTTCGACGACGCCTCCGCACCCGCTCCATTATTCCCTTGCTCTCGACCCTGTCGCACAAATTCATCTGCTTCGGCCCAGGTGGAGAACTTGCGGTATTTCGGACCACGGAATCCTTTAATCTGATCCTGCGCAACTGCCCAATCGGTATACACGCCGGGCTGTCTGCCGCGCTGTACGCCGTAGAACTTGGTACTCGTAGCTGTTGAACTTTCCGACACCGGAGCCTGAGTCCCGGTCAAGAATGCTTTTGCTTCTGGAACCGTAAGGAAAGATTGGACTACAAAGAAAAAGAAAGTCCTCCAGATTAGTATATATTATAATCCCCATTGAAGCTTGAAGCACCCACAAGGAGAGAGAGAAGGAGAGGAAGGGGGGTTTAAATTCAGACGTACAGACAGCTCCTTTAAACCCTTTTACCTGAGCCAGGCAGTCATTCCATGAGTGATATATTCCAGGCTTAAATCCGCTCTTCACGGCGTAAAATTTCGTCTCTGTACCCCGCTTTCGTTTTGTCCCTGCAGCCGCGGGAATCGCGGTTGGTTGCGTCGGGGATTGGGGCGCGGGCGATCGGTCCGGGCTTTTTGCATTCGGAGGTGGAACCGAAGTCATGATTGACAACGGATGATGAGCATCGATGAGGGAAAGATAGGTTCGGAAAAAGGGAGATGAGGACGTGGTGATACGGAAGAAGGGCGGGAGGAGGAGTCGCTTCCACAAGGGAAGAAGATGGTGGGGTGTAATTCGGGACGTGGTGGCTGCGATGATTGACGGCTTGACGGTCTGTTGACAAGGGGTGAAAGTGATGGAAGTTAGGACTTATGGGTGTTCCGTTGGTTCGTACAGACTTGGCTTTTATAATGAAAGAGAAAAAGACATTGGAGGTGGGCTGCGATGGAGCTTCCGTCGACTTTGGCACTCGTTTTGGCGCTGGGTTCGAATTTGCGCCGAGGCCAAAGTTTCGCTTTGAGGGGGAGATGGGCATGCAGGTTAGGCAAAGCGTTGAAAGCGTCGAAACCCCCCTTTGCGATGACAGCCGAAATAAATTCGCTTCATATCTACTCATAAAAGTAATATTGCTATCAATATGATCGGCGTAGCTGTGGGGTTTCCAGTCCCTTCTACTATATTTTTTAAATCCCAGAATATAAACAATAGAAAGTACCTGCGCTTGCATGATTTCAGGGACACATCTAGATCTATGACCCCGTCCTCGATTTTTTTGGTGATGTAATATATACCGGGGAGACAAATAAAAGAGCAGTGGATTTACATTTTGGCTTTGAGAAGGGCACCGAAAGCATCCAAGCCAGGTGGGCCATCGTAGATGAGCTGTTCAACAGCGCGGGCATTGATCTATTGAAACTGGTTAGAATCACCCAACATATTTCGAAGTGAAACATGGGCAACTAACATGCTGCATCCCCAAGTCGTCAACCCTTTCAACTCCTAGAAGACGCATAGCCGTTTGAGTTTCCTCGTTCAGAACTAAAAGTAAACCATTGTTAGACACAAAGCGTAGGACGGCTAGGCTACTAAGACTTACTCTGCAAGACTCTTTCCACTCCCTCAATCCCGCCAGCTCCAAGACCAAAAAGCGCTGGTCTCCCGATTCCAACCGCTTTCGCACCCAGACATAAGGCTTTCACAACATCTGTGCCTCGCTTGATCCCACCATCGACCCATACTTCCAATTTATCGAAAACTTCAGGGCAATACTTTCGCATCTCGAGCAATGTATGAACTGCTGGAGGAGCCGTATCCATAGCTCTACCACCATGGTTTGAGAGAATAATGGCCTTGACTTGTGGAGTGTGCAGGGATGCGATGTAGGCGTCCTCGTGTGTCTGAAGACCCTTCAGCACGATTGGAAGATCTGTATGTTTCGCCAGCCATGGAAGCGTCGTTTTCCACGTTAATGAAGGATCCGTGCCGCCGAATAGCTGCTTGCCGATGCCACTTCCACCGACAACCGGTGTTCCACCGGATGCCTTGACCATCTCCGCGGTGCTAAGATTGTTGGGTTCTTTAGTTCGCTCATCATCCTCCCGTTTACCAGGGACGGGGACGTCAAGCGTCAGGCAGACAAATTTGATGGCTTTGAGCTTTTTGATGCGAGCAAGCATCGTCTCGCTCTTGCTTTTGTCTGTCTGCACATATAGCTGCCACCCGAAGATCTGATCTGGCTTTGCGTCCTTCACCACTTGCTCTGGAGTCATGGAAGCATTGTTGGAGATTAGCTGCATGGTCCCGAACTTCGAGCAAGCTGCAGCAATGCCTGCTTCACCTGCTGGGTGTGCAAGACGTGCCACTGCAGTCGGAGAAACATAAATTGGTGAACCAAGCTTGTAACCTAAAATATTCGTGGAAAGGTCGCATTTTTTGCAATCAATGAAGACTCTGGGTCGGAGTAAGATGGACCGGTAGACAGAGTTATTCAAATGTTTAGAAATAAGGTCGTCAGCTGCGGAATAGTAGTATCCCCAAGCCTTTCTGCTGATCTGTTTCGTAGCCACCTGTTCAATATCATCTAGATTAAGGAGAGACGCCATTGGCGGTGGGCCTTCACGTTCTGCAGACGTCGGTGCCTTCACTGGGGTAAGTTGGTAAAGTGTCGTAGGGTCGACAGTCCCGAGACAAGCCTCCGGCCGTAAATTCTCCTCCAAAGTCCCACTGGGGTGAATTGGGTCATATTCTTCAGTAGCATCTTTTCCCGCTAATTTCAAGATGATACTCGCGCCCCCAGGATGATCCGGAAGAAAGTCTGTCACCTATATTTGCAGTTTAACATAAGGTCAACCCGCAATACCGCATAAAATTCACAGAAGTGTGCATGATGCCCGACTCACATCGTAAACCTTTCCGTAGAGCACAACCCAACAGCTGTCAACGGTGTTGTGCTTGGCGACTGCGAGTTGATGTCAGCAGGAGGGCGTTTTTTTGCCAACGCCGCGATCGACGACAATAGTTTGGTTCACCAATGAATAGATCTCAGCACGCACCTTCTGCTGCATCCAGAATCTTCTTTTGTGCCATTGCTTTTTCCCGATGTTCGTCGCCTGCTTGATCGGCGTTTTGACTTTCGGCTTTATTTCTTGATATCACGGATGACAGCAATTGGAGGATAAAGATGACCAAACGAAGCAAGAGATGGGCAATTACGAGCCCAATCGCACCGGCGAATTATAAGTAACTGGTCAGGGATCGCAATACTTGCAGGTTATTCAGGCAGGAGAGGGAAAAAACAAAAAGTCATAGAGTTTTCCAGCTTCAACCGGCAAAAAAATATATCAACCGCGGGGAGCGCCGAAACCTGATATTCTGGGGAAAGCTTCGGGTTTTCATATCTCTTCCCCAGCAGTTCGATGGGGCAAAACCTTCTCACCAAGTCGGCCGAGTTCTGTGAAAGGCTCAAGCTTAGAACTTTAAGTCGGAGCTCGAGACCCAGTGGACACTTCCAGGCCTATCATCATCCTATGGATTACATTCAATGTCAGACTTACTGGAGGTTGTGGGTCCACAAGTTACGAAGATTGCAACACACCTCTTCTAAGGTAGCAAGGGAAGTTGCTCGAATATCTTGGCGATGGCAGGAAATCTGAACCGACTCAGAACACCAGACGGATATTCCCGTATTGGTACGGAGTATGGTTCCTGGAAACCTAAGATGATGTGGCGCGTCCCCTGCCCTCAAAAACCTGACGGTTTGGATGGATAGCCAGGTTCAAAGAGCCCAAAACCATGTTTGGGACCACGGGTAATTAGGCGCGGAAAGCCCAAATCGAAAGCTCGGCAAGAATCCCGCGTTTTAAAATCCGCCCAAAAGGTTAAAGGACGGACGAGAGAAACGAGAACCAAGGGACGCGCTCAGGTATAGCCTCTAAGCTCCCATTTTGATACTGTACGAATGTGGCATCCTATGTCTTTTAGGCCGGATTTGCCTGACGATGCAATAAAGGCCCACAAATGACACAAAGCCTAGATGTTTCGAAGTGGATAGCAGAGAGAATTGAGCTCTTTATATAAATGGACAAACAGGAAGTCGAGGACGATGCGTACATCGCAGCCGCCATTGGGCATGCTTGATATTTCAAGATTTCTTGCCGAAATTTAGGCATAAAAGTTAAGGAGAGCTGGGAGCTTTAATTTGGTTATATTGTCATCCTGTGGAAGGCAGAGCAAATAACCTTCACGTCCGAATTCGTATAATTCGATTGAACAAAACAGCAAAGCGCGAATGGTTGTTATAAACCTGCGACAACCACCTACGAACTTGTAATGCCAGTCGACGAGACATGACTGAACTTTCGGTATGTAAGGGGTACAGGAAGTCCTGAAAGCTCGCCGACGATCACTTAAACGACCTTCCAAGTGAGACGCTGCAGACTATAATGCAGAGATCTCTTTTTCGTACCTTGTGTGCCACGCCCAGGCTGTTCCCACTGTAAAAGATTCGGCTCAAGCTTGCAACATATTTTCACGACGACTAATGTCCGTGATGGCCTTGTCGAGATAGCTGCTACCAAAGATTTTCAAGTGATGGATGCTGGCAGATGCGGTGTGCTTGTTTCAATCGTAAGAGATAATCGAGGCCGCTTCGTTGGATAGACTGCTAGGAATCATAGCGCCTCGAGTGAAAACATTTCAAGGTTCACATCGAATCTTGCCTCAATGGATATCTTCTGGGTAGCTATGGTTATAGGATAGCAGAGGTGCCGATTTTTAAGGTGCCCGACACACAGGACAGTTGCCTTGTGACGGAAAGACGTGAGCAGCAACATGCCCATCTTCATTCAAGGGTTTCTCGGAAATATCGAACCAAGTATTACCATTCTACCCCGTAGACGGCCGTTTTCCATGATTGTGGCGTGCCCCGTCGTCCAATGAGGGAAAAACAGGATGCAAGATATACGGATCGTGAAGCCGTAAAACGCAGCAAATCATCCTTACTTAGATTGGCGAATCCACAAGTAAAGTTCTTCGAATTCTGTAAACCTATGAGACTGTCTCAAATCATCTGAACAGATAGACCTTGCATCCGCGTCACCAGGCAAGGGGCTTTCTCCGACAGGTTCCTAGCGGAGGAGAACTAAGCTGGTTATTTGCTATGTTGAGTGAATTGGACTGCCTTGGGCGTGCCCAAGGTCCAATCTCACGGGTCTTTAGGCAGACAATGCGATAGAGAGTTAATCACCCCACGTTAAATTCTTGCTTGCTGGAGGAATGAAGGGTAAGTTAGAGTTGCTGAAGATGTGGTACGAATATGATGTCAGGCCGAACCGAATTTCGGCGCTTTGGCCAGCTCAGGTGACGATGGCTTTATCGCCTTTCGCAGATTGTTTCTCCTCCTTTTCGCCTCTCCTAAACCCCTAGTTGCTTTGGATCAACGTCGTCTCCCATCTCGAGGCAAGCAGAAACAGCGCTGGATAATAATGGTCGATTGAAGTTTTTAACTTTCAGGGAGAGGCAAGAAGCAAGACCCCTTATACCCTGCACGTTTTAAGCGCTTTTATTTTTGATTATTTTGACACAAGTCTAATCTTTCGCTGGGCGATCATGTTTGAGGTAAGTTACTACCGTGAGATACGACGCTAGAACATTATTTCCTGACCGCTTCATCGTATCCACGCCCGTACTTCTACCACCCACTCACCCTCGAGAGCCAGTCGTTTTTGATATCCACATGTACATGAGAAGGAGGGGAAAACTAACAAGGAATTTCACCTATCAATCTAGCGTCGTGCCAGCGAACGATACCGTCTGCGCCTCCACCGCGCCCGCTCCGTCGTCCTCACCGAGCAGGAAATCGTTGAAGTCCGCGCCGCACAACGCACTTTCGAAGGAGCGTACATCCGTACCTCCCTCTCCCAGTTCTCCTTCGCGCTTGTCGTGCTGAAGATTTTCACCGCCGAGTTTTACAGCATAGGTGCGCTGTTCGCCGTCTATGGAGCGGCCGTGATGGTTGTCGGCCTGTTCCGCCGGCAGCAGGGGAACAAGTCGTTCTTCTCGGAGGTTGACGATGATGGTGTGAACAGGAAGAAGTTTCGGACGAGTGGTAATGTGGTCGTGGTCCTGACGGCGCTGAGTGTCGCAGCGTACGCGTGTCTGATGGCGTTGACCGTGACGCTTGATATATGAACTTTTGTATGGCTGAAAGGCCCTCCGGAGAGTGAAAGATTGTTTTGATTCAAGGTAATATCTTTCGGTTGGTTAAAGGGGGGTTATTGTCCTATTTCAGGGCGAAATGGGTGGACTTGGTTTGGTGAAGCCTGAGGCGCTATCTTTGTCTGGGGGTAGCCGCATTCGAAGTTGTCGGTGCGTCATTGCTTTCGGACGACCGAGCGAGGTGTGAGAAGCACAAACGGCTCTCGACGGCTTTGAAAGCCAGAGCAGCTGGGCGTCTGAGATGGCGCCAAAGGGGACTCATCACGGTCAAGCGGCCTTGACCGGTTCCCGAGGCGGCTCAGGCTCGGGATAAGAGAAAGCTGGTTGAATGCAGCTCACCGAAATGCTGGTTTACAGTGCGACCAGAGGCAATGCGGCCAAAGGTAATATGCATGTCTACGGAGGTATTTTCGCTCTACGCAGTAATTATAATAATAATTTACCCTGGGTATTGCTTTAGTTCTGCATGCAGGTTAGCGATCGCCGATAAATGACGGCACGGTTTCCATTCCACGGCACAATAGTAGAAGATTCGCGTTATTTAAAGCGTAAGTTATGTGGTTGGAGAGTGCCTCGAGCTGTACGAGTCATGAGAATCTCGCTTTTCGCTGAAAAGCAGGATCGGCAGCGCATCAGGCGGCGCATCTCCTGCGCACACTCCCCTTGCACCTCAAAACTTGGATCCAAGTCAATCTTGATGCACAGAACCACGGTTAGTTGGTCGAGCAATTGCCCCGGAGCTGCATAAGGTACTTAGGCTGCAAGTAATCAAAGATATGATATGACTCTAAAACAACCATCCTGTCGGGTATATCCGTCAATGGGAAAAATATATGCTTATCACAGTGCCACAATGGTCAGCCTTGGGTCATAACCCAACAGCGGGCATGCTCTTTGATCATCATTGACTGTTTCCATGTGAAGGACGATAGATGCAAGATGCAATCTTGAGCAGTTTATGATTGAAAACCAGTGTCAAAGCGAGGAAGCTTCTGTTAACACAACTGTCACCTTGACCTCATTGGAGAAGGCTGAAAAAGCACTTCGCATATTGCTATCCACTCTCTCTCCCTCTCTTTTTTCTCTCTACTGCTTTTTTCCCTCTTCTTCTTCGTTTTCTTTTTTGCTCCATCCTGCTCCTTCCACTCCATACTGTTCTAGATGTCTCTCGGCTGATACCTGTTTATTTGTTGACCTAGTGCATTGTTTACATCTCCAGCCCATCGCGTAAAATCTACACTGGAATCAGCTTTCCCACACATTCGTCTCTTACTACATTATTACAGCCTCATCAAATAAAAAAACCGTCCCCCAATTCCCTTCCGAAACCACTCTATATCTATTATCTATTCCCGTCTGCTGATGTTGTGTGACTCCACACATTTTCATTAGGTATTAGCCAAAGCTTGTTCCGAGGCTGATAGGGCTGACCCTCCCAACCCCCCAACCTTACAGGCACGGCGTGATAGGTGCGTGTGCCCAAGCCCCAAGCCCAGGGTAGCCACCCCCAGCCGCCCACTCCCGGGATCGATCCATGTCCCAACACTCCCACCTTGCGAGGACCGCCGTCCTGACAAACTTCTTTAATGCATCTGCCGGAATGCACGGTGATCAGGACGGTGAAAGCAGCATCGCCAACAACAACAACCATCATTATCATCATCATCATCATCCTCCTCCTCTTCCCCTCCTGCAGCACTCTGATCAGGAAGACTCTGATACTTTGATGCCTCCGACGAAAACTGTGATCGGAAGAGCTCTTGGCAATGATTGCCATTTGGGTAGTGGTTCTCACGCTGGTGCCGCGACCCACGCTGGTGTCGGGAATGCGTTGACTGACACTCCGGTATCTACCGCGCCTCCATCACCCCAAATGTGAGTAGCCGGTCCCATCTCCCCAGTCTGCACTTGTGATATAAAGTACTGCTCCCGCTTTACTTTTTTCCTTTATGTGCTTGGCCATGGGGGTCATACAGGCTTTCTTTCTGTTAGGGGTTGCAGCCTAGCCGCGCGCCCACACGCCTTCGCGCTTGTGGACCACTGCTTTTAATTTCATTTCTGCCTCTGAAAAGTATTATTTACATCTCTCTCTCTCTCTCTCTCTCTTTTTTTTTTTTTTTTTGAAAAATAAACTAACGCTTCAATCTGGAAATAGTATCCCAAGATCCTATAGTTCTGGCGCCTCAACCCCTGGAAAGATCCGTGCCACGACCCTCGATATTCCTGGCCTTACCAAGTCCAAGGTTTCTCCCGATGGCCGTATTGCTCAGCGCGATGTTGGCTCCAAACTCGTCATCGTTATGGTGGGCCTGCCCGCCAGGGGCAAGAGCTACATCACCAAGAAGCTGTCGCGCTACTTGAACTGGCTGCAGCACGATACCAGAATCTTCAACGTGGGAGAGCGTCGTCGTGTGGCTGCTAGCGGCGGTGGACTTGATGAGCCCAAGGAGCCTCTGCAGGTCCCCAAAGTACACGAGCCGGAAGAGAGGTCTGAAGACGAATCCGGACACAGCTCTGACCAAAAGTCCGAAGTCGACTCTGAAAAGGAGCTTGGAAAAGACCCGGGAGCCGTCGAAGAACTGAGAGATTCTGTTCGTGAAATGGTGACCGACAAGAAGCTTGCGGAGAAAGAAGAAGTCCGCAAACAAGTTGAAGCTACTCTTGCGGTCCCTTCGGCCAGAATCCTAGTCAATGGCCAGCCTTTGGAGGATCCGCGAAAGGGGTTGCAAGACGCTAGTCCGATGACTGTTGGTCCTTCCACGCCCGCCAAAGGACAGTCAGGTGTCCCAAGTCCAGAGACCTTGGGCCATGCTGGCAAGTCCGAGAAGCAGAAGGCCGTTGACGGTGAAGAGCAGGAAGTAATGGACCAGTCCGCTGTTTTTTTCGACCCTAAAAATGAACGTGCGTTGCAGCTCAGAGAGAGGGTGGCTCTGGAGACCTTGGATGAGCTCCTAGACTACATTCTCGAGCAGGGCGGAAGTGTTGGTATCCTCGACGCTACTAACAGCACCATCAAGCGTCGCAAGACTATCATGGAGCACATTCGTGCGAAGGCCGGACCGGCTTTAAACGTTCTTTTCGTGGAGAGCCAGTGCTTGGACCAGAATTTGTTGGAATCAAACATGCTCCTCAAGCTCTCTGGTCCAGACTACAAGGGTATGGATCCAACTGTTGCCTTGGCAGACTTCAAGAAGCGTGTGAAGCTGTACGAAAATTCATACGTGCCTCTCGGGGAATATGAAGAAGCGAATAACATCCCGTATGTCAAGACCATTGACGTCTGCCGAAAAGTTGTGTCATTTGAGGTGAACGGCTTCCTGTCTTCCCAGGTCGTGTATTACCTCCTCAACTTCAATCTGTCGCCTCGACAGATTTGGATTTCTCGCCACGGCGAGAGTTTAGATGATGTCGCCGGTAAAATCGGAGGGGACTCCCCACTTAGCGGGAACGGTGTCCGTTATGCTCACGCTCTCGCAAATTTTATTGATTTTAGACGCGGTATGTGGGAGGTTACCCGAAAAAACAAGGCGAAATCGAGCCATTTCCCACCTCGCCCTGGCGACAGCACTCCTCCGAACCCGCAGCGCACTCCCTATGACGTTGAGACCGACCTCAACTTCTGCGTCTGGACATCTATGATGCAACGCTCTATCCAGACTGCACAGTTCTTCAACGAGGATAAATACGACGTCAAGGAGATGCGCATGCTAGACGAACTGAACGCTGGCCAGATGGAGGGCATGACATATAGAGAAATTCGTGGGAAGTACCCCGAAGATTACGCCTTACGTCGTCGGCAGAAACTCCACTATCGCTACCCCGGCGTTGGTGGAGAAGGATATCTCGACGTCATCAACCGTCTGCGTGCAGTCATCGTCGAAGTCGAACGGATGACCGACCATGTCCTGCTTGTTGGCCATCGATCTGTCGCCAGGGTGTTACTCGCGTACTTCCTTGGATTGAAGAGGGAGATTCTTACCGACCTGGACGTTCCGCTTGGGACAATCTACTCTATCGAACCTGTAAGTGCCTTTCAGTTCCCCATATAATCCCTGAAGAGTTGTGCCTAAGCGTTCGATTCACTTACTGACGTTGGGCTTCCTGAAGAAACCGTACGGCGTTGAATTCAAAGTCTTCCGATACAACCCGTCAACGGAATGGTTCGATGAGCTTCCAAATTATGAGCTGAAGCATGAGACTTATTATTAGTCTCCACTTGTCGACCTGTTTGTTCGACTTCTTATGCTTCAGGACTCATAAACATTTAGCCTGCCAGCCTTTTGTTGTTTTCTATGCAGGGATATCCATAAGAATGTTGCTCTCAAATACCCTTCTCACTTATAGTTGAGATCTGCTAGAGTATGGAGTTAGGCACCTGTTCTACCCTTTGGGTCTATTCCCCACTTACTTTTTGCTTTAATCCTTTAAATAGCCCGCCTCAGTCTCCTTTTTTCTAGATTCTTTTTTCTTATATTCTGGGTTTATTGGTCTTTCTAACTTGTCTTTTAGATGCTTTTTCTCTTTTTGTATTTTTCCTATTTTCCGGTAATGCATGGTCCCTGGTGTTGGTATGATGAGCTTAGTAACTGACATGAAGAACTCTGGGAGGACGAGAGACGGATCAACAGCATTTGGGAGGGCGTTCAGTTCGGACGGTCTTGGGCTTTGGTTGTGACTGCATCATCGTCTGGTTTTGGCTGCTTGATTTCTCCTTCTTATTTTGACCCGGTGCAGTGTAAGTTTCGAATAATGGAACGTCTTGTAGGAGTGCATCTGTCCTTCTGTCCTTCTTCGCGTTGTAAGTGGCTTTTAACCTGGCAACGGACTCGGTGTGAAATTTGAGCGGTGATGACTTTTTGCGAAAAAAAAAGAGAGAGAGAGATGAGCTCAAGTGACAATCGCATACATTGATTTACTGTTTGGCCTCCATATCTGACAATTTATCATATATATCCATGAAGAAAAAAAAAGGGTTTAGATCAGAGAGGCCCGGGCTGATTTCTCGCATCATGTCATGTCCACATCATTTCGGCTGAGACAAATTTCGTGCCATCATCCTACTCCTATTGGGCAATCAAGAGCTTCCAACCTGCTTAACAAACTGCAAAACCGCTTCCTCTGCTGGATTCGCAGCGATCGAAGCATTCGTGGCAACCACAGAGGCACCAGCTTGTGGGAGAGGATGTTTTACATTCCATACTGTTGCATACTATTTTGGTTTGGTCCGTTAGTATTTTTGTGCGACTTTAAAAAAAAAGAAAGGGCTCGATAAGCGAATGGAGCTAGATGAGTTGCAACGTGTTTCTCAGCTCAGGCATCATTGGTCGCCGACCATGCTTGTTCGTTTTGTGACACAACACTTATTTGGCAAAGCCAAAAGCCCATCTGTGTAACATAGGGCAACAGTATGTATGCAAGTAAACGAGACCTTTTCGCATATACTTTGGACGGAGCATAAGGATATAAAATGGCCAAGGGGAAATTAAATATAACTCACCTTAAACCAGAAATTCAACACTAGTGCTACCGCTAGCCCAAGGCAAACTATCAACGGCCCCGCAATGTTGTCGAAATCTCGCCCGCTTCTCTGTCGAATCAGCTTCGATCTCCAGATATACATACCCCAACCCCATCCGCAGGCGAAAATCGCAAAACAGGTGTATACGACGGCTAATATCCGTGCAATAGAGTTCGATGGGCCGGCAGCGTTATAGAGCCCGAGAGATAATGCCGCGAGGAGAATGGAAATGTGCTGCCACTTTATAAATGTCCGTTGATTGGCGAGCCAGACTTTAGCTTCAACTCGGACGGGACCGGAATCCTTGATCCACGTCCCCGGTGCGTAAACGCCCGGAGGGAGGGGTGCTGTGCGTTGTCGGTGGGCGCGGGCGTACCGGGATAGTTTTGAGCGGAGACCATAGGCCCTTGAACTGGGTTGAGCTGGTAACTGCTCTGACTGGGGCTGTCGTTGTTGCTCCACTGATTCCCCTTCTTCCTCTTCTTCTTCTTCCTGCATAGCAACTGCATCTGGAATGGGCTGTGGCTCTATCCTTTGGAGAGACCGAGGTCTTGCATGCTCAGATGATTCTTCGGAGATAACCCTACCGATTGGAGATCCCACCACGGGCTGAGCGACCGGCGTCTTGCTTCCCAAGAAGCTACCTACGGCCATCTGGTCTTCGGCACGCCTAGCGATCTTTTCCTGTTCTTCTTGGAAAGCTATCTCGGGGTCACGACGAATATCGGTATCCAGGTCGCTAAGCCAGAAAGGGAAGCTGTTCACTTGGTCTTCGAAGAGCTGAGCTATCCCATGTACAAATTTGGAGAAGCGTGGCGCCTCTTTCAGCAGGTGAGAAGACATCAAGTCTGCGATCCACTCCCTGCTGGCTCTGCGCTGGTTGTCGCCTCTCACTTTGATTTCTAAAAGGGCGTGCGGGAAGCGAGAGATCTCCCCTTCCTTAATGTTGGAAAAAGGGAACTCCAAACCATTGTCATCGATGTCGTGACGATGCCAGTCGTCCGGGTTACGACAGGGATGTTCAAGATTCAACGAATCTTCCCGTATTAAAGCCAAATCTGTATCCAGGGATATCCTAACACGGTCATCGCCCGGGATCTGAAATGCCGTTCGAGTGTAGTTTGCTCGCACCATTGGCTGGAGCTGATTCTGCTGGATGAAGCTCTGGATTTCTTCAATATCACTCTTCAAGGCGTTTATGCGGTCCTGGTTCACGTTCTCCTGCCGCTGCATTCTGTTGATGATTTTCTCCATTTTATAATTCCCTTCTAGGAATGACTGGATGTGCTTTTGCTTAAGGCTGATCCTGACCTCGCGGCTGCTTCCACTTTCACCCATGACCTTCTTTTCGAGAAACATTTCCGGTTTGTCTTGCAACTTGCCAGTCCATCGAAGTCGCAAGGAGCCAGCACCAGTTGACCTCTGAATTTTTTTGGTATATAGGTCAAATCTAGGATTATCGAAATAGAGTGAAGTGATGGTTGGGTCGCCCTGTCCCAAGTCCAACTCCTTCGAGGTATTCGGGTTATAAAGTAAGACAGGCAAGCGACGAAGTATATAGGTCTTCACTTCCATGATATTGTCGACATGGACCCAGAATTTGTGAGAGGTATAGACATCATGGCCGAGGTGAGCGTCAACGGTGGGCATATCTCTAACGTGGCCAGGACTGAAATCGAGGATCTGGCGAACGTATGAATACATCGCGGAGAGGCGGTACAGAAGGGGAGAATAATCTTCTGAATTGAAGGGCAGCTGGGACAGCCGCACTTGAAGCAACGGCCGGACTCTGTACCGGGCGCCTCTTCTCCGATCATGTTTCTTCGCCGCCTTCAAAAAGCCCGTGAAGTTTATGCGGCTGAACTTCTCCAGCTCGCTTAGCTCCTTGATGATCCCATCCAGCTTCTCCAAGGCCTCTCGTGCGATAGTTTCCCTCTGCTGCTCCTCGATGTGGCTCACGTCGGCGTCGAGAGTCAGCGGTTCCAATGTGGCCTCACATTCTGACGTTCGATCGCGAAGCTGCTTATATGTCTGGACCTGGAATGCGTTTACTTTATCGAGCTGGATATTCACCAGTTCTTGAACGAAATTCTCCTCGTCGTCTTCCGTCCACTGGGTGTCAGCCCCGTCCGACTTCGGTTCGTGCTCTCGAAGCAACCGCTTCAGCTTATGGTAGTCGATATAATGATCCTTCCATGGGGCATATATGGAGGACTTCAGGGTCTTTCCGAAACGCATGGTGGTGGTGGTGGTGGTGGTGGTGAGGATGGCCCGCAGAGCCCGATGGAAGTTGCTCGTTGGAGGTCCAAATGTCCCGAGTCGGACCCAGTCAGGCGATCTCGGGAGCTTAGGTCACTCCCCTCTGACGGAAAAGCAAAAAAAAAGGCTCTGATTTGTGTTCACATGCACGTCAGATCCTCGACGGAAAAGTCAATTGCAACGGCATGCTAGCCCTGCATGGAGGCGAGCCGGCTGAGAGTAAATAATATCAGCGGCCAGGGCAGCCAGAGCAGCCAACCGCCCGGCGCAGCGTCCTGTCACTTCCGCCCGCCTGTTTTTGCTGCGTGCGCGAGCTGCGTTGAACCCCCGGCCAATCAGGGTGGCTGATCTGCTCACGTTAGCCACTGTCAGCAGACGCCTTCCCTATTCTAGACTAGCGTAACCCTTCGTGCCAAGATGACATCATTGTGGCGAAGCGTGACTAAGCGGTAAGGTTATCCTTGGCGTGTTTGGGCTGTTTGCTGGTCTTCTGCGCCGAACTTTCGTAGAACATCGCGCTACAACCAAACATCCAGCTCCGAACAACAGAGGTCAGCCGGTGCAAGAGAAGGGGGCCTGGCGTTAACTTGAGGACCGGCATTGTGCTGGCAGCTAGCTGGGTTATCCATAGGAAGCATGGTCGTTGCACCAAAGCTATATCCGCGGGCGACAGTCAAGCGCATTGTCAAGGCCCATACGCGGAAGAACCTCAGCAAGAACGCAGACATTCTCGTGGGTCGCACGGTGTTCAATCAGCTTCTACAGCAGGATAGCCTTGATTTTATCTGGAATCAGACTCGCTGATGCATTTTGTCTACTATGCAGATATTTTTGGACTACATGCTCTTCATGAAAGAGTAAGTCGTTGCCACCTTGACCCTCCTTAAATGTTTTTGGACGGTCATGTTTTTGTTTGTGCTTGGTGGTCGAAGTGCAATGTTAACAACCACCATGTCCCGTTTTCCAGGTTAATGCGAGAGGCCTCAATCACGTCAAAGAAAAGCGGGGAGGCCACCATATCTGCGAAAAGCATCCGAAGAGTCACCGAGGTACGTCCTCAGCGAACTGATCCTGGTCTCCTTGAAGCATTGCTGATGCGTCTGGATTTCCTAGGGAACTTTACGGAAGTTTAAGGGATAAAGAACGGAAAATATGTGGCAAAGTCGCAGACAATGGGCTTCATTCTTGCAGGATGTTGGCGTTCAGGCTTTCGATAACGAAATTCATATGATACCCGGGATAGGTGAAACACGGGGGCAGACAGCCTCTTTTTTCATGTTTTCCTTCCATCTGTGTGTGTCTCATCAGTATGAAGCATTGAAGCATCGAATTTAGAGTTGAAGTGTACCAGTATCCACGGTTTACAGGCGTAAATACAGTTGAGACGTAGAAAACGGGCGATAGCGAGTCGGATGTTGCACCTAGCAGTGTGAAACTACTGGGAGTACGGAGTAGACGTGTAAAACCAGCGGAGTGCTGGCGAAACCACACGGCTGGGGGTTCAAAGGGACCGTGCGCATTGTCCACTTGAGGCTGCGGGTTTGAACTCCACAAAGCCTCACCCGAAAATCAACAACAAACTCCTTGCTTCCTCCAGCTTTCCTCCTCGCTACCAACTTCTACTCACTCTTAGCTCGTACGCCTCTCTGATTCTTTTCTTTTTAAAGCCTCTAAAGCTTTTTGCTACGCGCATTTTCTTGCTGCCTGCTTCCCCTCTCTGCCCTTCTTCTGAGAACCTTTCCTCGTTCAATCTCACATCACACGACACCCACGTCGCGACTCGTCCTTCCCAATCATGTCTTCACCAGCAGTCTCCAACGCTCCACAGGTGGACTCTAAGAGCTCAAAGAAGAAGCGTGGCAAGGCTGAGGCCGCCGCTGCTCCATCCACCCCGCCAGTCCAGGAACCAACCACGTCCACCGAAGCTCCTGTCAACGGCGCCTCTCATGAGTTTCCCTTCTTGAAAGAACTTCAAAAGTATGAACTTGGCTGTTCTTATGCACTTGTCAGTGGTTTAAGGCCTGCAATCACACGTTGCTGACGCTGTTTTATCTCATAGGAGTTTGAGAAATGCGACCAAGAAGCTTGTGAGTCCCAACTCTCCACTGACATCTTCTCAGAGCCAGCAGATACTGACAGAATTTTCTTTTCTCGTCTATTTAGAATGCAACAGCAAAGGTGGATGCCATTATTGCTGAAAACCCTGGAGTGTCCCTTGATGACCTTGTCACATCCAAGAAAATCAACGCCGATCAAAAGGCGCAAGTCCTGAAGAAGCCCGTCCTCCAAGAGAATATCGCGTCTATCGAAGAACAGCTCTCTCAATTCAAACAATATGGCGCTTACTACAACGATCGCCTTGAGAAGCAAAAGGAGGAACTCGACAAAGCTCATAAAGAGGAATTGGATTCCATCAAACAGGATGTTGTTGCCGAGACCTTGCAAGCTGCAGAGAAGGACTTTAGGGAGCGATTGCTGACCCTCAGTAAATTCTTGCGAGCTGCGGCAGCAATGAGACGCAGTGGAGATGAAACTTCAAGCGACAGTCGTGCTTTTGAAGGATCACTGTTCCAGGTCTATGGTGGAACCCCCGAAGCTGTGGACGCAATGAACAAATTGATCCAGGGTGCAGATGAGAAGGTCCCCGGTGTTGAAGGCGAGCTTCTTGAGGTTCCATGTAAGTTATTACGGGAATTTCCGTCATTATTAACCTCTATATGCTAATGAAGTATCAGACTCGAGAGTCAAACAGGCTTCACTGGATTACATGCCTCCTACTGAGGCTACGTGGACCGAAGAGGCTCAGCAGCCTACCGAATCCGCGCCCGTTGCTGAAACTATCCAAACAACTGACCCAACCCTTGCGAACGCCGGCATGACTGAGCTACAAGATCAGACTTTGATGGCGCAAGCTCCGACTTCAAACGGCGTGACATCTGCTCCCTCTCAACCAGCAGAGACTGTTCCTGCTCAGACTGTTGTGACTAATGGAGCTGCCAACCCCATGGCGCAGGCTGCATGGGAACCCCAGGCGTCAATCACCACCTCCCAAGTTGGCGAGGAGTGGGTGGATGTTGAGACTCCACTAAAGACGGCCGAAGCTCCTCCAGCTTCGACACAAGAAGGTCCGCAACTACCCTCTCAATTTGCGAATAGTTGGGCTGAAGACGTTCCAGTGAGACTACCTGCTCCGGCCGAAGAAACTCAACCTGGCGACGGCTTCGAACGCGTTGTTCATCACGCTAGACAGAACAGTGGACGTGGTCGAGGATTCCGTAACCGTGGTCCAAGAGGTGATGGCCATCGTGGCCGAGGACATTTTCGTGGAGACCGCGGTGAGTTCCGTGGCCGCGGTCGTGGCCGAGGAGATTTCAGAAGTGGGCGGGGACGTGGTTCATACCATAACCAAGGAGGCGAAGCTGCGCCGGCACAGTAAAGACGAAAAGCATCTAACCTAGAATGCGCAGTCATGTAGGAATCAGCCAAATTGATTTCCTGCGACGAGCTCTGAGCTATGGTTCAAATATTTATCCGGCAACCAATGCGGTTCAGTCGGCGTTCTCCTATGACTTTTGCTTTGATCTATATGGCTTTGTGATTACGATTGACGGTTTCTCTCTCTCTCGCGCCCTTTTCCCTCTTCATCCTTGCTCGCGGCCATTTTCACAGTTTTCCCCCCCAAAATCCCCAATATCTCAACATCGCATCTCAGCATTCCACGAAAATCAGCATTTTCAAAAGAACGAAATACAGGGAATTATAAGAAAGGCTTTCTGACTCTTTAGCGTGCATTCGGTTTTTTTTTATTTGCCTTTTGTCCCCCCGTCTTCCCCTACATTTCGCCTTTGCTTCACATCTAAACTTCTTTTCAATCGAGGGGCTTGGTCTTCTCTTCTATTTCTCCTTTAATTGTACTTTAAATGACCTAGCAAATTGGGGTTTGGGATGGGATGGGAGGAAGGAGGTTTCTTACGACGGAGTTCACATCGTCCTGCATCAACAGCAATGGCACTAGAGTAGCCCGGTTCTCCAATATGAGTTGTCAGGTGATTATTATGGATTCCTTTTTTTTTTTTTTTTTTTGAACTGCAATATACTCCGTAGACCGTAGAACTGTGCAATGCTTGGTCTCAGCAGTGGGCGCTTTGCGGAAGTTGGGGAGCCTCTTCCATGGCACAATGGGCCCAAGGTCGCCTTTCTTTGCCAGCCTGTCAAGCTTGCAAGCTCGCAGGATGGACTCTTTGAAGAACGCATGGAATTTGCCGCCGACCATCGAATACCATAAGTATTATGAGCTGAATACTCCATATTCTTATGTAATTTCTAAAGAAAGAACCTAGCCAATATGCAAGACCATATTCTTTTTGTAAGAGAAGCCAGAGATACTCCATATCCCAGAGCTTTTGTATGTACGTATGTATGTATATGTATCCAACCAATGCAAATGTATGTATGATCCGAATCACCTCAGAAAAAAAGGAATCACCTCTTCCCAATCTTGTTCCCACTCACCGGGGATTTCAAAGCGCCAAAAACAACCGCACAAACACCCAACATGGCGACAGCACCGACATTATAGGCGACCTCCCTTCCACCCCACCAAAACAAAGTACAGAAAAGCATTGGCCCCGTGGCCCTCCCCGCCTGTCCCCAGCTTCTCAGCCGGCCCAGGAACACGCCTCGGTCACCCTCCCCGGCCTCAAGACTTCCCAGGCTGTTGAGCCCGGTGACCACCGTGGCGCTGGTCACGGCGAGTAAACAGCCTGCGGCGTATAGCCCGGAGAGCGAAGAGATGCGCGCTAGGAAGAAAAATGATAGAGTGCATGTCAGGACCCCGATGCGCACGGTGAGCAGGGGTGGGAGACGGCGGACTATGGACCCCTGGAGGAGGGAGGAGAGGAGGCCCATGACGGAGAGAAGACGGCCGTTGAGGGCGGAAGGGTTGGCTGCTGAGTGTGCGGGAGATATTTGGGAGTAGAGTGTGGCTGTGAGGAAAGGGAGAGAGAATTCGAGGCCCGAGAAAGGGAGGAGGAAGAGGAAATGCGTTATATTGAGGAGGGAGGGGTTGTTGGTGTATTTTCGAGGGCAGGACGGTGTCGTTTCCCTTTTATCGCTATGTGCTTTATCGACGGGTTGCTTCTGCAGAGACTCCTCAGGAGAAGGCTTCTTGTCGACCAACTTGGAATATCGTGGATGCGTTTCCGGTAAGCAGAAGTAGATGTAAACAGTCTCTACCAATATCAATAGGAGCGAGCATCCCGCGGCAACAGCGAACGGATTGTCCGTGACGGCTGTGACATTCGCCAGTGCTGCTCCAATTGCAGGCCCAAACGTAAACGCGATGCTGAAGCAAGCACCAACAAGTGCCATCGTTCCCCCCCTCTGGTTTTCATCACTTATATCGGTCGCAATCGCATTCGCAATCTGTACATTCCCTTCGCTCAGTCCGCCCACGATGCGGCTGCCGAGAAACGTTCGAAAGTCCGTTGCTGCAACCCACAGAACAACACTCGCTATATTTCCCATCATCGACCAGAGCAAAGCGGTGCGGCGCCCCTTTTTATCGGAGATGTGCCCAATGAACGGGGCTGCGATCGCTTGGAGGAATGAGAAGAGAGAACCGAGGGCTCCTCCAAGGAGAACAACGTCATATCTGGAGTCGATGGGCTTTGCAAAGGCATTCTTATAGGCGTTGAGGTAGTGGAGTATGCGGTTTAGGAGGGAAGTTGGCGAAGGATCTCGCTGCAGGTAGAAAGTGAGGAGGGACGGGAAGAGAGGCAAGATGAAGGTAAAAGAGATCTTCGCAGCGGTCAGCTAACGGGCACTCCAAAGGGCCCAAGGAGGTCAGTTAAATAGGCAAAGCTTCTCCGAAAACCTACCAGATCCAAGAGGAGAGAGGTAAATAGGACTTTCAAGATTCGTTTTCTCTGGGGTGCGGCCACCTTCATTGCCGCCATGATGGATGTATTTATTTATGCTGAGAGTCAAAAGGGACTCGTTCTCCAGACGCGTCGCCGCGTACTTAGCCAGGACAAAAGCTGATTGTCTTAAATAGACAAAGGAAAGTGATATGCAAACCGTTCATTTGGGGGTTTCGAAGCTCTTCAGAGACTGAGACAGCCCCAGAGGTTCGAAACGTCAGCTCATCACGGAGCTGTCCGCATCGCCGCCCTGATTCGCTGCCAGCTTGGGCGACACCGAGCTCAAACCCACACCGCAAAGCAAACGGCGCAACTCCGGCAATATCATCCTCCAGCCCAACGACATTGTTGACGTGTGAGTAGCTGGTGCAACAGCTAAGTAAGTTTCAAATACTGGAATGTCAGATCGGAGCAAAGGCTAGACCTAGAGTATTTCACTTAAAACCACCAAGGTATTCTGTTGATAAAAACTTGTTTTGCTTTAAGATATACATGTAGCGGAGATTTTCTTCGGTGCATAATCTGCAAGGCACCGGTCACCCAAGAGCAAGAAAAAATGAACTCTGCCAGCGCCCAGATCTCTCGCTGTGCTCATCCAACGGAAGATTATAATGTACAAAGCAACAAATACATCTTCTTCCCCCCCCGTGGGATTATGATACTGTCAATAGAAAAGACACAGTATCAACCAGACAATGAGCAAAGGCAACTCCATATAGTTGAGAATCAACACGGTATCAGAAACATCAAGCTGCTCAGAAATTCCAGGAAATCAGGGTCACGTCAAATGAATCGTAACACTTCTCCAAAGACACCACGAACACCAAGCCTAACAATTTTTATAACCACAAACGATAATCATACTCACCCTGAGAAATGTCATGTAGACCAGCACCTTTTGTCGTAGCATGTTGCGCACTCGCTTGGGGCTCGATCTTTTAAGAATTCTTGGGGGCCATCTCTAAACCGCAATTTATCACACATACCCATGGGCGTCTCCACCGCGAGCACTGGCGCAGCATTCGACGGCTCTCTTGAACCCCATTTCGCTTTTCCAAGCAACCAATCCGTCAGCGTTACCACCTTGGCAGTTCGATCCCATCCCGAATTCTCGTCCGCATGCTCAATCGTATGCGTCGCTATCCGGCCTTCTTCATCGAACGAAAATATAAACAATCCCGTAAACTGCTCCTCCTTTCCAAGCTTGAATATCGGCGCCTCGCCACCGAGTAGTACGCTTAAGCCTCTATTTGTCCCATTCGATGCAGAAGAAGCCGATGTTGCGCTATTACCTGTGCCTTTGACTTCCCCCTTTGATCCGTCGGACGCAGAATTACCAGAGCCAGCTTTATTTCCAGAGTTCGAGGAGGAATTCGAAGCACCACCCTCCGTCATCCAGCGCACAACAAGTTTTTCGTCGCCACTGTTGTTTTCACCGTTGAAGTCGCTCATGGCACCTCCGCGCACCATGCGCTCGCTCATAATCTGTAATCGGACATTTCCAACTATCGGGACGCTTCCCCATGCCACCGGAGCTGTCCATAGGGCGGCACGATACGCCACTCTCCCCTTTACGGTCGGCAGATGTGGGTGCGTGGAAGGGAAGAGGTGGAGGGTGATATTCGGAGAAAGTATCTCCTGAGGGAGTGGATTGACAAGAAGGGTAGGTAGCTGTTCAGTAAGGATCCGGAGGGCTAAAAGAGCGAAGCGACACAGAATATATTAGTTAGCCATTTGCCATATGGTAATGGTTGTAGTCTTGTCTCTGCGCAAAGACGAAGGATTGCATCAGCACTCACTCTTCCCTAGCTTGACTATCCGCTCATCAACCGGTTTATGATTTTTAACACGCTCCGATTTCCCATCCAAAGATCGCGCATCGCTGCGGGATATTAACGTGGGCTGTGCTGCAGTGAACCATAATAGCTGCGAGCTTGTTTCGCGCTCAGACCGCAACCGGGCCAAAGATCGTCCGGGCAGCGATGGAGACGCGGGGCTTTGGACTTGGCTCTGCGTCCTTTGCAAAGGAGACGGAGCTGCGGGGATTGTGGAAGATGAATAGCGCCGGATGAACCTCGCCGCCGATGTCCTGGGAGATGCTGGTGATACGAATGGGATGCTGAGGAGTTTGGGCATTGTGGGAGGGGAGAAACGCCGAGATTGATAGTCGTGTTAGTTCATGAGAGACTAAAGTACATGCAATTCACCTCATAAAAGTAATTTTTTATATGCTCCGCGCAGCTGGCTGGCTTTTTCGAAGGTTGAACGTGTGTTCTCAGTCGGTTGCTCAAAGAACTTTTTGGTTAGCTAGTGACAGCCGCAAGCCAAGCTCTGGAGATGACGTCCGCCCAGCAAGCCGGAGAAATCGGTTGGTTAGTTAAACGCTCGTCCGGCCGTCGGCCAATTTTCGCTTTATTATACTTCATTATGTTCAAAGGGTAGCCAAATGATATGACAGCGCAGTTTTCTGTGCTTCTACCTAACAGAGAAAGTTCAAATCATGCAAAGTCATCATCGTCGTCATTCCCGTCATCCTCGCCCAGAAGCCGGTTCTCCGCGAGCTTCCTGATCCTTTCATCCAGGACAAACCGTTCATATCTTTGAGCAACTTTGCTAGCTGCCTCCAGAATCTTCCCAGTCCGGTCTCGCAGCAAAGTGACAAGCTCATATGCTTTCATACCCCTCTCTTCCCCTTCCCGGCATTCAACCGCCAGCATTTGCAAGATGAGCTTGTCAATTTCCACATCCTTCCTCCGCTGTTCTGTAGCCTGCGCTGAAGTACCTTCTCCAGCTTCGACACAGTCTTCCAAAAGGCTAGATTCGAGATTGGCTCTGACAAAAGACTCTTGAAGCTTGCGATTGGCATCTTTGGCGGTTGTTCCATCCATATCGGTGTCGCCATCATCGTCACCTGTTGGCCTTTTACGGGTCGACGATATCGGTATCTCAAATTCGAACTGTGTGAGTAGAGGTCGCGGGAAGTATGGATATCTGTCCCCTCCTTTCAAAATGATACAGTGGAAAACATCGTCCGCCACAGCGACAGGCCAGTAAGTTTCTTGCTTCTTACCAGAGGCGACACGATCAAGCTGCTTTGTATCTAGGAGAGGCACCCATCTAGCTTGGCCAGGGTTGCGCCAGTGCTGCAGGACCAAGAGTACCCCGGATGAGTCGTAAATACATGGATCCTAATAGTATTATTATTAGTATTATTAGGATAGCACACTAGCTTAATATAGCACGATTAACATACCCCCTTATCTGAAAAGAAAACACTGCGAAGTTCTGTACCTTGTACAAGGGAAACAGTATCTTCATTCTGGCAGATTTGGTCCTTTTTGACATTCTCTATTGAGTATGTTAATTTTGTGATTCCATCACCGCCAATTGGGCCGTTTCCGATAGTCAGCACATAATCTTTCCAAGCAGCACAGGTGACAGTTTGGCTTTTTTGTCTGTAGACGCGATAGGGAGTACCGAATAACGTATAGATCCGAACATAGTCTGTTGACGTGCTTACAGCAATATAGGAATTGCTCAATGCAATTGCTACATATCACTCTTAGCAATCAGAGAGACAGAGTCGCGGTGCATCTCTCCCTTACCTGTGATTTCCTCTCCTTCGGGGAGCTCTGTTTTCCAATCGGCCCTGGTCGTCCACATCTCATGTGGGCGATAGAAGATGATTGCGGGATTTCCATTTGAAGGTTGGCAAGAGAACAGGGTTCCTTTCTCGTCTACAAGCTGTTAGTAACCACACGTATTGCAATGATATATCTGGAGTTTGCATACTCAAGCAGGCCTTGTCATACAGGAATGGGTCTGTAAAGTGGAAGTCACGATATCGCTCCCTATCATAGAACTCCACAGTGACAGTGTTGTGGGTTTCTTGGTCAACACTCCACACAAATCCTACAAGGTTCAGACCTACCTCCATTATTAATGGTTCGTATGGGAAAATGGATACGAATTTGAATTTTGTGACTTACATAGGTATCTTCTACCGCCCCTCCAGGGCGTGCTCCCAGGCTGAAATGCCTCGTGTGCTTGCGGCTGCCATGATGTTCCGATTCTTCTCTTATTATCGTGGCCATACGGATCACCCAGATGACCATTGCTACGCTTCCCAAAACCATTGACATCTTCAGCATAACCTGCGCCATCATCATCCTCCACGAAATCGTCGTCTTCGTCCATGGGTCCTAATATATCATCTAGAGAATCAGGAGTACCTCTCCTAACTTGCCTCTCCCTGCGAGCCCCATTCGCAATGGTTCGACTCGGAAGCTCATTGCCAATATCGACTCCGGTGGAAAGTAAAGGCGCAATTTCCAACGCTTTCTCAAGTAATCGCTGATGTTCTGAGGGGACAAAAGCTTCATGAATATACAGCTCTCCATCTGAGGTCGTAAATGAGACTTCGTTGTTAACCGGGTGCCATGCAAGGTTGATTACATTCGCGAAGTCGTATTTTCGAAGAATACTTTGGGTTCGGGTTTCCCAGAGCACAATCTGGCGGTCTGCACCTGCACTTGCTAAGAGTGCACCATTCGGTGACCACGCGAGAGCCGTAATATCTGCGGTATGCCCGTTGGAAAATCTTTTCTGCTTTGTCCAGTCTCTGCTAGATACCACGACGATATCCTTTGTGGCCTCTACAGCTGCGAAGGCCGTTCCATCGGGATGCCATACGGCTTGTGATGTACCCTCGTCCTCATTCTCAAGTCTTCGGATAACACCGTCGATCTTCTGTATGAGCGAAGGCTCCGTTTCTGTGAAGGAATAAACGTAGATGATTCCATCGGAACAAGAAACTGTGACATATCTCCCGCTTGGGTCGAAGGTAACATGTTTGACACCTTTTGTCTGATCTCGTAAATACTTAACTTGTGTCATATCCTCTATGTTGACGATCTTGATGGCAAGCTCGCTAGAAAACCACCCTGTTAGTTTTCGAACATTTAAAACAGGCGTGGCCGTCGTCTTTCACTTACTCACTGGCAACCGCTAACCAGTCCCCATCTTTCGAAATGGCTAAATCTCGCACGGGCAACGAACATCTGACAAGCATTTTATCCATTTGGCCATCTGGCAGTCCATACTGCCAAACCGTTCCATCTTCTGCCCCCATTATAAACGAATCATTCTACTTAGGGGAGGATGTGTTCTCCTGTTAGAACGCATTCCAGATATCCCAGATGTCTATCCAGAACAATATCAACCATACCAGGGCGGCAATTGCCAAGTGACCCTCCACACCCTCGTCAACCGTCTTTGGCTCGCCATCTTCCCCAATCGTATATATTCGGATTGTGGAGTTCGAACCGCCTGTGACAACTTTGTGTCCGTTGGGAGTGTATGATAAAACGGTCGTTCCCGGTGTATCTGCACCATAACATCAAATCAGCATGGAAGACGAATCTCAGGACTTGAAACTGACTGTCTTTCTGGGGGCATCCTTACGGGCAGGTCTGCCTCTGGGTCGGGCGTTTTCCGGCGCCATTTTGCGCCGATTGTCTCAATTGCGTGGTCGCCAGTAGGTTCAAACGAGCTGATAACTAGACCAGCATTGATTTGATCAAAATATTCCGTAGTAGTCTTCAACACCTTGAAGCTGAACGAAGAATCGGCACTGCTGTCTTTCCCCTGTGGTCATCGTTAATTGACTCGGTTGGTGGACGCGTTTTCGCGTTTCGACTCGCGCATCATGATTGGCCCGACAGGCTCTGCCAAGACTAGCCAAGGGTTGGAGCTAACGTTTTCTTTCCTCTTATCGTCGTAACCGGCTATCCCCTATGTTGGTCGTGAATACTCCGTACTCGGTACTCCGTAGTGCATTCACGGTTACGGAACACAGGTTGAATAATATAATAAAGTTACATTTAAGAAGAAAATGCGGCAAATGCACGCATGGAGCATCAGTATCGAAATCAGTAAGGCTCTATGAAAAAATCCTTTGCCCAACACTGTACTCAGCACATGTTGTCGTCTACACCCTTAGCTTCATCCTCACCATGACATCGTTCCTGGGCACACACACCGCGCTACCCGCCTTCTGGCGTGGAACTGTCCAGCGCCTGCCACTTGCCCGTTGAATATTCCACATCGTGAGAAAAGCAGCAGTAAAGACAAGAGCTTGCCCCTCCGCAAACTCGCGACTGAAGCCCAGGACGGGGCTGGCCTCACTCGGCCAAATATCGTTTGCCTTTTGGGAAATCGAATCATTTGATATCAACTTCTCATTTTCAGATGATTCGTAATTGTCGGGGGTATCTGAATCTTTCTCTAGATCATGAGGGAAAAATCTCTGTGGGTCGAACTTCGTTGGTTCGTGGAAGGAGTCGGTATTCATATTGTGTATGAAGTGCGGAATAGCAACATAAGTACCGGCTTCGCACTTGTAAGTCGATGATGGGGAATCGGCCACTGTAGGCTCCGCTAGGGACACATCCTTCGTTACCTGTCCGTAACTTAGCGGCAAGGAGTAGAGGCGAAGGCTTTCATAGTAGGTAGCCTTCAGTATTGGACAAGAAGAGACAAGCGCGTTGGCATCCAAACGCAAGCGAGGTGGTTCAGGGATATTAAAGCCCGATTCCCGCCAGTCGGGGCGTGCCGCATTCGAATAAGGTGCGATTTCTTCTAGTATCTTTTCATGCAGCTCTTCGTCGGAGAGAATGTGAACTAAGTTCCAAAATACTAACGTATTCGTTATCGTATTCATAGCCCAGAAGAAGGCCAGGTGTTCAGACGCCGCCGCTTCCGCTGAACACCCTGCCTCGATCAAAGCTCGTGAACGGGCCTTGACAGCCTCTGAGACGTCGTCCATATCCCGCCAATCAAATCCAGGATCCACTCCGATTTCAGTGGCTGCAAACGCGTCATGGAAAACCTTCATGGCAAGTAATAGACGCCGGCGACTTGAATATGAAGACACAAGTCCCGGAAACGGAATCCAGCGAGGAATACTCGACAGAATTGCGTTGAAGTTCCCATCAAAATTCCATAACTCGTTAAGAGCATATGGGAAAGCCTCTGTAAAAGCGCTTCCCATAAGGGCGGTAGTGGATATCGTACCGATGAAATTTCGCACAAGGGCAAATAGGTAGACTTCGCAAATTGGCTCTCCATTTTCATGGCTAATAGATACGTCGCTTAGCCTCTCCCACGTTGACTGATCGACAACACTGGGGGAGAATGATAGCAGGTTCGGCATAGCTTGCTGAACTTGACGTGCAATAGCAGAAGTAATATCAGTTAGCCAGGGTTCTTTGCTGAGAAACTGAATTGGCCCGGAGCCCCCGTAAAAGTCACTACGGTTAAGTGTCCCAACACTTCTCCCCGCACCAAAGGCATTTTTTAAAATGTAATCGGTTGCAGGCTCAGTGGAAAGTGATGATGACTGCTTCAACAACGCCGCTGCGATGGCTGGACTGAATATAGCGTTATGAGATTTGCCTCGAACGTTGAGGCTAACAACAGCCTCCTTGGTGGATTTTCTGACAGATATCAGATAAAAATAGGATAAAAAGGGAGGGGAATAGAAAATCCTGACTAAATACTTACCGTGCATTCTCAAAAAGCTTCCGCCGTCTGAAACCCAAGGAGAACGCATGTCCAACATACGGGAGCCAGTATGGGACCTGCCTTACTGATATTGTTCCATCTGGGTATGTTCTGCTTAGACGACTAGTAATTCCAGTAGTGATTCGGGTCAAAATGCAAATTGAAATGACAAGCGCAAGAACTAGTAGCGGTGATATTCCCGATACAACCTCCGAAAGAGACTGGAAGATAAGAAGCGGAACAGACACTGTTTCTTCTTCCATGGTTCTGGGGTAATCAAAAATTTTCTTCCAGTCACTTGAGTCGAGTGGGTGTTGAAGCCATACACTTCGTTATGTCACCTCCTTTCTCTAAGTTCTTGGGGAAGCTATATGTGAGCCAGGAAAAGAGCAGGATGAAACAACCGCTTCAAAACTTAAAAGATGCAACCAAAAGCAAAAATGAGGCAATATACCCTGAAAATGAATGCTCTAGAAAAAAAAAGAATGCCTATTGAAATATGTATCCCGAAATGCAGATTTGATATGAAGTAACTACAAAGCTGGGTTGGGTGAAGCCGAAAGCTGAAGTTTCAAGCTAGACCCGTTTAGAGTTTAGTTAGGAGGTAGCTGACTTACCTAATCAAGATGTGCCTTCGCCCTCAGGCATTGATTGGCTGACTTTAACTACGTCTGGCAGCGAATACTGACATTCATTTTTCGTTCACCTTTTACAGATATCTTTTTTCTTTTTCTTTTCTTTTTTCTTTTTTCCCTCTTCTGAAATTTTGGAGTAGATCTAAATTACAGAGCGCTGTGAATGGATATTCACAGGTAATTGGGCCCATCACATCTTCGACTGAAGGATCCTCCTTAGTCCTGCACTTTCCTTCTCGTACTTTTCAATCTTTGCTTGGCTGCCTGCGAGCTTTTCGAGGAGCCATCGAACTCGGGGCCGAATTTCCTTTGGTTCTTTTTCGAGAGACCCCAATACCTGTAACTCTCCTTCGTACTTGTTGATGTTTGCGTTTTCCATCGCTATCTGCTGTCCAAGCGTCCGCAGTCCAAGTCGACACCGAAGGACATCATCCTCAAGCAGGCGCCTAAAGGCAGCTGCAAATACAGGCCTGCCCGGCTTGATTGTCGACGGGCGGCCATTGAGCGTGGTTACAGAGATCAACTCCGCTTGTTCAAGGGCGCGAATCGTACTTTCACCATCCTTCTTAAACAAATCGGAGAATAAGGCTTCGCTGTACAGGATGCTTCCCCCTTGGGCTTCTGCAAGGCTGCTGACCAGGTACCATGCTTGTTCTGGCGTCCAATTTCGAACGGTGTTGTCAACGTCGGCAATATACATCTTGAGTATTTCTGCAGCGGATTGCACAATAATGTCATGGACAGCATCTGTGTTGTATATTAACATCCTTCTTACACGAAAATGGCTTTTTCTGTTATTACTCACCGCTAGGACTCTGCCCTCTGCTAATCATTCTTGCAAAAAATTCTAGATCTGATAATCGACCCCCAAGGACTTCAATACAATCCTCAAGATCCTTGACATCGCCACCTTCTATAGTATCCGGTCCTGCCTGGGTGTAACTACTGCTGTTACTCTGATCTGTGTGAAGGTGATCAAGGACAAACTGCTTCGCAACATCTGGAGTGCAGTCTCCGAGTTGGATTTCGTGGAATATTTGATTAGGCAGAGCCCGACTGAGTGTTTTCGAGTAGGAGATATCCCCAGTTAGGAAGATGACTCGAGCGATGTTGGAGACTGTTAGCGCAGCTGCCCAGTCAGAGAGTTTCTCATATATCATTGGGTTGTTGGCCTTGTATAAAAAGTTATCGATGACGACGACAGGCCTACACTCGGGATGAGCTTCTAGGAACTCCTCGTCCGTCATGTGAGAGTCTTTACCATCCCGCCTCTTTTTCTCGAGAGCTACTTTTTTCAATGCATTTGCAGTATTTTGGAGAATGTGTCCCAATTGGGAGTCCAATGTCTCTGAGAGACCTGCGTTTGCGCCCAGCGTCTGCGTCGCAACATCAATGAGGCTGCTGATGCTGTTCATCCACGAGAATACAGGCCGATAGCCGACTTCTGCCGCAGCAGCGTTGATTGTAGCGCTATCGCCTCTTGCCTCTTGAATAGGCTTGCAGTCAATTACAAGTTTGTGTCGATAGTCCTTTAATACTTCGTCAAGCACAAGCTCCTTTTTTCCTGATCCCCTAGGTCCATGAACAACGGTAAAGGTATTCGTGGCTTCCAGCAGCCAAGTCTGGAGCCGCTGGATGTCTTCTTTACGGTCTTCCCATATCGCCTTTAGGCCTCTAGAATCCGAGCGTTGGCGTTGACGCAATGACAGAATGTCGTTTGCTTTGCTCGCTTGTCGTTGGATCCACTGCCATAACCTATTGTCTTGAACATCAATTGGTGGCGCGATCTGTATCTTAATGAAAAAGGTACGAATGGGATCGAAGACGATAACGGTGATCGCCGCAATAACCGCAGCTATTATCGGAATCACGATTCTCGGGTGGCTGACAATCCAACCTCTGATGACGTGCGGTTTTAGTTTCCGCTCGTATGAAAGTTTTAATAGCGTGCCAGCACTTCCTCCGCCTTCAGACGCCGAGACTTTATATCCATGGAGACAATTCTTCGCCATGACAGCATAACTAGGCCTCGTAAAATCGAGAAGGGCATATCTTGGCTGGATTTTCGAGTCGGACGTCTGGGGGATGATATCTGCCAATTTTCCATAGCGGCGACTTAGTGAATAAAGCAATTCAGGTGTCAATTCTACCGATGAAGCACCCGGAGACGTTGGGAGAAATTCCACTTTAATTCTTGAACTGGGAGACCTCTGAAGGTCTTCCAGCCAAGGTCGACCACGAACCAGAGAAGCCCTAACCGATGTAAAAGGAGAGAACCACAGCTTTAGCGGATTCTGTTCAAGATGTGCGTTCAACAAGCTTGACAACCCTTCCCTGTCCATATTGGGCGGATGCGAAAGCTTAACGAACGCACCACCCTCTGAATAGCGCGGGATGACCTGCTGAATGTTCTCCTGTAATTCTAGAGGGAACGCTCGCCCAATGACATTCAGCGGAGTCGCGCCAGTCAGTTTTATTATTAGATTCCCAATTCGTCCTGTCATCGACGGAGCCAGATCTAAGGGTGCAAAACGGCGCGAGAAAAGGGCCTTGACCGGTAAGACACCTAGCTTGCTATCAGCATCCATAACATTGCCAAACAAATGACAGACGGGACATACTATCGAAATAGAATACCGACTCGTTTGGTGCGGTGTCGATATGCCCAGTTTCATCAGCTCGAGAGTAGGTTGCGGTGTATCTCCTGAATGGCGGGACATGGAGCGGAGGTGAAGAGTGGGCGCCATGACAGCGCAGGCCAACACCGGCCGCACATTTCCAACCCTGCGCTAGACATGTCCTTCCTGAAAATTGTATCATTGTGGTGTCATGATCTTCATTTCTTTATGGTAATGAAGCCGCGATATGGCCGGGCCTGGGAATAAATGCAAACCGTCAGCAATCCACCTCGCTGGCGGAGTGCGGAGAGCTGGCAGGGGCAATGACGTAGAGATCTTCAACCTTAAAATACGCTAGTACCAGTGATACAGCCCTGGTACGCCAAAATTTCAAACGACGACAATTTCGCATTCGCAGCTTCCGGGGCACTTGCAAAGCGAACTCTTGTCAGAACCTACAAACGGAAAAAAGAAAATGGGATGGTGGTGGAGCTCGTCTAATCAACCTGAAGAAGCACCAACGCTTCCCGCTTCCGACAATGGACACGCGCCATCGCAGCGTCAGGCGACGGAGCACCCATCGACACTTTCGACGCTGAAGCACACACCAGTGAGCCGCGATGAACAGGCGGACGCTGAACTGCAAGCCTTTCTTTCCGGAATGAAAGACACAACTGAATCCTCACACCCTATAAATTCTTCCTCACATCCTACAAACCCTTCCTCACAGCTTACCTCCCTGCCGTCTTCCATTGACCCCGACTCCCTCTACCCGACCACGATGTCCTGCCGCACTGCCTTCGACTACGCATTCTTCTGTCAATCCTTTGGCGGCCAATGGGTGAATTACTACCGGTACGGCGAACTACGGGACTGCAGCCAACACTGGTCCGATTTTTGGTTTTGCATGCGCACGAAGTCATATTCAGAGGAAGATAGGGCCAAGATGATCATGGATCATCAGCGCAAAAAGGCCGCCAAATGGAAGACGGGTCCGACTAGTGAGGATGTATGGGATATAAGAACCGAACCGGTAAAAGGCGCATTTCAAGGAGATTTTGCAGCAGTGGAGAGAGAGATGAAGCTTGCGGAACAGAGGGAGAAGGAACAGAGGACGCAAATGAGGGCGTCTGGGACCCTGTGAATGCCGTATGCAATGACTGAGGGTTTCTTTGTTTCCTTTTTTTCCTTGTGATATTCCATTTTGGAGGTGGTATATATGTCTTTTTAGACACTTGTTTTCTCACCAAAGAACCAGACTGACCGAGTATTTATAGTCTCTAGAGATTTAAAACATCTAGAAGCTCTCGTCTTTCATCATATTCAGCCTTATTATCAATACATATGACTTTATCACCGGAGTACAAAGGGCTTTCAAGCTATTCAAGAGACCTGAAGATCAAAATGTCTGATAAGCACATACTCTTTGACTGTCTGAAAGCAATCTTCTAGTCTATACCTTTGATACTGCGTGACAGAGACATGATGTCCTTGGCCGAAACCCGTGACTAGCTCATTCCTGAGAGCGACATGGCTGGCTTCCAAAACTAGAACCTCTTTGTTTCCAACTTCAACAATTTAGGGTATTTTGCTATAAGGAGGCTATCGTATACGGGCGGTAGCCCGGCCAAGTGCCTGCTAGATGCAGTTAAATCTGACAAAGATTGAGAATTGCATCGAAAGAAGATGCATTGGAAACGAGGAGGGGGTTGCCGTGATAGAGACGTTTGGGAAGACGTTTCAAGAGCTTGAGAAGCTCAAAATAGAGCAGGCAGCGCTGTGCGAGGAATGGGCGACATTACGAGAGGAGCTGCAGGAAACACAGACAGGGCACCATTGGACTCCACTTGGATGTATGCGAAGACAAACGTGTCCTCCTGGAGGGTGGACAACAGGACTGGGACGCAAATGTAGTCCCACATGGGGGGAGATATCATTTTCGATGTCAAGGCTATCCAACACACCGCGGAAGTCAATCAATCACCTGCATGTCAATGATTCCAAAACTGGTTTTCGAGAGGTATATCGAATGTCCTTTGACCAAGCCTCGAAAAGTAGTCGGTAATTTCCAAAGGATCTCATAGGGATCTGTAACGATGTGGCTTTCTATCTATAGTCGCATGAATGCCGAGGGCGCAACAAGATACAAAAGCGACGAGACCAGAATAACAATTGACCTCGGAATGGAAATCATTCAAGGTGCAATGAAAACTATTGAGTTTGGCAATCTATCACCATTTCAAGGTGACGATGGAAACAGCCCAGTTTTCAAAGTTAAGTGATTCGAAGAATTGAAAATAACTTCCAGTCTTGAGAAGAGAAAGGAGAGAATGACTCAGCTTAGAGGTATTGGATGGAAACGGAAGGGCATAGGCGAGGGGTGTGTTGAGGAGCATCAAGACCGGGACCGATTGCTGACGCCGATGGCTCAGTTGGATCTATAAGAAGATTCGTTTTGCACATGGATAGATACAAGCCACAAATGAATCAACGTTCCAAGAATCCAAGGATCCATGCAGATTAGGAGTTTGGGAAAATACCGTAACTTTGACTTTTGACAAAGTTAGCCACACACGACTCTATGGCGACTGACCCAGGGGAGTGAGCTTAATCTTGCAAGCAGCACATTATAAAAACACTGGGAGGGTAAGCTACTCCAGTTTGTTTTTGTTCCAGCTGTGCTTTTGGATACCTTTTGTACATACATAGCCTCAATCAAATTCTACATTTATCACTCATCCGGGGGATCGCACAAGGACACAACAACATTTAGTCCGCAACCTTGTGAAGGCCCAGGATGCGTGTATATATTTATGAAATGACAAGGCGCGAAAGCAGAGGGTATATGTTTCAATGCCTAGAACAAGTATGATAATACACTTCTTTGATAAATAGTCCCAGAATTTTCAGTTGCTTGCTTTCGATGAAGAATAGGTATCTTAACACCCCAACGCAAAAAGGATATAGAGGGAGAGAAATTGCTGGAAACACGTGAAGATGTTTGAAATCAGCCAATACATCAAAAATTGGGATAAGAGACGAGGATGCCTAGACTGTGACTGAACACAGAGTGATACTACGCGGGTAGAAATGCGTTTCCGCCATGATCACTTCTCTACGCAAAAACCGGTTGAACTTGAGGTTGAGGTGTCACTGGCACAGAGTCAATAGCGGAGCGGCGAACAATGCCTCCAGTGACAGGAAGGTGGGACGATGAGCCCATGAGATAAGAGTCGACTTCACGGGCAGCTTGACGTCCTTCGTTGATACCCCTAAGGAAAAATTAAAAATTATTATACGCTTAGACTAGCCAAACGGAATGTATGTTAGCTCATTTGGACTTACCAGACGATCAGTGACTGCCCGCGTCTGCAATCTCCTGCAGCGAACACGCCGGGGACATTGGTGCTGTATTGACCAGCAGGTGTCTTGATGTTCTTACGGGCATCCAATTCTACCTCATTGCCTAGAACACGTTCCTCGGGGCCCAAAAAGCCCATGGAGAGCAGGACAAGGTCTGCAGGGAAAAATTGCTCACTTCCTTCAACTGTCTTCATGTCCCAGCCTCCAGAAGCGCTCCTGGTCCATTCAACGCGAGTGATATTGATACCCTTCACGTTGCCATGTTCATCGCCGACAAATTCTTTGGACATGACGCAATACTCGCGAGGGTCTTGACCGAAATGCGCCTTAACTTCGCTGTGACCATAGTCCACACGATATACACGTGGCCATTGGGGCCAAGGGTTATCACCAGCACGCTCTGGGGGAGGCTGTGGAAGAAGTTCAAAATTGGTGACAGACTTGGCGCCATGACGAACTGAAGTTCCAACGCAATCATTACCCGTGTCTCCGCCTCCAATAACGATAACATTTTTACCTTTCGCGGATATGTATGCGCCATCGGTGAGCTCGGAGTCAAGAAGAGACTTGGTATTCTTATGGAGGAATTCCATAGCGAAGTGGATACCCTGCAGCTCACGGTTGGGAATTTTGAGATCCCTAGCAACTGTTGCACCGGTAGCGATGATGACAGCATCATTTCCTTTCCGCAGAGATTGTAAAGTCACATCACAGTCTGGCCCAACGGGCGTGCTTGCAACAAATTTGATACCCTCGGCGGCCATGAAATCAACACGTCTTTGAACGATCTTCTTATCAAGCTTCATGTTCGGAATACCGTACATCAAAAGACCGCCGATACGATCGGCGCGCTCGTAGACAACAACACTGTGGCCGGCACGGTTAAGTTGATCTGCCGCAGCAAGGCCAGCCGGACCAGAACCAATAACAGCAACGGTCTTGCCTGTGCGAACCGGAGGTGGCTTGGGGACCATCCAACCCATCTCAAATCCACGGTCAATAATAGCGCATTCAATCGATTTGATGCCAACGGGATCTTCATTGATACCAAGAACACATGCGCCTTCACACGGAGCAGGGCACACACGACCCGTAAACTCGGGGAAATTGTTTGTCATAAGCAAACGATTAAGTGCATCCTGCCATTGGTCCTGGAAAACTAGCTCGTTCCACTTTGGGATAATGTTGGAGATCGGACAACCTGTGTCGGATTGGCAGAATGGGACACCGCAGTCCATGCAGCGAGCAGACTGGTATTTGAGTTCGTCCTCGTTTAGGCGTTGGGACAATTCAGCCCAATCTCGCGTTCGAGTTTTGGAGCTTCGGTATTTCTCATTGTGACGGTGATATTTCATGAAACCCTTGGTCTTATCAAGAATCAAAGTTGTGCGCTTTTTCTCGGTTTTGGAATCAGTAATGCTATCCTCAATATCGAGAATATCACTTTTCTTCGCTTCCTCACGGTGCTCCTTTGAAGCAAGATTGGGCGACTGAGCGCGGGTAAAGGCGATTTTCTTTGCACCAGCCTTCTTCGTGGCTTTTCCTTCCAAAACCCGCTTGTAGTCAGTGGGCAAGACCTTGACAAAGTGAGGCAACGCCCGAGCAAAGTCAGAAAGGATTCGAGCTGCAATTTCGGAGCCGGTATAATGGTGATGGTCTTCAATAAGGCTGCGAACAGATGCAACTTCCGCGGGATCTTCTATTCCGGAAAGCTCAACCATTTCCGTATTGACCCTAGTATGGAAATCGCCATTCATGTCTAGCACATAGGCAATTCCGCCGGACATACCAGCTGCAAAGTTACGGCCGGTAGAACCCAAAATAAGAACCCGACCGCCCGTCATATACTCGCAGCCGTGGTCACCGACACCTTCAACGACTGCAGTAGCTCCTGAGTTACGGACAGCAAAGCGCTCGGCCGCCACACCACGGAAATAACAGCTGCCTCCAGTGGCACCATACAAACAGACATTTCCAATGATGATATTTTCCTCAGCTTTAAACACGGCCCCACGAGGCGGGTAGACGATGAGACGGCCGCCGGACAAACCTTTGCCGACGTAGTCATTGGCATCACCTTCAAGCTCCAGGGTAATGCCAGGGGCTAAGTAAGCACCGAAAGATTGACCAGCAGAACCTTTAATATTTGCGTGTATAGTGTCTTGCGGAAGCCCGGTATCGCCGTATCGTTTACTTACGTGGTAGGAGAGAGTAGCGCCCATTGCACGATCGGTATTAACAATATCACACTCGACACGGCAAGGAAGGCCCTTCTCCAATGCAAGTTCGGCCTCGGCTATAAGTTTATTGTCCAATCGAACATGGAGACGATGATCCTGTTTCCGAACACTATAGGTCGCGACTCCCGGTCGGAGAGAATGAGCAGGAGTTAGAATGAGCGAGAGATCGATGTTTTCCAGCTTTGGGGAGGGCAAATCATCACGGATCCTAAGGAGCTCCGCACGGCCAACCATTTCATTTATAGTCCGCATACCTAGTTTAGCCATAATCGCGCGAAGCTCGTTGGCTACATAGTAGAAGAAATTGATGACGTGCTCGGGTGTTCCCTCAAATTTCTCTCTCAAGGCAGGATCCTGTGTCGCGATACCAACTGGACAGGTGCCGAGATGACATTTGCGCATCATAATGCAACCCATGGCAATCAATGGAGCCGTGGCAAAGCCCCATTCTTCGGCTCCAAGCAAGCATGCGATGGCGACATCTCTACCGGTGCGTAACTGGCCGTCAGTTTGCACGATAACGCGACCTCGAAGGTCATTCAGGACAAGAGTTTGATGAGTCTCGGCAAGACCCAGCTCCCACGGTAAACCAGCGTATTTGATACCGGTCCATCGGGACGCACCCGTTCCTCCATCATGGCCGGAGATGAGAATGTGGTCTGCTTTAGCCTTTGCGACACCAGAAGCAACGATGCCCACACCGACTTCGGAGACAAGTTTAACGGAAACACGTGCCCGAGGGTTAGAGCATTTCAGGTCGTAGATTAATTGCTTCAGATCCTCGATGGAATAAATGTCGTGATGTGGTGGCGGAGAGATGAGTCCGACTCCAGGGGTGGAGCGGCGCGTCTGTGCGATCGGTCCCGTGACTTTGGAGCCGGGAAGTTCTCCGCCCTCGCCGGGCTTGGCACCCTGCGCCATCTTAATCTGCAGCTCGTCGGCGTCGGCCAGGTATGCGGAAGTGACACCGAAGCGGCCTGAAGCGATCTGCTTGATGGCAGATCTCATGGTGTCCCCGTTTTCGAGGATCTTGCTCCGTTCGGCATTTTCTCCACCCTCGCCAGTGTTGGATTTACCACCAAGGCGATTCATGGCAACGGCGAGCGTCGAGTGCGATTCGTAAGAGATGGAGCCATAGGACATGGCGCCAGTGACGAAACGACGGACAATTTCAGTCCATGGTTCAACTTGTTCAATTGGCACAGGAGTACGTTGTTCGAAGTCGAAGTCGAGCAGTCCACGGAGTGTGCAATTCCTGATCTGCTCATGTTCTGATCGTGCGTACGCTTCGTATGATTTGTCGTTTTTGGTCCGCACGGCGTCTTGGATATTGGCTATGCTGACGGGATCGTTGATATGGGCTTCGCCGCCATCTCGCCAATGGTATTCACCAGATTCCGGAAGACCAGGAATCTGGGTGATCTGGCGGGTGGGATATCCTCGTTCATGGAATGCAAATGCATCCTGGGCGATCTGTTTGAACGTCATTCCTCGAATTCTGCTGGGCGTTCCGGCAAAGCAACGATCGATAACGCTATCGTCAATGCCCAACGCTTCAAATATCTGAGCTCCTTTATAGCTCTGCAGTGTGGAAATACCCATCTTGCTCATGACCTTGAGAATCCCTCCCTCACACGAGGTCTTATAGTTTGTGATGACTTGCTCATCGGAAAGCTTCCTTCTGATCAAGTTCTCACGGTTCATCTTCAAGATGCATTCCATGGCCAAGTACGGGCAAATGGCATCGGCGCCATACCCGACGAGCACACACATGTGGTGGACTTCACGAGCCTCAGCAGTCTCCACAACAATGGCAGCTAGAGATCTCCATTTATTGCGAACAAGATGATGATGGACGAGACCAGTAGCGAGGAGCGCAGACACGGCCACCCGATCCGCAGACGTGGCACGATCTGACAGGACAAGGATGCGATCTCCGTTCGCAATGCCCTCGGTAGCAGCGGCGCAAATATCATCCAAAGCGTCGATGTATCCTTGTATGCTTTTTGACTTTTCAAAAGTGATGTCAATGGTTTTAACTGTCCACTCACGATGCAACGTTGGCAGCATCTTCAGGGCATTAAACTCATCGATCGATAAAATGGGTGAAGGAAGATGGAGACGATCGCACTGAGAGGGATCGATTTCTAGTAAGTTTCCCTGAGGCCCAACGTAGCATTCCAGAGACATGACAATTGCTTCGCGGATAGGATCAATCGGCGGATTTGTGACTTGAGCAAAAAGCTCGCGGAAGTATTCATACAGAAGACGTGGCTGCTGCGCCAAACAAGCCAGCGGAGCATCGTTCCCCATGGACCCGAGAGCTTCTTTAGAATCTGCGGCCATGGGGCCGAGCAGAAGACTAACTTGTTCAAATGAGTAGCTAAAAGCCTTGAGCCGCGGGTCCTGTTGAATGGTGGTGTCATCCAGTGCGGGTGCTAGACTACCCTTTTCGGCGGCCTTTTTATGAATTTTGGGCAGGCTGAGCAAATGTGTCTCGATCCAATCCTGGAAAGGCTGGCGATTCGCCACTGTTCTCTTTAATTCCCTGTCATCGATGATTCTCCCGGCAGCTGTGTCAACAAGGAGCATTTTTCCAGGCTGTAATCGCCCTTTTTCGATAACGCGCTCCGGGTCAATGGCGATGGTGCCTACTTCCGAAGCACAGATGATACGGTCATCATCGGTGACATAGTACCTACAGGGACGAAGACCATTTCGGTCGAGATTCGCACCGCAATAGCGACCGTCCGAGAAGGTGAAGAGAGCAGGGCCATCCCACGGCTCCATCAAACAGGCAGCCCACTCATAGAAAGCAGCCTTTTTAGAATCCATCGCTGGATTGTCCTGCCATGCTTCGGGAACCATCAACATGACCGCCTCGGGCAGAGACAATACTCCGTTAATAGTGAGCAGTTCGAGCACGTTATCGAAAGCAGCAGAATCCGAACCGCCCTCTTCGACGATTGGATACAAATGTTCAAGCTCGTCGCCAAAAATGTCAGACCTCAAGACACCTTCTCTAGCTCTCATCCAGTTTTTATTCCCGCGCAAGGTGTTAATCTCTCCATTGTGAGCGGCCCATCGCAACGGCTGCGCACGATCCCACGACGGAAACGTATTTGTCGAGAATCGGGAGTGGACAAGTGCAAAATGGCCTTCATAATCGACTGAAAGAAGATCATGATAATATTCATAAACCTGGATGGGCGCAAGCTGACCCTTATAAACAATGTTCTTGTTGCTCAAGGAGCAGATATAGAACCAGTTGGCCAAACCCAAAACATGAGTCGCCCGTTTCCGCAAGACATAAAGTTGTCTTTCGAACGTTCTTTCATCAAACAATTCCGCATGGCGGCGATCTGGGGTGCTCCCATCGCCATAAGCGGAATGAAGTACAACAAATGGTTGTATAATATATGGCTCTCTAGACAATGCTGCGGGGCCAAGAAGCGTCGAATCACGAGGAACTTCACGCCATCCCAAAACGCGAAGGTCCAGCGACCTAGCCAAGTCTTCAAATATGGCTTTCGACTCTTTAAGGGCTTCAGGATCTGGTTTAAAAAATAGGTTGCCCGCTGCATACTGGCCTAGAGGCGGGAGTTCTACCCCAACGTCCCGGGCAAAGTGTTTGATGAAGAACTTGTGAGGTATACTAGTCATAACACCAGCGCCGTCACCGTCTCGTGCATCTGACCCTACTGCCCCTCGATGGGTCATGTTGCAAAGAAGGTATCGTGCTAATCGACGCCAACGGGAGTCAGTCTGACGTATCAGGTCTAAGGTAATGAGCCCTCCTTACCATCGGTGATGATCTTGTGACTCGGCTTTCCCTTGATATGACTGAACCAATCGGTTAGCAACACCGCCCCAAATGCTTTGGACCCAATTTTACGCACGCTGTAAACCCTACACCACAGGCATCTTTCTCTAGCTCAGGGTCATAGAGACCTTGCCGTTGGGGCAAGGCCTCTGCCCAGCCATACCCCTTCTCCGACTTGTACTCCGAGTACACGTACGGCTGCTCCTCTTCGATAATCGAATCATGTGCGATTTCTGGGAGTCCCATTTCTTCCGTCGGCGACCGACAGAGAGCGCTAATGTTGCGATTCAATTAGGGAATGGAGCTAAAGGATATCACTTCAGCTATGCCGCCCCAGGGTGATTATAAAGGTTGAAAATTGTCTAAAAAAAGGATCGGGGTGTATCTCTATCTTGGGTTGCAGGGAAGCTGGGAAGGAAAAAGATAATGAAAGAAGACGGGGAGAAAGAGGGAGAGTTATGTGAGGAAGTGATTGATCATGCAGGAAGAGCTCCGGCCGAACCTCCGACAACCCGGTATTGTGGGGGTCCAGTCCCGATGTACACTCGTGGCAAGACGGCCCAGGGAACGCCAGGTGAACCAGTGACAGGTTCTTATTGTGCTACCTCCAGTAGCCGTGATAACGGGTGCACTCCGTATGAAGCGGCCAGCGGTGGATGGCGCTCGAAATTGCTACATAATGAAGAGTGTATAGGCGAAACGGGACTCCAATTCCCGCAGATTCGTCTTCATGAAGACCTTTTCCATCGCATCTGTCAAGCAGCGCACCGGCGCCTACGAAGCATGTGAACGAGCGAGCTGTCGCGACGCCTTCCAAGGAACAAGCGGTGCGCAATCAGCTTTCTCCCTCGGTCCTTGCGCCGCGGGGGAGCAAAGAAGCTCAAAACCTTAAAAGCCTGATAAGCACCACTGACCAATCACACGTGTCCGATTACCCAGATCACAGTGAGCGGTCCCACTCTTCGACAGGGATTCTCTTACGGCGACGAAAATCTGGGAAACCTTAACCACTTTAGGCTTTAGAGCTAATTTCGACCGATGACCAGCCAGCGCCAAACGTTAAAACATTACGTTTTCATCGGCTGGCTACAAACATATTTGTACGTGACTACTCCTCCCATCCATCATCCATCGCACTTCACGAACATCGAGGTCCTAGCACCTGTTTCAATGTATGCCGCTGTATGGGGTGGTGTCCATTACACAGCTACTGACCATTGCACCAAAAAACAATACATCAACAAAACAAGGACGAAATTTTTCGCTAGGGAGGTCCACCGAGCGGTGGCAGAGATTGTGCGATGTCGCCCTTTCTGTCTTTCTTCTTCTGATTGGTGAGTAAACAGCCGCGTGTACGGCATTATTTGGTACGGCCGCGGGCCCGGGCATATGTTTTCCTCTGCCGTGAGTAACGCAGGCATGCAGACTGCTGCCCTTCTTGGCAGAATGATCATTCCGGCTCCCCTGGGGAACATTACGATCATTTTGTTCAAAGAATATTCATCTATCCATTATTTTTTGATTCTTGCTCATGCATACTCTCGATGGCTTTCTTCTAGCTACGTATTCCAATGTTCAACAAATATCCTATTGCCGAACGGAGGGATGCAAGTCCTTTTTGGCACAGCACTATAAATAATTCGGAGGACCTATCTCGTTTTCGACTTTAGCATGATCCTTACGTACAGTGAGAGGCACCATGCCTTTGTTTACCTATCTGGCAATGCTCTGAGCTATGTTTCTTCAAAAGGAACAGAGGCTGAACACAGCTGTAAAGAGCCGTATGCATCTTGGATGGTTCTATGTTCCTGATCACTGCATCGTCATTCGATTTTGCTAAAAACATCCCGTCTTGATTCTCTCCGGCAAGTTGGTAGAATGTCCTGCGAAAGCCGTCAACACATGACGGAAGTTGAAGCTGTTTATACCAGGCGGCCGGCTCCACAAAATAAGCATCCGACATCGCAGCTCGTCACCAAATCACACACGCCCGATTGGACCCCAGACTTTTCTCATAGTCACAGATTCAAGTCACGAGTTTGTCCCATGCATGAGCTTGAGCTTGTCACGTAAACTCGTGGATATCCTCCGCAGGGCTCATGAATTCGGTTTAGGCGGGTTAGTTCGTTTAAAGCGACAGAGGGAGAAGGTCTTGACTGTAAAGAGCCCCACGTTTTGATTTCCCGGCAGATTGATATCTCTTTTTGTGGGGAATGGTTTTTTGCGACGGAGGTCTAATCGATATGCGGTGTTTAGTATAGATAGGCGTGCTCTTTGCCTATCTCTACCGGCACTATTGCTCAGTCTCCAGTTACGATTATTGAGCAAAATAATAATAATAGTAAGGAGGGGGGAAGATGTAAAATGAAAAGCAAAAAGGGGAACAAAAGAAACGGCGCATGGAGAACCGTTGTGACCGACTACTGCTCTTCAACCGTATCCTTCGTGTCTTAGGTAGGGCCTTCTTTGCCCCAACGAGACCAGTAACCCCCCAGACCATGTTGATGAAGAGATCATCCCTTCGAGTTCACATGTGAGGAGATGAATTGTACTAGATACATCCCCATGGGACTGCATACCTCTACACACCGCGCACTGCTGGCCACGGCGTGCTCCATACATATCTCAGTAATTAATAATGCCACAGTTGAGAACAATGCACACCTGGGTTATTCCGCTCATAATTTCAACGCCAATCTTCTCGTCGTTGATTACTCCGTACCGAAACATTATTTCAAACCACAGGAAGACATGCGCACCCTGCCAGGGCAGATCTGGGATTTTGTCCGAGACCAGGAGTCCCGGTCCCACCCGGCGCATCTGCAATGCTCGGGAAACTTCGGAGACTGGACCGCACCACCCTAGTCCGTATTCGTCGAACAAATCCGGAATATCGACGATATCCACGAATATTTCCTTTTCTTTGGATCGCCGCTCCGGCTTTGCGAGATATTCCCCTAGGCTGCGGAATATTGTGCCCCATTCTGTTTCAACTTCACTCACCGTGCCTCAAAACGCTCGCAACCGTCGTTCATCCTGCCAAGCCCGCTCGCTCGACCCCTGTTTGTGCGTGCACCGGTTGTCCGGCACACTCACTGCGTGAAGTTGGCAGGCCAACTGGATGCCGCCTAAAATCAAGCCTCCGTTGTGATATGATCTATCCCTCGCAAAATTTGATGATCCAGATAGCGCTTGGGAATCGCATAGCACACATTCGGAGTCGGGATACACTCCATTTGAACCACTTTTTCAATCATAGATTTCTGAAGCTTCTAGTTGATCTACTTTTCACTACAATACACTATATTGCGTTGTGATTGAGTACTGCTATTTCCGGGTTCAAAAGGTGCAATCCGGGAAGCCATTCAATGTTCAAAACATGGGAATAGCGATGCAACTTCTCCTGCAAAGAGATATCTCGTGCAGTGCGTGTTGAGTTAACAAGGTGCATCTACAGTTGACTAGTTATCTTCTACTATTTAAGATTCTCCCTTTGTGAGACGACCGCACCGAAGAGCATAAGAGGTATGGACGGAATTTCTCCCCTCCAAAACCCGCTAGCGTTGCCAATAACGGTCTCGCTACGGTCATAAGAATCCGGCGGCAGACAAGACCTCCATTTCCCTTTACATTTAAAGTGTTCACTATTAGCAGAGCAAACACCATATGGAAATGCCGGAACCCTACCTGAATAAACAGGACATAATTATTGTATCCCTAAAGTTTCATCAACTTCAAAGATGTCGGCGACTTGGGGAAATTCAACAAAATATCTTGCAGGTTTGTCCGGGCAGTTGACATGGAGCTGCATGATTCTCTGCGCGCTTTCATCATCAAGGCATATATCAAATGAAATCCTAGTTGTTGTATCAAAAGGGATATATGCTGCCGGTGAAATGGTGGAGCGAAGGATCTCTGACCACGGTGTCCAACGGATATCCACAACCGACTCAACAGTCCCTAGGTGGGACAGGCGGTTTGGTGAAATATAGCTCAGGCCCGGTTCGATTTCCTGGAACTATCAACCAGCACTTCGCTGGCTGGCCCAATTGTCAGTCGACATCAAACGTTAAAGAAAATAGGAAGTCCAGACATCGCGAATCAGAATCAGTATCCGGTTATTTGCATATCTAATCATATAAGTATTTCTTGGCCATGCCCTTTCGTTGAACTTCTCAAGATCCAATTAGGCCCATCGGCGACTTCATCAAATGCAACATCTACTGTGCCAATGCCATCGCTCTCGATTGCAAGGTACTTGCTAATTTCGTCCGGGCGATAGTTTGCACTGTCTTTAATCTTACGACCAGTCGAGTTCGACAGATGTGCGTTCTCCCTCCCATCTTGATGAGGTTGATTCTGACGAATTTGATCCTGAGTTTCACTCTCGTCTCTCTGAAACTGGGTATGCATTTAGCCTTCGATGTCGCATTGCTCTCACTTTTCAAGTGCAGCGCCATCTCATCGACGAAAAATAAGAATTCGACATCATTCAAAGATCATATCTTTTAACTCGTTTGGTCTCTTTGTCCATTCTCTCGTAACTCGGTAGCAGCAAATGGTTTTGATGCTTCAAACCGATGGATGACATACTGATTTGCTTCAATACAGGGGCGTGCCACTTCTCCCCGGTCGGTATAGTCGAAAGGGATGAAAACGCACCCCGTGCACTTGCCGGTAATATCGAAGGTGAAAGAGAAGTGGGTTCAAGGAGCCCTATCAGATGATACAACTGCGAAGCAGAGGGACCGCACATGAGAGCGACACCCCTTTCATGCAAATGCCATACCCTACATCTATTAAAATCAGGCCACTTGGTGATGAATCCAAACTCCAACCGTACGCCAGAACCCCATTAGAGACCCGCCTTGCTTCTTTCCCGCTTGTGAACCGTGTGCCTCGTCCAAATCGAGTGCGAAAATTTTGCGGAAACCGCTCGACATCTCTGACACGTGTCGACATTTTTCGTGGCATATCGGGCATGAAAAGTCAGTCGACCGCTCCCGATTGCCCTTGTCCCGCCGGTCGTGTTGCTGACAGGGCCAGCTAAGGGGAATATTGAAGAGAAAGGAGATTTCGCCTTATCTTTTACGGGCAGGATGGTGTAGATATACGTCATTTATCCGTGCTGACTTGAATCAGGTAGAAGTGATTCAGTTGCCTGGGTCCCTAGCCAACTTTCTTGCTACCAAAGGCACTTATATTTAACCAACAGCTGACTTCGCCTTTTCTTTTTTTTTTTTAATGGCATCCCTTGTTCATTCGAAAAGCATGGCTGTCAATGTTATCAAACGGCTTTCAAAACGTTGGGGCTCGCCGTTTCGGTTTGTGGAACACTACTGCTTGTTTATTTCGGGCGCCGGCTCGATGTCTCTTTAGTTAACTAATCTCTGCGAGGTGGAAGTCGACTAGGTACCGTTCAAAGATTGGGACATCAAAAGTTCACAACCCCGACCGGACGAAATAAATCGACCCGCGTGTAATGCTCGATGTCATTAACATTCCATTCATCTTGAGAATGTATAACAGGCACTTGATGGATATTTTCGAGCTTCCGGAATCACTCATGCTCTACATGACGATATCAAGACGAAGAGTTTGTGACAGATCATGAGCACGTAGCACATCTGAAGTGTGCATCCCAACCATTTCAATAAATGAGAAACCCCTTAGCTTTTACACATACTATCGGCAAAGGTGACAAATGATTGAAATTCAATTCAGCTTTCGGCTGTAGTTGCCGCAGAGCTACTACCTGTCCCATTGCTGCTTTAACGCAAGTACCAGCCTTACCTACAGAATTTATCTCATGGCTTGTCTGGTTGCAATAGAATAGTCTCTAGTTGTAGATGCGAAAAGTTGCTAGAAGTATCTCGGTGCTGTAGCAAAGCCGCCGGTTCTCCAGCAGACACAACTTGACCACGGCGACACGCCAACGTCCATTTACCACGTGTGTATTTTGCAGCCTCATTCTGTGCTAGTTCTTCACTCCTCTTTCTGGAGCAATAAATAAAACCACTAATATCTAGAGCTCAGAGGGCATATGTGGGCTTGCTCCGATTATAGGTTTTAATACTCTCAAAAAAACAGGTTGAAAATTAGATAAGTGACGGGAACTTGAAATGGTGGACCCATGGAGCTGAGCTTGCTCTCAGTCAATTTAACGTCCATTTCTATCCAGCAAATACTATGTCCGAAGAGGCACCGGTATCGTACCTGGAGTGTGCGAAAATGCTGTTGACATCCGACCGGTGGATGACGCTCCATGACGTAGCTGATGTTTATCCTTGGGCTAAGAGGTATATATTCCCCTGTTGCGAAGGGAAAAACTTCGATATTTACGGAGTACTTCCACAGGGATTAAACTATGCCACTGTCAAAAACTAGGGGTTCATCTAATTAATCTGCGGATCAAAAAATAGGGCAGTCTTTCCATCCCAAGTCCGTCCAGCATGCCTCGCTTTTCTGAGGGCCAGAACGTTCGCTACAAACCTGTGGGGGGTACGGAGTATAGATATTAGCATTTCTCTCCCCTTTTTTGGCCACTAAAATTTAACTTAATTCCCCAGGCCCCCACTCTCTAACATCTGAGAGCATCGGCACGATCGTGTCTGTCACGACTCAGCCGACACGGCGAGCTGGTCGCAATATTGCTGCTAGCGAAGCAGATCCCAGATATCAGGCTAGCTATACATAGTTACCTACTCGCTATTCGCGATGCTAACGACGTATCGACAGATCAAAAACAAGAATACGGGCAAAACTGCTGCAGTATACGAGAGGAATATCTTGGGTTCTACTTAGAAGGAAAGGGAGTATTCCGGTGTCAAGGTGCTTGCTAAAGCTATGTGATCGGTCCTCCTAGCAGGTGAATTGGCATACAGAGTACAATGATAGGGCATCCTAACATATAATCTTCCTATGTCCTTTTTAAAAGTTGTAGTTAAACAGATTTCAAGCTGAGGGAACTTATTTAGCTTCAGTCCTTTAGGGCCATAAGAAAAGTATTCCATTGTAAAAAAATAGAAGTTTCACACTCTTGTGACCTATCATGAGCAGGCGATCCTCGTTCTCATTGTCTGTATCTTTGTCCGCAGCGTGGACGGCATCCTCGCTCTCATCATCTACATCTTCGTCTTCGGTGTGGACGGCATTCTTGTTGACGGGTTGACTGACCGGGCGGCCAAGAACGGAGGGTTGTGTGGGAGTGGACTAAGTCTCGAGTACGGTTAGCGATTGTCAAAACATAGTAACTAATTAATAATAAACAGTGATAACTAAATACCAGCATTGTCAAAATCAAGATCTTTAATGGATTTGTGCTTATGACCATTGTGGCAGAGCTCAATAAGCATGCATGAGCTCACATTGCCCTCCTGGTTTACTGTGGAGATGGTGAAGTGACTCAGTTCCGAATGACATTTGTCAGGCTGATTTTGCATTGTGTAAGTTCTCTGGTTGCCATGCTGACTGTTGACAACTGTGGACTCTGTGATAATTGCTGCGGTGATTTTTATATAAGATTATTGTACGGAGTATGGATTTAAGAATGGGCACGCATTTTATAGCAGTCTGGCTCTCAAGAATAATATAGTACTTTAGTTTTGCTTTTGTAGATTGTCTCTTCTCCTACATTGCTCCCAAGCCGTCTCCTATGCAGGCGCTCTCTCCCCTAGACTGCGGCATAGCAACAGTGAGCCAAACCTTCAACGAGGAGATCCAGTTGCCTAACTGAACTTAATCAATGCAGGATCAAGGACAACGACCACGTCAGGAAGATCGATATGCGTTTATAACTCCACAAGGCTTCCCTGCCTGCGATCACAGACAATTTGCGTTCTTTGCAGTCTACGATGGACAGTGCGTGATTTGTTCCATACGAGTCTACCCGATACTGACCAAGGCCTTTTCCCAACGGTGGGCCTAATATCTCGGATCACGCAAGCGAACATCTTCATTTAAACCTTATTTCATCGCCCGCCTTCCAAGCTGGCGACTGTGAAAATGCTATCCGTGGTGCGATAGACGCGGAAGAGAATCAGCTAATCGAAGGATTCGCATCGAGTGGAAATGACGCTTCAACTAGTGGTTCAACGGTTGCCTTGGCCCTAGTTGATTTGAATAAGGGAGAGGTGGTTATTACGAATTTGGGAGATTCACATATTGTATTAGGAGAGCTGGAATGGACTGGAGGGAAACTCACGTACAAGGTAGTAGGTGGAGACTTGTATCAATGCTCATCATATTGTCCATTGTTTAATACAGGCCTGATAACATGTTATAATCCAGAAAAGGCTAACGACAGCGGATAATCCCGATGTGCTGGAAGAAAAATCTCGAGTCGAAGCTGCTGGTGGGACTATTCGTCGTCGTGCAGTAAGCACGGATTGGTCCGTGTCCATTCTCTCTGCATATTGCTTATGGTCTTTTTTTTCTTTTTTTCCTTTCCTTTTTTTTTTAGTAGCCTAACGGACTTTATCTTCCTTTCCAGGCACCATAAAGATGTCCCGCGCGCTCCGGGTTCTACAATATAAAAAACCACTGAACGATGAAGATGCCGCACGAGACTTCATATCGAGCCAACCCCACATATGTCTCCTCAAACCTAATCCCGACATTTTAAGCGTCCTCATCATAGCCACGCATGATGTGCGGACTGTTGATGAGCATACGCTGGTCGAATTTATTGGCCAGCAAATGGAAGAGGGGCATGATGCAGGGAGCATTTGTGAGAAATATTACACAAAAATGTGCATCAAGAAAACAAGCAGGTAATGCTACATGTATTGTGCTTTTTTTTTGGCTAAGGTTAGAGCTGCTGTGGAATACCGCCTTGTGAGCTAAGGCAAAGCTAGTTGCAGTTTCTAGACAGTTCAGCACGATCGGCTTCCTTTTTCAGGTGGGAGCTGACTAACCTTAGAATTTACTTAACATCCTTTTTTTGAAGCTTCTATTATTAAAATTTCCCTTGATTAAGAGCTCTAGCTTTTCAGTAAAATAATGAGCTAAGTATATTTTCAACAAAGGCATACCTTGAAGAGAACAAACACAACGTACTGTGCCTGTGACACTTCCAATCCAAAGTTAAGGGTGGGTCGATGTAAGTCCAGCCGGCGGGTTAAGGTTTCTCCACAAAGCTTGTTTCATTGCCAAGATTACAGCTCCCAAAAGCCGTAGGCCAGGCCAGGCAAAATTACTTCAACTCTAAGAAAAACATCAGCATATATCTGGGGGTTGTGTGTGCCGTATATAAATGTAGGGTTGCAGGATGTAGAACTAAAGGTTGTAAGTTATAGCAAGAATCATCATTTCGAACACAAGGATACCCATGGCGTCCCTATGCGGGTATGAGGCCTTACGGAATAGTAGATCTTGCGAAAATCAAAGGGTTTCAGGGGAAAGGATAAGAATTTCCGAGAGAAGATAATCCGTAATATTATCGAAAGAACTGCTTATGAGGTCCAACTGTCTTCGTACATTTCCGGTCAGACGCAACCAGAAGGATTAGCGGTGAGAGAACTAGAGGTTGACTGAAAGAGATATGTGAGCCATGCCCTGGGCCTTAGCGACCCCGGACCAACCTGTGTAATATGCAAGACTATGTAAATACCCTTGACCGTTTTTCTCGAAGCCAGTTTCAGCTGTCACGAGCAGCAAAACCCCGCGGGATTTAGTATGACGTCATGGCTCCCTATGTCCGGCCAGGCAAAGTATCAGAACAATCCCACATTTCCATGGCAGTAAATCGCCCCCATACGTAATATCGTTGAGGGGAAGTAGATAAAGCTAGTGGCGCGTGAGCTGAACCCGAAGTGATCAAGGTCTTGAATGCATATGTGCAATTCCAGCCTAAGAAGATTCACGCTCTTGAAAAAGAATCGCGATGTTTTCCGTCTGGGCCCTCCTACATAGTTTCGCGGACTGGGTTCTCGGGTTCTGCAAGCTCTGCCAGAACCGTGAAGTTGGTTGGCAGACGCTCGACCGGCGCTCAGGGCGGTACAGGCGAGAGCAGCAGCCTCTATGGAAGAAATTCAAACTGATCATACTGTTCAATCCACTTATGGATTGGATTGACAGCACATCGATAATGCGGCTGTGGATGCACGAGAAAACTATAAATGCTGGTAGGTCCTGAAGCGAATGAAAATGGAGTATTCCGGATTTTGTTTCTTTCCTTCTAATCAGTTATTGGGACGTTACTAGGCAAGAAAGAAGGAACATTGGCATCTCGTTCCCAGATCAAATCCTTTGTCGACTTTTTCCATATAAACATGGATGACTTTGAACCATCCGATATATCCAAATACCAGACATTCGAACAATTTTTTGTTCGGAAGCACAAAGCCGGCGCTCGACCGATCCACGAGGCATCGAATCCGTCAAAAGCGTGTGTTGTCGCTGACTCCCGAGTCGTTGTGTATCCAACAATGACCGCGGCGCGGACGCTATGGATCAAGGGAAAGCACTTCACCATCGGGAACCTGATCGATAACGAAAAAGCTGCGGAACCGTGGATCGACGGCGCTGTTGCGAGCTTTCGACTAAGCCCGCAAGATTATCATCGATATCATTCGCCTGTCACAGGGACAGTCAAGTGGTACAAGAGGATTCCTGGAGATTTTTACCAAGTGGATCCCGTCTGCTTGCAGAGTGGAGTGGATATCCTCACGCGAAATGCACGATGTTGCGTATGCATCGATAGCAAGGAATTTGGTCAAGTACTGTTCGTTGCAATTGGGGCCACCGACGTTGGCGACGTAGAGTATGTGTCCCACACTCGCGAATAGCGTAGTTGTGAAGGGAAAGCTTACCTCGGCGACATAGGATTCGACCTGAAATGCAAGAACCCGGTCATCTGGTGAGAAAAGGAGAAGAAGTCGGTCTCTTCCAATTTGGCGGATCCAGTATCATCGTGGCATTCGAGAAAGGAAGGATAGAATTTGATGATGACCTTGCTACCATGAGTAGGCGTCAGATCATGGTAGATGTTGAAGTTGGAATGAGTATGGGAAGTGTACCGCCAAAGAGAGTATAGCTGTTCCCGGGGGACCTTTGATATCTTTGAAACTGTGTGGAATTTGAAGCATATATTAATTTGGTGTTAGGGGAGAGAAAATTTCGCTGGTTATTACACTGTGTTTCCCTTAGAGGAGTTGAGACATGAATTATCATATCAGATTGCTGAGCGTCAACAGCCGTATAGCATATTTAACTATTCTTTGTGAGCTTAACTCTCTTCACAAGAGGTGCCTATTAATTATACCTGAGAAATGTCAGTGCTTGCCCCGCTAATAACTGCCAGCTGTCTGGAATACCAGCAGCACAGAACTACAATAAGTCAGTTGAGTAAAGTAATTGGCTCTGTTCACTTACATTAGAATTGCGGACTGATGAGTTTTGAATTTATATAATTCAATCTCTTCACGAACCCGGCATTTACGCAACACTCCCCGTGGGTCGTCTATAGAATTAACGATTGTGAATCCCTCGGCAACCGCAGAACCACAATGATCGAATTCTCTGATGACAGCCAGTTTTGGCAATGCAGATTCAACAAGAAATATTTGTAAAGTGGGAGCTAGAACTTAAGAAAGCTTCAAAGCCTTCACAATGTAACAGGAAAGAAAAGATCTTCCCAGAGATGGAAGAAGGGCTCGATTTATAAGAAGATGCGCAAAATATGACATTGTAATGTCCAGTTATAAATGGCAAAAGGTCTGATATGGCTCTCACTTCAATCACCTGTTTTCCACTACGTGGAATTCCTGTCTAGATGCCATTTCTCTTTTTCTCACTTCTAGTTTGCCGACACACAAGCCATGTCAAGGACCAAGTTTGACAGATGTTTCGAGAACAGGCATAACATATCGTTACCAGTCAGATACCGTAAAGCATTGCTGAAAATGCAAGACTTCTAATGGCTGTAGATGTACTCTGCTGGGGACAGAGGGATATCATTTTAATCTGCTGGAAAGTACTGTCCCTTCTGTGTTGAAATATTCAAAACCGCGAGCCATATTTTCTGGGCCAACTTAGTGCTTTATGGGGACTGGTGTTCATTCCCATACATTTCTAGGCAATCACCAGTCTAAGCAATGGGCGAGGGGGTAATGAAGCCTGAATTGGAGGTAGGAATTTTCAGATTAACGCAAAATACCGGTCTTGACAGGATTCTCAATGCAAACAACAAGGATCTAGAGACACGCAGCCTTGTTTGATCGCAAAGGATAAATGAGGCAGGAGGAGAATTAAAATATACAAAACATAGAGGGTATAGGGAACCAGACTTAAGCCCATACCCTCGAGCTGAGAGCAAGACTGAAGGTTGTCAGAAAAATGTTGGTTCTTGGGTAGGAAGCCACAACATATACCTAAAGCCCTTCAACTAGGCCACCGGTAGCATGAGCAGATAGCGTTTGCTAGAAAGGGCCCTACTGTATGTACGTGTGTACGGAGTACTCTTAAACACCCGGAGAGGGATCTCGGGTGCCTTCAATCCTAACTGACAGTTGGTCTGATCGCTCTGGTTGGTTTTGGACATTGGCCCAACACGGAGAGATACGACGAGAATTGAAAATAAAAAAAGGGCACCGATAGTTGGCTACTTCACTCCCTGCCAGACTGGCGCCGTTTTTGATATTGGAAGGACAAGTTCTAGTTTTAGCACTGTTTCTCCCTAATAAGAGATCTGCCTTTAATGATTTAATAGACTGGTCGTTTCGTAGAAGAAGAGCACAAAAAGAAACTTTCAGGGTGCGGGTAAAGGGTGTTTCGAAGGCCATCCACCCGCTGCCATTCAGCTTTGTTGATGTTAACAGAGACAGGTGGTGCACCTTGGCAAAATCGGCTCCAATGAGCAATTGTGGAAAGGTGCAGAGCAATAAATCTCTGCTATCTGGAGATAAGATATCCTGTTTTATCTCGCCCTAATAGAGAGAAGTCGAGAAAGTCGCTCTCTACATTCCGTCTCATCCGTACAATGGTAGATTTGAAATATTAGTCTGACAAATTGTTCGAGAATTTACGGAGTAGAGTGATCAGATCGCAAAAGAGATCTCGCCGCTCCTGTGGGGATCATTTTCGACGATCACTGATACGAGAGTGCGAGGCCACAAAGATGTCCATCTTGTGGTGACAACGCCGGCAGACATTCGAGCTACCATGCACTCTGCACAAGCCAATGCAATCAACCATTGCAACTTGCACTTCATTGGCGTCGTCAAAAGAAGAAAAACGGATGTCTTTCCTCCGTAGACAGCCACCCTAAACGGTCATCATTCGCTCAGGCGTCAAGGCACCACACGCCCAAATCACCTTCTGGGTCTCCAAGAGGTGCGAAACGCGATCGGCTTGCGCTAGTTAGTGAAGTGGTCCAAGTCCCAAGGGACCCGCTTTCACACCCCCAAACACCCACGTTTCCCGGGGCGCAAAGCCCACTTGGGCTTTCATCCTCGACTTCCAGCCGTGGCACCCCTGTAATTTCGGCTCGACTCGAGAGAGCCTCTAATGGACACACAACATGTCAAGCTCGCGCTCTTTTTGCAATGTCTCATTGCCAATCGGATTGGGGCTAATGGGGTTTTACAAATCGTGAAACTGTGTACTCCAGAACAAAGTTGTGGCTGTTTAGCCATGAGAATCATGAGGTGCGTCTCACAAAAAAAAGGCTGGTTGGAATTCATGAACAAAGGCTCTCGGAAAATAACGTCCCTTTTTGTCTCGGCTTTCAAATGAACCAGAACACCCAAGCCTTTTTAAATACGAGGCGGGTTCTGTCAATCTCGTCAGTCATACGGCGATATCCACTGTGACTGGATGGCGTCGCATGGTTAGCCTAACTTAGTTACGAAGCCAAAGTGCCCAAGGGCCCGAGATATCACTCCGGACTGGCTATTCTCGAATTGCAAGCTCCAAATTTGCTCGGCAGCTTACTCTTCGTCAGCTCTTCCTGAGCGAGCGTACCTGGGACAAGCCGCCGGGATGCGGCATCAGTCCTTAGCCTCGCGGCCTGCCGCCTTAAGAGGAAAGCCTTTTCCTTTATTCCCCTTTCTTTTGGAAATTCTCGCCAGTCTCTCGTTCTTCAAAACTGCTTGTCGAAATTCCTTAGTTCTTCGTTGCTTTTCTGGTGTATTTATATTCGCTCGCTACACTTAACAATACCGAAAGGTTTCTTTTGCAAACATGCATTTCACAACTTCGCTCGCTCTTTTCGGCACTCTCGTCGCTGCCTCCCAGGCAGTTGAGCCCATCCGTGGCTCCTACGAGTCAAATGAGGTCCTGTCTGTACTGAAGCGCCAGACCGTCATTTGCAAGCCTGTTCCTCCGCCGTTTACTTGCGAACGTTCTTGCGGTCCCGGATTTGTCCAGTGTGTGTACCCATCCATGTGTTACAACCCTGGCAGGGGAGACTCCTGCTGCGCCAACGGAAGTAAGTAGTGCTTTGCTTCAAACACTTCAGAATTCACATCCTAATTTTGCGACACACATAGAGTACTGCAGGAAGGGCACATACTGCACAGATAGAGGCTGCTGCCCCGATGACTTGAGCCTTGAGGAATGCGGCGCTACCCGTACCATCAGTGTCATTCCACCACCAGACACACAGCCCAGCACTGAAGCCCCATCTCCCACCGACGAGCCATCTGAAACCGAGCCTGCTCCCACTGAGACTGAAACCGAGGAGCCTGAGCCCACCGAGACCGAGGTCGAACCCACTCCGACTGAGGAACCAACGACCCCAACCATCATTCCAACTGGCACTGGAAACCCAGGCTACCCTGGCAGCAATGCCACCTTCACTAGCCCATCTCCACCCCAGCAGACAGTGAACGCTGCGGCCCAGATCAAGGGTGCTGCTATGGCCCTTGGTCTCGGTGTTGTCGGCGTTGCTGTGGCCCTGATGTAAATCGGGAGGCCTATCATCGGATAACCTGGAGGAATCATCTTGGCGACAACAACTTGTTCATTCTTGTCGTTCGTTCACGTATAATTAATCATTAATGGATCAGTGTTGTATGTAAGAATGGAGCTGTTCATAGGCTATCTTTAGACAATGCGGATATATTTATCGTTTTCGAATATAAACCTAGGAACGAGTTGATCAGTGAAGCCGTCTGCCAGTCATAACATTGAGGTCAATCAGCATGACAAGATTTTGCAGTTTTCTTCATTTTCCAAGCACTCTGAGGATCCTCTCGAGTTCCTTGTGTCTCTCAGTCTTTTCGACCGCGGTAGAAAGCCGTAAACAGGTTTCAGTTGACTACACTTTGAGAAGGGTTAGTTCTCTGGTGTGTACTCCGCAGTTGGTTGAAGCCGTCCCTTGGCTCGTTGACGGGCAACCCTTGCCACGGGCAAATTGAAATGAACGGAGTTGGGAGAATTCGACAGCGCTATCTGAAACGCCATAGGCGCTTATCTGCAGGGAATAGGTTATTCCATAGATTACAGAGTAAAGTACACCTTGGAGAGCACAAGAGTTCTTCCAACCGCCGAATTGGTGTACGATAAAACCATGCCAAGCCGGCGGCGCCGTTCCAACGGTGGGCGGATGAAATATTTTTCCGGTTCAGACCGGCTTAGGTAAGGTACCAAATCATCGTTGCCATGGGAGACTGCGGCCAACCAAAAACCCCCCACCAACAGGCCTTACATGCTGTGTTTTGAGGCCAGCGGAGAAGGAAGGGCTCTGGGGACGGGGCAGGCAAGGAAGAGAGTTGTAGGTCGTGAATTGGTAGCTAGATCCCACCACCAAGTTCGGAGCAGCTCAAGCACAGCACACAGTGCGTGTCAGGGCGGCCCGTCCAGGCAGCGCAGCTTTTCTGGCGGCACAAAATTGTTTGGAACATCCCACCTTGATTACGTCATACCTGGAAAAATGAGAGCGATCGGAGAGCTTCCACCGGCGGCCGCAAGCACTCTGATAAGAGCCAGAAAACGGCGAATTTTACGCGGAAAAGTTTGCTGGAAGGTTGCCAAAGGTTGTAATTCGGCCTGTAGAAAGACCCCGATTGAGCTGGAAGGTTGGAGTTTTGGAAAGAAAGTTCTTGAGGTTACCTGGTGTGTGTGGAATGTTGTGGATTGCGGTCGAACCTGGAGAGTTGCTAGAAGCTTCTGGCGCCAAAAATTTGACCGCCCACATATAAACATCTCTTCTTTGCTTCTTCCTCGCTCTTTCAACCCACAAACTTTTTAACCTTTCACAATCCCTCCTCACACCTCTTCACCTCTCTTCTGTGAACTCTTACATTTCTTTTCGCAGATAAACCTGCTTTTTCTAATATCCCCTTTGTACCATAGTCTGCTTTAACGATTGTACTGACGACCTTTCATAATGGCTCCCGCAATTGGTATGTCCTGCCCCATTCTGCCCCTCGGAGCTCAACCCCCACTCTGAAAAGACAGTGAGCAAGCTTTGCTGACTCGCAAATAGGTATTGATTTGGGTACCACCTACTCCTGCGTGGGTATCTTCAGAGATGATCGCATTGAAATCATTGCAAACGACCAGGGAAATCGTACCACCCCGTCTTTCGTTGCCTTCACAGACACCGAGCGCTTGATTGGTGACGCTGCAAAGAACCAAGTCGCCATGAATCCCGTAAACACAGTCTTCGATGCTAAGCGTCTCATCGGTCGTAAATTCAACGATGCTGAGGTCCAAGCCGACATGAAGCACTTCCCCTTCAAGATCGTCGATAAGGGTGGCAAGCCCATCATCCAAGTTGAATTTAAAGGCGAGACCAAACAGTTCACACCGGAGGAAATCTCCTCCATGGTCTTGACGAAAATGAGGGAGACGGCCGAGTCTTACCTTGGCGGCACCGTTAACAATGCTGTCGTAACCGTGCCAGCTTACTTCAACGACTCCCAGCGCCAGGCTACTAAGGATGCCGGTCTGATTGCTGGTCTCAACGTTCTCCGTATCATCAACGAGCCCACTGCCGCCGCTATTGCTTACGGCCTTGACAAGAAGGTCGATGGCGAGCGTAATGTTTTGATCTTCGATTTGGGTGGTGGTACTTTCGATGTTTCCCTCTTGACCATTGAGGAGGGTATCTTCGAAGTCAAGTCTACTGCCGGTGACACCCACTTGGGTGGTGAGGACTTTGATAACCGTCTCGTCAACCACTTCGTCAACGAGTTCAAGCGCAAGCACAAGAAGGATCTTTCCGTCAATGCTCGTGCTCTCCGTCGTCTCCGCACTGCTTGCGAGCGTGCCAAGCGCACTCTTTCTTCTGCCGCTCAGACTTCCATCGAAATTGACTCTCTCTTCGAGGGTATCGACTTCTACACCTCTATTACCCGTGCTCGTTTCGAAGAACTCTGCCAAGACCTCTTCCGCTCCACCATGGAGCCCGTCGAGCGTGTCCTCCGTGACGCTAAGATCGACAAATCCTCTGTACACGAAATTGTCTTGGTCGGTGGCTCTACCCGTATTCCCAAGATCCAGAAGATGGTTTCCGACTTCTTCAACGGAAAGGAGCCCAACAAGTCCATCAACCCTGACGAGGCTGTCGCCTATGGTGCCGCTGTTCAAGCTGCTATCCTCTCTGGTGATACCTCTTCCAAGTCTACCAACGAAATTCTCCTTCTCGACGTTGCTCCTCTTTCCTTGGGTATCGAAACCGCTGGTGGTGTCATGACTCCTCTCATCAAGCGCAACACTACCATCCCAACCAAGAAGTCCGAGACCTTCTCCACCTTCTCCGACAACCAGCCTGGTGTCTTGATCCAGGTCTATGAAGGTGAACGTGCTCGTACCAAGGACAACAACTTGCTCGGTAAATTTGAACTTACTGGCATTCCTCCTGCCCCACGTGGTGTTCCTCAGATCGAGGTCACCTTCGATCTTGATGCCAACGGTATCATGAATGTTTCTGCTCTCGAGAAGGGTACTGGAAAGACCAACAAGATCGTCATTACCAATGACAAGGGTCGTCTCTCCAAGGAGGAAATCGAACGCATGTTGGCTGAGGCCGAGAAGTACAAGGCCGAAGACGAGGCTGAAGCCTCCCGCATCAGCGCCAAGAACGGTCTCGAATCCTATGCCTACTCCCTCCGCAACACCATGAGCGACTCCAAGGTCGATGAGAAGCTCGACGCTGCTGATAAGGAGAAGCTCAAGACTGAGATCGACAAGATCGTTGCCTGGCTCGATGACAACCAGACCGCCTCCAAGGAAGAATATGAAGACAAGCAGAAGGAACTTGAAGGGTATGTATCTCCTTTTGTTTCAAAGACATGATCAAACATATGCTAACTGGTGAACTAATAGTGTTGCCAACCCAATCATGATGAAGTTCTACGGATCCGGTGAGGGTGGAGCTCCAGGTGGATTCCCCGGTGCCGGTGCCGGTGGTCCTGGCGGATTCCCTGGTGCTGGTGGTCCCGGAGGTGATGACGGCCCAACCGTTGAGGAGGTCGACTAAATTTAACGCTTCCTCGCTTTCGATCACTTCTTTTTCGACCACTTTTTCATACCTGGCGCTTAAAATCATGACTTGTCGATTTTCTTTATTAGGGTGCAAGGTTTTTTAATGACACGTGTTTTCCCTTCTGTTTTCTTTACGGTCTTGAGGGGTCACGATGGGTTTGATATGTCCTATGGTCTTTTTTTATGACATTGCATAGATTTGAGTTGGGCGTCTGCCAATTCGAATTTTTTTTTCTTTCCAATTATGCTCCGCCTTTTCCTTTGCCTCTTATGAATAAACAAAAACAGAAATCTTTATGGGGTTGTAGGTAGGAAAAGTTTACCATAATAAACGGAGCTGATGCAAATTTCAAAAGAACTTTCTTCAACTGTAAAGCCGCAGCCAAGTTAACTGACAAAACGCGCTTTGGAACCCTTTAATGGATAATGTCCTCTGTAGTCTGTAGTGGCATCTGTAGCTGGAGCCTTACACCAAAGTCTTAAGAGATCGCAAGAAGGCCCACCTTAATATGTTTGTCTCATGAATGCTGCGATTTTGGAGTGCCCCTTGATTAGGCCCACACCACAGGCCTCGCGAGAAGCATCATGAGGCCCATCAACATCATACATAACCCCATACTCCATGCACGCCATGTAATCTACAGGGTGATGGACAAAAAAGAACACTCCATTCCTTTAGCTTAGATTTCAATTTACTCTTCTCCAGCGTTTGAAAGTTTCTGAACGGCCCGTGGAAACTCACGTGATGGATGAAAAATCGCGCTAAAGTTAAGCACGGATTTCCGTTCCTCATGGCAACGCGACGCCTGAGTGCAAAAACCAACTCTCACTTTGGCATAAAGCCACCACTCCTGTTTTCTGTGCATTTACCCACCTGGGCCATTGCTGTCGCATACCTTTTCACCATTCTTTAGTGTCATTTTTTTTCCTTCAATCCCCCAAAGATGAGCGCCAACCAGGATATCACCCTCACAGAGGGTGAAGGTTCTAGGCCAGCTGCTGACAAGGGCAAGGGCAAGGCTGTTGGGTCTGAGGATATACCTATGGAGCAGTATTCTGGGGACTCTGAGACAGATGAGAGTGATGCTGCAGATGATGAAACTGTAAGTTGATTTGCTTGTTGGCCTTGTCTGCGGGTTAGTGGTACAGCGGTTAGTGGAGAATGCAATGGCTAACTTGTCTTTCTTTTTAGTTTCCTGAAGGTGAGAGATAGCTTGTGGCCTCCGATATGGGGACTTTTTGTTTGCTTCTGTGCCATGTAACACCGAAATTTGTGCGCATCAATCTTGATATATTTGTTGCTCACACACATGGTTTAGATGACATTGAAGAGGAAGACGAAGCGGGAGACGATAACCTCGAACGCATTTCGGAGGAAAACATCATCCCAGGCGGTCGTCGCACTCGCGGTAAAGTCATCAACTTCGCCGAAGCCGCAGAAAAGGTCGCAGAGGACGATGCGATGGACGATGATGACGACGAAGAATACAAGCAACGCGACGAGGACGACGAGATGCAAGGCTAAATCCCACTCTCAATTCTACGTACCCAAGCGCGGCCTTAGAGCTTAGGGAGATAGCCCTGTCCTCAGCCAGGGAGGACGCTCATTCTTTTTTCTTCTGGCATTTAATCCCTTCTTTCCCCCCTTTATTCTGTGGGCGTGGTGTGGTGTTCATGCGTCGTGCGGGCCTGGACCAGGGTTTAAACATTGGGTCAATTGGTTTCTGGTTATTCCATGGCTGGTTCGGTAAAAAAGAAACAAAAAGAGGGCGCTTTTGTAAAATGACACACATGATTGTTCACGTTATGGATATGGATGTACCACAAAATAATGAAGATCAATGATACATACCAAGCAATTCGAATTTGAATATATCCTGATTTTCTCATCTGCCCAGATTTTGCACTTCGTGGGCAGCTTGTTCATACCCTTTACTTCAAACAAGTGTTATGCTGGCTTTTGCTGGCAGGCCTTGGCTTTGGATAGCTTTTGCTTCGCGCGCAGGCAAAGTATTCGTTTGTGCGATGAGACAGGATCTTGGAGCCAGGCAGTGCTCGCCGGTTGCCAATGAAAAGCCATCCTCTAAGCTCCCGCGTGGCCCTTCTGAAGGTGTCAAATGTCCGTGGCCCGTATTCGCGACCTCGTTTCAAGTTCCGGATAACTTTCAGGGCGATCGAGTGTTGATTACTCAACAGAAGCAATTTCTTGGCCTTGAAGACGGATAGATATGAGTAATCTACAAATGCTGTCATCTGTGGGGATGCTATTTGACGAGCTTGTTCTCCCATGTTTTGCCAAGTGTCTGCCTGAAGTGGCATCCCATTTTAACGTTCCGCAACCTCGCACGACTTCGTGTCTGGGGCAGTGTTCGCAATTTAGCCGTCTTGGATACGACAGTTGCAGATCGCATGTCCGGCGTGATAGCTTGTACGTGGTGTATAAAATGATGGAACGAACCCGGCTCAGCTTCTCCCAGATGAACTGATTCAAGTCATCTTGCCAGAATCTTTGGAAATATACCCGGCTCAAGTTTGGCTCTATCCTATCACGCAAAAATCCTCTATCTACATACATAGATACACACATAGTTACTTTGCTCCATTCCACCGATATTACCGCCGAAAGAATGTCCTTCCAAAAAAAGATCTTCATCAACCTCCCTAGCAAAGACCTTGAAGCTTCCAAACGCTTCGCCCTCGGTCTCGGCCTCAAGAAGAAGTTTGAAGGCTCTGGAGAGATGCAAACCGTCGTCTTCGTCTACGCAGATAACATCTTAATTATGTACCACGCCCATCCGACTTGGGAGCGATGGTTATTCGAGGGTCGAAAGACCGCCGATGCGCATTCCACCACACAAGCGCTGTTGACCTTATCCGCAGAATCAGCGGAGGAGGTGGAGAGTATGGTTAGCAAGGCTGTGGATGCCGGAGGGAGAAGGGGACCCCAGATGGCGCCGGACAACGACCAGTATGGAATGTATTCAAGGAGTGTGGAGGACCCGGATGGCCATGTTTTCGAAATTGTGTATGCGAGTAAGGGGTGTTGTATGGGGGCGTGAACTAAATAAAGGGATACCTTCAAGCCTTGTATGTACTGTACATACGGAGTACATATCAATTAAAATGGCCGTTTGCTCCGTGCAAACCGCAGCAATTGATCCCCAGCGGAGCGGAGTGGGCTTTTTCGCTCCGCGCCTCCACTCCTGTCTCCACAGCGTTAAAGTGAGTTCTACGCCATGCCATATCAGGACAGGTGTCTCTCAGTGGCAATGACTAAGCACAGACCCCATAATGGGAACAAGGCCAAATAATGGTTTGTTTCGACGGGTTGGGGGGGGGAAAAAAAAAGAATAAAAAACAAAAAAAAGCAGAAAAATGATAATCTTGCTGTCTGCCCTTTGATATTCTAAATGGCGTCAAGGTGTGGCTTTCCAGATTCAGAGTGCCGTTTCTGCACCAGAGACTGACGGACTAACCCTTCTCAGATTTCCTCATTCGGCGCTCCACCAGCGAGATCCTAGGTCGTCGTCGAGCTTGTTCGATTCCTACAGCGGAAGCAAAGAGAGAAATCGTCCCTCGAGTCGATCTCCCGGGTATAGAGGAGGAGGATATGGATTTGCGGGGTCATCAAACGGAAGCGTAAATCCAGGATACCGAGCCGCAACGCCGAATAAAAAGTATGAGTTACACTAAAAATTTCTGGGTCTACGAACGAATCTTTGCAAGTCTGGTAGTGATACATGGCTGACGTTTGCTCATGGAATTTAGAGGCCAGTACTCAGATGCAGTCTTATCCTCCTTAGAGTCTCAGAATGATGCCGAGGTTGAGGGTATTACGGCCAAGGTGAAGATGCTGAAAGACGTATGTATCCTTAACGACAATCTTACATACGTTTGAATGGATTTCCTGGTTCCTAGGATGAACGTCGTTGTCTAACTTGGAGCGGAATCTAGATTACCGTAGCCATTGGTGACGAGATCCGTGAATCCTCCGCCTTCGCAGATAAAATGAATGACACATTTGATAATACTCGAGTTCGACTACGCGGCACCATGAACCGAATGCTACGAATGGCAGAGCGTAGTGGCGTTGGATGGAAAGTCTGGCTTGGATTCTTTGTCGCCGTTTTCATGCTCTTCACATACGTCTGGCTGTTTTAAGCGCTCGCGAGTTGTTCCACATGTCCATTATTCCGCATTGACGACCTTGCTCGGTATCTAAATGACGGCCTACGTATTCCCCGTGATCGATAATTCATCGCTACTTACACATTTATAATGCAACACTATTATACCTACCTACTGTTTCAGACACGTCCGCTCTCGATCGACCTTACGACTCCCGCTCCTTGTTACCTATTTTCCGGTGTTTGCTCCAGGATGGCAAAAATATTTACCATTAGCCGGCGCTGTCAGAGGGAAATGCACCAATAACACTTTGCACAAGCACACGATCTCTTTTTAGTTATGGGAAACCTTTTCTTTTCTCCTCTTGTATCTGTCCATTTCGAGGAAGCATCTGACACGAGACCTCCTGGTGAGCTCGAAGGAGGACGGCGTTTTCGTTGCCATTTCGCATATCACATGTATATTTATATAGCCCTTTTTAATACCCGTGGCCGCAGGGCTTTGACTCCGGATGTCCTATATCAGAGGATGATTTATGTCTGCGCCAATTTAGATATATTTCAATCCATGATGTAATCTCGAAATGCCTGTAACTATAATTATATTTCATGACACAGGAAAGCTACTACAGTGGGCATACCGGTCGACAAAACGTCCCGGCTAAGATCCCTGTTTCGACATAAATCTATCACATCATCAACTCTAGGGTAAAAAGCCTCAAGCGCCTTCGCTTCGCAAAAAAAACAAAAAAGGAAGGGAGGAAGGGAGGAATATGTCGTCGTCTAGCTATAGGATCAATACTCCCATTGTGCCCAGGGCAAACTTCATGGAACGTTGATAGACTCATCGGACAAAGTCGAACGTCGTCTCCGATTTCGAATCCTTGGAAGACGTAGATTTCGTTCAGACATTCCGCTGGATCGGAAGGCCGCCATGGAATCCTCTACATCGTCTCCGATTCCACCGCTCCATCGTTCGAGAAATAGTCGCTGTGCTTCTGTTTCCCGGTGACGGACGAGAGGCGGTGGGAGGGGAGGAGAATTCTCAGCGAGCGTGGATATACTCGACCGAGGGCGATGTGAGGCTTGATAGAAGTAACGATCAGTCATAGAATAGTGCAGGCCATCGGATTGGTCGTCCTCCTCATCCTCCTCGGCATCGGTATCTGTATGCTCCCATTCCTGTTCAGGCACATCCTCATCCAAATCGCGCTCCATCATGCTAATATCCTCTTCCTGAGGTGAGGCTGAAGGGATATCATCATCCAAATCAGGCTGTTCATCGAAGTCTTCGTCCTCTTGGTCATCGTCATCGTCATCATGCCCTATCCCAAACCCTTCAGGAATATCATCATCTAAATCCCTCTCCATCAACACCTCCTCCTCGTCCTCACCTTCGACCAAATCATCCTCATCCAACCCATCCTCTCCATCCTCCACCAACCCACCACTAAACTCATCCTCCTCCTCATCCTCATCCGCCTCCGGGATATCATCATCCAAATCCCTCTCCATCTCCTCCAGATCATCCCCTTCACCTCCTCCGATGCCACCATCAAGCCCCACCTCCCCCATAAACTCCATCTCGCCTTCCATCGCCGCATTCGCCGCTTCCTCTCTTTCAGCCTCCTCCTCGCGAATGCCCTGCATGGTCTTCGGATACCCCGCCGGCCGAATCCATGAGTACCCAAACGAGGCTATATTCTGCTTGCGGATTCGCAGCGCGCGTTCTTCGAGCATGAGGGCAGCGAGGGAGTCTGATGTCGGAGGGACATGTGATGCTCCTCCAGACTGGCCATTTCGGCGGATGTTTGTGGTTTGGTTTCCAGCGGGGGCAGTGTAGCTCGTGCGACGGGAATGGGGAGGTGTGAACCACAGCATGTGGGACTAGACGGAGGTTTGTCAGTTTGGTTCAGTTTGGTTTTGCAAGGAAATCGCTGTTATATCTGCATGGGATTTGGCAGAGGAGAAACAGAGTAACCTTCTAACACTCACATCTCGAGGTTCGATCAGAGGGAGAGATAGCATCGTAGCTAGCTTCTCACGCGTTTGATGTTCGGAATCGGAGTAAATTGATAGGCTCCAAAACCGAAAGTCAGGCTAGATTTAATGTAGATAGTTACCGGGAAATGGAAAATATGAGTCTTTGCAGGTTGTCTGAGAATTCCACCATTGATTTCTGGCCCGTACATGACCGGTACCCACAGCGCAATACTACTCCTTCACCACAAGTTGATGAGAGAGATGAGATGGAGCTTCTCAGTCACATTATACTCTGCTTGATAATCTCACAACTTACACCAACCAATGAGGGTGATCTGATTCAAAAGGCTCTGAGTTGACCCACAACCAGTCCAACCTGCTTTATTACAATTTCACTTCAATCACGCTCAGCATTTTCTGATTTGTCTATAACAGAGTGGTTGTAAGAAGAATGAATATGTGCTGTATCTGATACATGTACAATTTAAGACCATATCTCCTTCGCAGGGAAGGAAAGGTTGGAAAGTACCACACAACTCAGCTGATAAACCAGCATTTCGAAAATGGCCTTGTGCACTCTTTTTTTTCGCACCCACAACATCAACACATTGTTGGAGGAAAACACCAAAACCCTGACCAGGGTCCTTCTCATATAGAGACCAATTCTTCTTGATGTAAGCCTTCAACTCAGCAAAGAATTCCTCTATTGGATTTAGACTTGGTGAACAGGATGGTAAGTATAGTAGTTTCACCCCAGCATCAGAGCACATCCACTTTATCCTGGCCGAGTGGTGGAATGATGTGTTAAGGTAGTTCACCACTAAACGAGCCACACCACTAAATGAGCCAAATTTTGCCAAATGCTCCACGCAATGAATTTATTAAATATCTCAACAACCAGATCTTTATTATTAAATAGCTATTAAATATTAAATGAATGTGTTCTTTGAAGCATAGAAATTAGTGTAGTTAGAAAAATAAATGGGTGGACAGCCTAATATTGCAGCCAGAGCAAGAGATTTGGGGGGTAGATAGAAAAGAATTTAAAGGAATGTCAACAGTAGATTTCTTGGCTAGAGAGCTTAATGTCTTGCTAGAGAGACTTATAGAGCTCTTACTTTCTCTTTTGAAAGATTGTATAGACTCTCTGTAATAAGACTTTTTAGTAGAGGAGTTCTTCTGATGATGCTTTGAAGTCAGTGCTTGAAGCCCTGACTGCTAGTATTTAGTAGCATGTTTAATCACTTACTTTTTCTTCTCTGCTAGTTGTAAAGTCTTCTTCTTCTCACAAGCAATATGTTGTGTCTTTCTTTATTTAGTATATTTGATTTTTTTGATCTCTTATTGCTTGCAGATCTTTTTACAGATATTCTTCTGTTCAATCTGTTTTTCTTTAATATCTCTAGCAGCCTGCTTCTTTTGAAGCTTCTATTAAAGCTTTATCTCTTGTATTTGAGTAATTTTATTAGCTTTTTCAGTCTCTATTTCATCCAGGCACTTATGTGTCTTAAGAACTTTTATTAGAGATCAGAACTGTACTTGACTAAAATTATTTCTATTAAGTAGATCTAGAGGCTTGTCTTGCTTGCAGTGTTGCTTCTCTGTCACTAGAGTTAATCTTAAGCACTGATTCTCATGTTCCAGCAAGTCATTACAAAGAGCAAATTACTTACTGACTTGAATAACCTGTCCAGTGCTCTGCAAATTTAGACTGTGCTAGAAATATTTCAACTATTTGTTGAAGCTATAAAGTAAGCTTATTTGCTTCTGTTATAATTATCTAGCCATGTATTCTAGAGATCTTGCAATTTGCTCTGATAAATAAGAGCTGGAGATAGTGCAATTTCTTCAGCAGAGACTGAGCAGAGTAATAAGAGGAATTCCCAACTACTATTCTGGGTGGTGGCATTCTTTCCAGCTTGTAGAGCTTTAATAGAGATTAATTACTTTAAGGCATGGCAGGTGTCTAGAAGGAATTCTTTTTCATCAAAGTTATAGATGTTTGAGAGCTTAAGATTATATTGATTGATTTTCTGCTCCAACTACTGTAGTGGGGATTCTGGTATCTCATTAGAACAAAGATTGTTCCAGTCTGAGGTGCAAACCACCTCAAAGCTACTATTCTTGAGCTATATAAACCACCTGTAGCCTCTGCATCTTGCTTATTACCTTCATGCACCATTGCTCTTTTCTACACACTTATTCTTTATTACCAGTTCAGCTATTAATTAGAGAATATGAAGATTTCTTGTTTATAAAACTTGCTACTGTTTCTTATTAGAGCTGCCTGTGTTAGTACAGAGCTCTTTAGTACTATTACTTCTTATAAGCTTAGGCATCTGTTAGGACATACCTATCTCTACACTTACTACTTGACCATACCCTTACTATATTGTGATTTTTCACCTTTCTTGTGCTCTCACCATATCTGTAAGGATTCACCGCGAACCCCTTACACGGACGAACAGCACCCATGAGGGCCAGAGGCCTCAGCTCACAAGCTGCTGGGAGTTGCATGTGTCCTCACAAGGCACTAAGTCATGTGCTCACAAGCACACATAAAAGGCCATCACTGCACAAACCCCTTGCTAAGAGCCAGTGGCAATCTTGTTTACAAGTCATACATAGTTGCCAGAATACAGACCTTTTACCTTGTGTACTCTTTTTCCATGTATATTCATCCTAGAGATTCATTGTCACGCTGATCCACACGTACGATCCTCACACTATAACAATGTACAAAAAACCACTTCAGTAGCTCTATATCTTGAAGTCTGAGATCTCTGAGAGGAGGGATAGTGTTATAAATATAGATCTAGACCAACCAAGTATTAGATAATATTAGATGTTCAGGGGTATTCATGTAACCCCAACTCTGAATATATAAGAATCACATAATTTGCATGGATTGTAGAAACTCCAGCATTCAGTCTTCTAGTTAGAGAACCCCTATATTCTACACATGACTCTCTTCTATCAGTTGTGGGCATTATACTAACTTAGCTCTTTTGTACCTCTAATTCTGGGAAAATCTACATGATCTATAACTGGTTCTCCTAACAGTAACAGAGTCTTTTAACAACAATATTATAATGAGTTATAAAATAAACAAGAAATGACACCTGAGCTCAAATAAAGCAGAAGAAAAAGAAGAAAGAAGAGAGTCAGAAACTCTCTATTTATACTTACACTATAACACACTAAAGTTACTAGTTCTATAACTTGTTGATAGATAATATGATAACAGGTAACAGGTAATATAGTAATCAGACAAGCAAATAAATAAAGAAATAAGTACATGACAAAACACTAAATATTCATAATAAAATAATTACCATTCTACAACAAAGAATGTCTACTGCAACTGATGGTGATACATTGGAGTGGGGTATGATGGGATGCCTTGTCAAAGTAGGTGAGTTGGTTGATATGGTGAGAGCACAAGAAAGGTGAAAAATCACCATATAGTAAGGGTATGGTCAAGTAGTAAGTGTAGAGATAGATATGTTCTAACAGACACCTAAGCTTG